CGGCAAAATTTCGCTGTATTTTTTTTTTTTTTTTTTTTTTTTTTGTCGAACGCCACGCTTGAATACATCACTTGCTTAGGTGCATCGCAGTGGCCTAAACTTCGATGTCGGCGACAGCGAAAACTTACGTTGTGGACTTCGGGTGGAGCAACACGGGCGATGCCAACTTCATTTCACAGCCTCCTTTTTTTTTTTTTTTTTTTTTTTTTTTGCCAAGTTTAAATTGTTGTTTAGTTCAAAGGTGGTCGTTTGGGGAAAGTCAATGCAATTATTCTTCCAGGGTTGAAGAAATCTTTATTGACAAGCGCAACACTCGTCAAACTTAAGCTTTTTGCAACGCCTGGAACATATTGCCAGTGCACAGTTTTTAGAAGAACACCATTGCGTTCCACCAAATAAAACTTTCGCCGGAAAGAAAAAAAAAAGCGTGAGTCGCATGTTTTGGCGTGTATCATGGGCTACCGCTAAACAGTACGACTTCATGCTTTTTCGCATCGAAAAAAAGAATTCAGAGTGTCCTCAGAGATGAAAGGCATGACTGCCTAGTCCTTTGTCCACGTTGGGTGATCGGAAGTCAGGAAACAATAAAGTTCCTGAATCGCACTCAGTGGCAGAGCGTGCTGCCCTGGAAATGCTAAGAAACCGAAACTCAAGAAACTTGGCTCTACCAAGATGGCCGCCACTGATCTCATAGAGATCAGTGATGGCCGCACGCACAGTGCTGCCAGACCACCAAGCAGTTTCGCATATATTTCCTGTCGCTAGGGGGAAGGTTCACGAGCTTTGCAGATTTCTTGGTTTTCACGAGCGCTCGTGTAAGAATAGGAAACACTTGAGTAAGTTATAAGCTCGTAATACGCAAGTTTCTAAATTTTCGTTGCCACGGTCCGGGCAGCAGCGCAGCTCGACGGGCGGGGTTATGGCCGATAACTAGCTTCCCGTGTTATCAAACGGGGGGTGCAATAAAACTTTACAGCGACGATTGCGGTCTTCGGCGGAGTGCCGAATTGTTCGGTCATCCGCACGGGAAAGCGGAGATTAAAACACGCCGATCAGTTTTCAAATGGGCTAACGCTCCAAGTCCTCTTTAGTTGACTGTTTTGAGGTGAGCGCATTGGTATAGTCTAATATCTTATGAAATAATAAACATAAGCATAAAGATGTGCGGTCCGTGTTCTGTTCTTCTATGCTTGATTTTCTTTAGTTGTCAAAAACATTTATTTTTAAAATAAAATACGGTTTGATATATTTTAACGAAATTATATAGTGGGAATGCTCAAAACTGGCATGGCGCAAAAGTAGGCTTCACCTTACAACGTGCGCGTGTTGCACGGAAACCAAACCAGTTTTTGCAATGTCGCGAACGAGCCATAAACCAATGGTAGAATAAAAAAAACATTTCGGCCCCCGGAGTCGTATGTTTACGACTCCGGGGACCAAAACACAACGTGAAAATTGCACAGACAGAAGAGGGCTGTAAATTAAAGTAGTTTGTACAGTTCCGTAATTTTACGAATACAGAACCGTAATCATGATTCAGGGAAGTTCTCTCTATGGTGCCGTACGTTTTACAAAGGACAATAATAAATTCTTATTTTCTATTTTCTTTATATGCAAGGCAGCTTGTGTGTGTGTTTTTTTTTATTAATTTACAGGCACTCACACACATACAGATACGCACACATGCATGCAACAAAAAAATAGGAAAGAGGCAGAAAAAAAAAATTTGATGTAAAACACGCGGGACTTTTTACATAAGCATCGAAATTTCCCGTTAGCTTTCAGCCAAAGCACCGTCGTACCCTGCGAACGAAGACACCATCGGGGCACGACCGTCGGGAATACCGCTATCGGATTCGCCACGCTGCACGACTCGGGCGGAGTCTCCCGTCTCGGAGACGCCACCGTCGCCTTTCGTCCTTGGCCGAAGCTTGTCCGCCGAGAAAAGCGCACCGTGAGTCGTGCCGCAGCGATAAGAGGACGTCTCGGCGGGAGTGTGCACCTCGCGCCTTGTTTCTGGGGGCCAGCATGCGTCGACGAGTGGGCATCGTGGGCTTCGGCCATCTGGGGCAGTACCTGGCGGCCGAACTGCAACGGAGGACCGACGAGGTCGAGCTCGTCTTCGTCTGGAGCAGGGGCAGGGTGCAGGGACTGCCGCAGCACCTCGTGCTCGAGGACCTGGCACACGCGGCGTCGCGAAGGTAAGGCAGCCACCCAAGACGGTGCAAAGGGCTCACACGGTAGTTCATTCATACACCCCCCTCCCCCAACCCTTCCCGGGCTAAGTCCGATGAGCGCTGAATCCGATGCCTCCTTTACAAAACGCACACAAGTCTAGATACCTCCCCCCCCCCCCCCCCCCAAACCCCCGAAATATTTCTTACACCAACCCCTCCTGGTGACAAGGCCCGCGATTCCAGCGACCTATAGGGGTCGCTACTATCGGGTAAATGTGGCGATCTCAGGCAACACCTTAGATAGATTACATTCCCCATCTCTTTTCAAATATTCTCTAGGCTCATCAACAATTTAGTGTGTTCAATCGTACAAATACCTTGGCGTTCATTTTTCTTCCCCTATGTCTTGGACCCTCCACATTGACTCCATACATGCCGAAGCTTCCAGAACGCTTGGTTACATTCGACGTTGTCTGCGCTCAGCCCCTCCAGCTTTGCGCCAGCTGGCCTACGAAACTTTTGTGCGTCCGAAGATTGAGTATGCTGCTGCCATTTGGTCCCCACACCAGATTTACCTCACTAACACCTTATAATCTATTCAGAATCGTACTACCCGATTCATTCTTTCTAATTATGAACGCACTGCCAGTGTGTCGGCCATGAAGGCCCTTCCTTATGCCTCCCCACTCTCATTTCTCGCCGAAGAATATATCACGCATCTGTCTTTTCCAGAAGATTTTTTATTACCACCCTCTACTCAGGCAGTCTCTACTGTTAGAACCGCATCGTTCATCCTGACGACTTTTGAACTCCCTTAGTGTACGTCGCATCCATGGTTCCACTGTCACCTTTAACAGCTCATTTCTTCCCCTTGCCATGATAGAGTGGAACATTCTACCGGACCATGTAGTGCTCATCAGTGACCCCGACCTCTTCAGACATGCTGTATCGTCTATATTTAATATGTAATCAGTGCGATGCTCCTACCTATGGCCAGTGCTCAGCCACATCTTGTTTCTATGTTTTGTTCTTTGTTTTTATTGTATAAAAGTTCTACTTGTGTGCTTCTTCGTATTGCCCCCCCCCCCCCCCCTCCTTATGTAATGCCCCTGGTGGGGCCTTTAAGGGATAATAAATGAATGAATGAATGAAAAGGAGTTGCCTCAGGTCGTGCAAATGTGCCAGCACAGCGCTCGAGTTTGAGCAGGCAAGCGCATTGAACTCAAAATGGTTTGCCCCGATTTTTGTTCGGGGCAAACCTGCGGCGATGTGTTGGCGTAAAAGCGAGCTTCCATGGCTTGACCTTCTTCCGGGAAGTGAATGGTGGGACTGCGATGCGATGAACGTTGATAAACGCGCAATGTCTGATTCACGTGGTAGAGTAGGTTGTGTAATTAAGAGCGACTTGGGCAACACGCTTATACGACAGTGACTACAGGGTCACCGGAACAGCTGTTCCGTAGCGCCAACCGCCGACATCATGCAATCACGGAAGCCACACAAAACGAACAGAAATCATTAAAAAAAAATCCTGTTTCGTTCAGTTAAGTGTTTTCCCGCTGTAAGTACTGTTCATTTTGCTAGAGTCACGAGCTGGATTCTTGAAGTCCCACAAATTGTCCCCAGCTTCCCGACTCCCGAGCCACTAAAGCCGCAGTCAAACTGATAGCACGCCGTACAACTCACAGTCTATAGACGCTTTGCAGCAGCTGTGCATGGACGCGGCCATAACTGACCTTCAGTTTTTGTTTCCTCTTATTCCGTTTATTTCACTTCATCATTACCATAGCAGGACAGGTTATTGCCATATTAGATTCAACTGTGTCCTTTTCTAAAGCATTGGCCTTTGTAGAGGACCGTCAACTACCGTTTCAGTTGCTCGGCATTTCGGTAAGACAAGAGAAGGTCAGCAATGGCGGCTGTAATTTGGCGCGTGTGTAAAGCGTCTATAGACAATGTCTGAGACGTGTTTCTTCCCTGTATTCCGGTCCTTTCACATCGGCCATAAAACAAAAGTGTGCAGACATCTTATACACGCGCACGTATGCATCAAGCAAACATATCTTCGAAACGTGCCTGAGACACGTTCGGCAGATAAATCTGTCATGATATTGTCGGCAGTGTTCGAAAGTGCCGGAAAAGAATTTGAGACGTCTGGCCCGGAGCTTAGGCGAAAGGAATCTCTCCTTTTTCTTGTTCGCACGGGCTCCCGAGATCCACATAAGGGGTATTCACACGAGGGAGAAATCCCGGGGATTTCTCCCCGGCACGCGAGCATCACGAGACAAAAACGCGAGGCTTTTGCACATCGCAAAGCCTGACGTTTTCGTCGCGGGATGCGTGTGCCGTGGAGAAACCGGGCCGCGGGATTTCTCCCTCGTGTGAATACCCCTTTATAAGCGAGCCAGAGCGAGAGTCCGAACGAGCAACTCGCGCTCGTTGTGCTCGGCTCTGTGGCGCTCTCGTTGTTTTAATTTAGAGCGCAAAGGATTTCTTTTTGAGTGAGGCAGGTATTAAGAGCTGCGACTCTACAATGTCTTCAGCGAACACCGTGTCTTTTTGACCACGCCTTAGGGTTCGAACGGGAGGCGTCGTGATGTCAAGTAAAGAACACTTTCTTCGTGAAATGGCTTCCCCAGAAGAAAACGTGCACCGTGTAGCTTAATTCGTTCATTGAAACCAAATCTCTCGCATTAGCTCCACGCAACTGTAGGGAACACATTTATGGATAACCTCCATGCGCCATCACGCCAGTTTCTTTATGCCGGCAGCATAAGAAATTATTCACGCACGCGATTAATAGTTTCATCTGTCGACGTCGGTGGATCCCTTCTCTTTGTACCCGGGCTGTCTCAATAAATTGCTTATGCCACTGACGCGATTGGCGACGGTTTATGTTACTCTTTATCGACTTAAAATGTCCCCCCACACACACACACACAAAGCGTATAGTGTCCACCTGCGTTCCATATATAAACCTTCGCACAAATCACCCAATAAACATTCATCTGGAACACCGTGACACAGTGCCACATGACGTCAGTTGGTGTACACATAGCAATTCAATTTCCTCGTTAAATAACACCAACAGATGGACGAACGAGCAAAGTTTTAAAAATTGTCCCGTTAAAAATAATATGTTTCACAATTGCTGAAATACATTCCACACTAAACAATTCGTTCCAGAGATCTACACCTATGGCTACATCCTCTCACCACCCTTTTTGAAGAGTGTTCTCCGCACTGACACCGTCTTAAGCCGGGGTTGCTTTCGACGATTTCCAACAGTTATTGCCATGTATCGACGCTTTTTACTTTGAGATGCATTTCTTGAACTTGGATACATTAAGAGTTACGCGAAATATTGACGAGAATGAAGCAACGCACAGCCTTCGCCATTGTTGAGGTGGTCACCTGCAAATTAGTATCTTTGAATTGTCGTATGAGGTGAGTTCACCGGGGTCACGATCCTTCTCTCGCACGTGCGTGATCTCCGCGTCATTATGTGCTCTTTTCTGTGTATGTGACAATTGCATGTAGTGCTCGTTGCCTGTAAACTTACTGATATTCCTAGGTACCGCTAATATTGCCAGCGTCCTATTTTCCGAGTGTTAATGGGCATCCTAAAGCCACAGCCACACTGCTTGTACATATCGTACAAAAGACACAGCTTTCACTGCAGACATGAGGGCAGAATTATGCGTATGGTTCGAAGATGACTGCAGTCAGTTTTTGATGCCCCATGTGACGCGGCCGACGGCCGTCATACAGGGAAGAGTGTTGAGAGGGAAAAGGAAACTCGGAACATGGTGGTCATGATAGACAAGGAAGAAGCGCGCCTCAGACTGTCTTTTGTAGAATGTATCAGCAGTCATCATACAAAAGACAGTCTCCAGACACGAGTCACCACAATATCCGCGGTTCGAATGCCGCGTGCCAAGTTCTCTCTCTGAACTCATTGTCACGTGGCATTCGAAGCACGGATCTCGCGGTGACTCGCGTTCGAATTTGTACGCAGTCTGTCTTTTGTACGATGCAAAAGCAGTGTGACCTAGGCTTTAGGATGGCGGCCCTGGGATGTAGAAAGTTTTCGTGTGTATGACCACCCGGTAAACGGTCCCATGCAGGCCGGACCTGGTGGTCGAAGTGGCCCACCCGGCCGTGGCCCGAGCCCACGGGGAGCAGCTGCTGCGCCACAGCGACCTGCTCCTAGGCTCGCCGACGGCCCTGGCCGAGCCGGACACCGAGGCGCGGCTGCGGGCGGCCGCGTCCCGCCACGCCCTCTGGGTGCCGTGCGGGGCCCTGTGGGGGCTGCACGACATCCGGGCGCTGGCGGACAGGGCGCAGCTGGCACAGCTTACCGTCACCATTGCCAAGCACCCTTCGGCACTCAGACTCGTCGACCCGGACATGCGCAGTCGCTGCGAGGCTGCCGCCACCAGACCCGTGCTGCTCTACGACGGTGAGTTCAGACGAAACACGGGGGTAGTCAAAGATGGCAGTGTACTACTTCAAAGAGGAGTCTCGTAGAAGCCTCAGAGCTTCTAGCCGACGCTTCAGTAAGAGACCTCTCTTCAGGTCCATCAAGAGGCGGCTGCAAGTTTGAAGCTTGCAATCCCAGGAGACTCCTTCATTTTCATGTCGCTCACCATGGAATGGGTGGATAGACTGTTAGATGTAGTGCATGGGGTGATTGGACGATAGATAAAACTAAATTGTCTCACAGGGAGTTGTGCAGCGTTCGAACGGAGCCGGCTGACTTTACACGTATGTAAATAAAGGTGTAGGGCTCAGATTGCATTAACATCCCTTCGCCGCTCCCCAAGAATTATAAAGAGAGCCTTTTTTTTTTTTTTTTTATTCTCAACGGTCATCATGGCCTTCCCAGATTGGCATCAAATATTGAATGCCGAGCTTTGTTTCTGTTCGAGCTATATCCTCACACGCGTCTCCAAGATAACGAGCAGTCGCCGTGACAGCTGCCATGAACGGTGCCATGAACGGGGGCCCTAGCCGTGACCGGCCTCCGTTGCCGTGACCCGAAGCGGAGACCTTTCCGGAAACCGTGTCACGAGCGCGCGCGTCACGACAGTCCGCGCATTGGGGCACGCGTATACGCACGCGCCACCGATCTCGATGGCTGTCTGCATCTTGGCAAACGGCAAAATCTGCGGTCCGCTCCGGGCCAATCAGTGAGACAAAGCGAGGCACGTGACGTCGTAAGACCAACACGTCGCTTACAGACGAGTCGACGTTTGACCACACCAGGTGAGGGCGCTGCGCGTGCGCCGTGCCGATCGGAGCGCCACCCCAGCCGCGTGACGCCTGGGTCTGTGTTGGAGGTGTACATCCTACCGTGGAGAGATATGTCACGTGCTTCGAATCGTTTCTGATTGTTCTCATGGGTGCAGTAGCGTCCGCCCTTTGCCAAGTTATGCTTAAGCGCTGTCCTTGTCAAAGCCTCTTTAATGAATGGGAGTGCTCGAGCTTCGTAATTTTCCTTGTGAGGTCGTGATGAGAAGTGATTGATTGTAAGAATAAATTTAAGACAATCTCAAATTATTCTAACAGTCCCCGTTCCGCTTTTTTTTTTTCTTTTTTTTTTCGCATCTAAAACATGTCTACTCCAACTAATACAAAGGAAGAACGCTGTTGCCAATGAACGCGGGACATGACCACGTCATTGGTTGCGGTAATTGCTGGGCAATCCAGGGGGGCATCGCTATCCACAAGAAAGGAGATAGAAATGTGATGTGAGAATTGACAGCTTATCTTGCGAAACACACACCAAACCGTTCTTTTTCGTCTGATTTTTTTGTGTAAAGTCAACACTTTGATGTCGGTTGTGAAAACATCATACTCAAATAAAACTTCTTTTTTTTTTTCTGTTTGGTTCTGAACCGAATGTTTGTGGTAAGTATAGCTGTTGCCCCGACCTGTGATGGCCCTTCGCGACATTAGAGCGTCTTCAAGTACCGTTATTTTATACAATACTCCAAGAGCCAAAGCAAGAAGGTTTTTACATGCGATGAATATTGGAAGGTCCCGCTCCGGCGTTTTTTCAGCTACCCCAACTAACAATATTTTCTGAATCCACGTTTCACCCTTTCTGGTATGCTATTTAGTATTTCGAAATCCAGAATAGTGATTGTTAAATCGACAAATGAAAATTATGCAAAAAAAAATGACCGCATCTTCACGTGGTGAATGATGTTGATTGGGGCGAAGCTCTGGTGGTGCTGATGATACTGATTTTATTGTTCATAGGTAGTGCTGATAGTGCTGATTTTTTTTTTTTATTGCTCATAGGTACAGTGCTGAGTTCCGGGTTGCGTTTCGACTTCATTAATACTGCTTGATGTGGTTCTTCTAGCGGATCAGCTTGGATCCGCTAGAAGCCGTGGGAACGCATCTTCACCGCTTAAAGGGGTGTCCAAACAGGACACTACAAAACGCACGACTCCGACAAATCGTGAAAATTGAAGCGGACGCGCCCGCTTCGCGCCCGCTTTGATATTCACGATTTGTCGGAGTCGTGCGTTTTGTAGTGTCCTGTTTGGACACCCCTTAAGTCAACGGTCCATGTCAGAAAGAGAATGTGTGGTATGGAGCGTGGTTATATACGCATTTGAGCATTTTACCGCAGCGCCCTCTCGTCTATAAACGTTGAGCCAACGCATGCAAAGTTTAACGCAATTATATACGCATTTGACCGCAGCGCCCTCTCCTGTATAGACGTTGAGCGGCTACATGCAACGTTTCATCCATGACAGAAACCCCAGCTCCTGAGTTACTACCGCATCTCAGAGCCCCCTACTCGTCCCGCAGTCGTGGCTTAGTGGTTAAGGCGATGGACTAGAAATCCATTGGCGTCTCCCCGCACAGGTTTGAATCCTGTCGACTGCGCAAACATTTTTTTTTTTCTTTTTATGTGAGCCCGTATGGACGGACGGACTGACGGACAAGGCTAGACCCTAAGGAGCTTCGCCCCTAAAACCAACATTCAAATACACCCGCACGTTTCAGTGCCGTGACGTCAGTGGCAGGCAGGCTTGCCAGTCGAGCAGGCAGTCTAAGAAATAGACGATGCCAAGCATTTGCTTCGTGCTGATGCACGAGTACTGGATCGAGCTTTCAAAACATTCATTTGACAGCATGTAACTGCTTGAAATCAGTTGGGAAAAAAAATACTATTGTCTAAAGAGTGAATCCATGCCTGCCGCTGGCGTGTGTGTCGTGTGTTGCTTAAACTTTTGAACTGCACAAAGTGATTTGTATCACTGCTGTTGGTGCTCGGGACTCGTTAAACTTCGTAGTGAAACTTTTTTTTTTGCTCCCGCTCTATCATTTCTTTAACATGTAAATAAACATTATTATTATATTAAGCCAATACCAGCGGAGAAAAAAAAAAAACACGACATTTTTAAACCTTTTTTTATTATGTGGAACACAACGCGTACAAGCACGTCAATCTGTCCGCCAGGTCCCGTGCGCGGGCTGTGCCCCCTGGCGCCGAACAACGTGAACAGCATGGCGGCGGCCGCCCTTGCGGCGCACACGCTGGGCTTCGACGGCGTCCGTGGCCGTCTGCTGGCGGACCCTGGCTTGGCGGACTTCCACACGCTCGAGGTGGAGCTTGTGGGCCCCAGCGAGCCGGACGGCCGCACCTTTAAAGTGCACACCGTACGCCGAAACCCATCGGACAAGGGCGTTGTGACCGCCAGCGCCACCTACGGGGCCTTCTTGGGTAGCGTGCTCGGTACGGACCACCGTTCAAGTATACATCTATTCGCGAACCCAACGGTTCCTCTGTCTTCGCTGCCAGGCTTCGTCAATTTTCGCTCCATGAATGCTCGCGCAATATGGGATTCCTTACCTTGCTCCATACATTCAGAATTTTAAAGCATACAGTTAAGAAGCGTAACCTTACATTGTTAGGCTTTAGTTAGGTGGCGCAAGACGCCTGAATAAAAAGGTTCAGCTTCATTCATCCACATTTATCCATTTGGATAGGCGTCTTTGTCGCTGGGGGGCGTGACCGTCTTTTCCTCTGGAGCTGCGAATAGATGAGAGGAGAGGGCAGTGGCGTAGCATGGCCTGGGCGTAGCTAAGCCATCCCGCACGCCCCCCCCCCCCCCCCTCCCCCAATTCACTTCCCGGGATCGCAACCAACCAATAAAGCATGGGGGAAGGGGGGGGGGGTGCTGCCAGGCCCCTCCCCCCGCCCCCCTGTAGCTACGCCTCTGGGAGAGGAAACACCTATTTACATCTTGATAACGCACTTGTACAGGAACTATAGTCTGTTGCCTTGCAGGTTAACAGGACACGCTTTTCCCCACAATACCTTCGCTCTTTCCACTTTAGCAGAGCGAACGCTGGAAAGGAGGCGAGTCACTCCACGCTTCCTCTCGCCTTTTTTCAACATTCGCTTTGTTAAAGTGGAAAGAATGAAGGGCTTGGTGAAAGGAACTTGTCCTTCTTTTCTTAACCTCCATATTTTTTTTTTATTATCATCATGCATCGTTCCACGGGCAGCATCACCGCTTTGGCGTGACATCAAAAGCATGTAGTCGGAGAGACTGCTCGAGCGACGGCGCAGAACAAGTTACCATTATCAGAGGGTTTTCGTGTGAGCTGCGCACGCGCTACTCGTGTGACCTGCGCGGAATCACACGCTACTTACCTACTGCCTGCTGCTCCAATAATTTTGCTAAAGATCTGCCGTAAAGTTCCGAGAGAGCGCCCGCCCCTGAGAGATCGCCCGCCCCCGAGAGATCGCCCGCCCCCGAGAGATCACCCGCACCCCAGAGATCGCCCATCCTGTTTTTCTGGCTAAATATCTGTGACATAAAAATTCCGAAACATCGCCCACCCCCCGATTCCCGTAAGGCGTCACGCGATGTCCGACGAAAATCGTATCCGCCGTGCGATCTGCTCTACCGGTACGTCTGATAAGCAAGTTCATAGCGGGTTCCCGCGTTTTTGTCCGCGATCTGCGCGCGCGATTTCGGCTCCCGCGACAGGCAAGTTTGTAGCGGGTTCCCGCATGTTTATTGAAACCATGAAACTTGAATCTGCTACGTCCACGATTTGCGGTATTCGTTCCCGCGAGATGCGAGTTCTCGGCGGGTTTCCGCGTGTCCTTCGCACCTTGAAACGCGAATCTGCTGCGTCCGCTACCCGTCGTATCCTTTCCCGCAACACAGGAGTTCGTAGCGAATTTTCGCCTGTTTATCGCATTATGAAACGCGAATTTGCGGTGTCCCCGATCTGCGGTATCAGTTCCCGCGTCACGTAGTTTGTACCGGGTGCCAGGGTGTTTATCACTAATTTTTTATAACGTTTTTGCTGTGGCGTCCCTAAATATAGCCCACCCCATGTTATCATTTATATCTTCATTTTGGGTGGGCGTTCTTTCGGAACTTTACGTAATCATAAAAGTTTGGGTTTCAGTTATCTTTGTCAGTGCTCAAGAACATAACCATGGAAGGAATCAATCTTTCGACGGTGAAAACAACGATAGGGAGAGTTGCGATCGCGATTTCATTTTGCTCTTTACAGTGTTTAGTGCCAGGCGCAGAAGCGTCCCTTTCATAAAAACGTCTCTCTTTTTTGTTACCCTTTATTTTCTTGCAGAAGCGGCCAAGGGCCGGGGACCAGGGCTGCATTTTTGCTGAGCATGAGCAGGAGCCGTTCTCAAGATTCGTCGCCATGCGCGGCAACGCTCTCTTAGCTGCTTCGCTTATTCGAGCAAACAAATAAAATTTTATTTACTACACATATACGTAAGGGTTAATTGTGATGCGTGCATTAAAGGATCGGTGAATAGGAACTCAAGAATGTGATGGGCCGAGTACCGTGTAGTAGACATGCACAGTGCGGGTACATGCACCCTAAAAGTTTAGTCCTCCAGAAACGTCGACTACGGTTGCTGAGACACTTCGATATTTATTACCGACTCTCGTGCGTGTTGCTCGAAGATATTTATGAACATACAAATTGACAATTGTACATCCCCTCCCCCCTTAAAAAAAAAAATGCGCGTTTTTGAACGCTCATTTTCCGCCCAATTGTTGTGATAGCAGCCTAGACCAGATACCAAAGCTTCAGTACTAACGGTTATCTTATTAAAAAGTTATAGGCTGTTTTCTGAAATTTTGAACGCGAAAATGGCGGCTGATGGGGCCCTCGAAAACATGGAGCTGGATGGCGCCTGTCCTCAAGAACGGACCCCGTTTTTCCATCGCAATATCAGAAGAAAAAAAAAAAAAAAAAAAAAAAAAAACTTGTATTTTTTGACTAACATAACGTTTAGGTCCAAAACAGTCGGTGACAGGTCAAGAGTTCAGGGGAAGCTCCTCCCACCCTTTTCCATTTTAGCAGAACGAACGCTGGAGTGGAGGCGACCCCTTCTCCAGCGTTCGCTTTGCTGAGGTGGAAAGGGGTGGGAGGAGCTTCCCCTGAACCACTGTACCTGAACTCTTAATACCGTCCGCCATTTTGTTATGCACTAAGATGCAAAAACTAAACCACACGCACACAAAAAAGATCTATATAAATGGGTGATTTCATCTCAAATCGTGCAGGCAAAAAAAAAAAAAAAAAATCTTTAATTTTGCTGAAAAACAGATATGTTACGGCGTCGCCTCTAAAAGCAGTTGCCACAAACCGCAAGTTCGTCGCATGGCACCTATATATAGTGTATATATATATATATATATACTCGGGGTATATATACAGGTGCAGATATCTATGCACCTGTATATACAGGGTGTCATAGAAGAAAATTTACACGGTCTTTTTTACCGCAAAAATAAACTAGGCATTGCCGAACGCTCATTCTCCGCCCAAAGTTAGTGCTAGAGGTCACAAACAGATGCCAAAGTGTCAGCCCGATCCGATAACTTAATCAAAAGTTATAAGTGATTTTCTGAAAATTTCAATGGGAAAATGGCGCCCGACGGAGTTTTCGAATACATGGGGCTCTATGGCACCAGAAACCGAAAACGGGCAAAAAAGGGCTCCATTTTCCCATTGAACATTTCAGAAAATCGCTTATAACTTTTGATTAAGTTATCGGATCAGGCTGAAACTTTGGCATCTGGTTGTGACCTCTAGCGCTACCTTTGGGCGGAGAATGAGCGTTCGGCGATGCCTAGTTTATTTTTGCGGCGAAAAAAACCCTGTAAATTTTCTTTTGTGACACCCTGTACATATACCACGAGCATATATAAACAGGTGCCATATATATCTGGATATATATATACTCGTACATATATGTACCCCTGTACACGGTGCTGACGGTGCCATATACACCTACATATATATACTCGTGGAGCAGGTACAAGGCTGGGGCTCGATAAGAGGCGGAAAAATCGCGCGGGCGCCTTCCCGCAACCGCTAGCCTTGTACCTGCTCCACGTGTAGTAACTTTAGTGCGCTACTACTCTTCTCACGCGCTCAAAGTATTTCTGAAAATGACTGATTTAGTGGTTTTCGATAACGCTCAGCAAGTTTCTAATTGGAACCATATGTTTAATTCCACGAATTAAAAAGTTAATTAACAATTTTTAATTAATTAGCTGGCTAATTACTATGTGTTCGGCAATTCCTTACGTCTGCCGTGGCTGGTAATTTGTTCCCGAAGACAGATTTTTTTTTTTAACGCCCTAATTTTTAGGATTTTTGAAAGTCTTCGCAAAAACGCCCGGTATATCCTAATGATTAGGGCGTTTGAAAAAAAAAAAAAAAAAAGAAACCGTCTTCGGGAACAAACTACCAGCCACGGCGGACGTCAGGAATTGCCAAACACATACCAATAAGCCAGCTAAATATTTAAAAATTGTTAATTAACTTTTTAATTAGTATAAATAGACATATGGTTCCGATTAGAAAGTTGCTGAGCGTTATCAAAAACCACTGAATCAGTCGTTTTCGGAAAGAATTTGAGCGCGTGAGAAGAGTAGTGGCGCACTAAAGTTACCACTCGTGGTAACTTTAGTGCTGTATGTTTTTGTCGATTCCTGACGTCCGCCGGTGGCTGTTATTCTGTTCCCGAAGACAGTTTCTTTCTTATTCAAACGCCCTAATTTTTAGGTTTTTTGAAAGTCTTCGCAAAAACGCCCGGTATATCCTAATGATTAGGGCGTTTGAAAAAAAAAAAAAAAAAGAAACCGTCTTCGGGAACAAACTACCAGCCACGGCGGACGTCAGGAATTGCCAAACACATACCAATAAGCCAGCTAAATATTTAAAAATTGTTAATTAACTTTTTAATTAGTATAAATAGACATATGGTTCCGATTAGAAAGTTGCTGAGCGTTATCAAAAACCACTGAATCAGTCGTTTTCGGAAAGAATTTGAGCGCGTGAGAAGAGTAGTGGCGCACTAAAGTTACCACTCGTGGTAACTTTAGTGCTGTATGTTTTTGTCGATTCCTGACGTCCGCCGGTGGCTGTTATTCTGTTCCCGAAGACAGTTTCTTTCTTATTCAAACGCCCTAATTTTTAGGTTTTTTGAAAGTATTCGCAGAAACACCCGGTATATATATATATATATATATTCTATATACAAGTCTTTTTGTTTTTGTTTTTTCTTAACAGAATTTTTAAAAACAAGCCATGAAAGCTAGGTTAATTTGGTCTGCGCAGGTGAGTTATACGGCCAGGGGGACATAGTATAGGAGACTAATGGACCTTTTCCAAATACCGACGGCACCAGGCGGTGGCTGCACGAACTAAAAATCGATGAAGTGACCTACCTGCGCTACCAATCGATGATGGGAGCTACGCTACCAGTTGCTTCGCTCTCTGAGCTGCGTCGCGTGCACAACGCGACTTTAAAGAGGGAAATCCGTAGCGTCCACCCAAATGTCGTGTTTTCTTTCCGTCCACTTTCTTTTTTTGTGTAACCCAATTATATATATGCTGCAATTACGTGCTCTACTCGTCGATCTACAGCCTCATTCCGAATTTCCTCGATTTTTCGTGCCGACTTCCACCGCTTGGCATCGGGCGCTCGCGCGTGCGCAGAACGCTTCTCGAAAAAGGTTCATTGTAACGATCAGTCGGCTAATTAGTTAAAATTCGTTAATTAACTTTTTAATTAATGAAAATAGACATATCGTTCCAATTCGAAACTTGCTCAGCGTCATCGGAAACCACTAAATCAGTAATGTTCAGAAAGGCTTTGAGCGCGTGAGAAGCGTAGTAGTGCACTAAAGTTACCGCTCGTGGAGCAGGTACAAGGCTGGGGATAGATAAGAGACGGAAAAATCGCGCGGGCGCCTTACCGCAACCGCTAGCTTTGTACGTGCTCCACGATTGTTAACTTCAGCTCACTACTACGCTTCTCACGCGCTCAAAGCCTTTCTGAACATTACTGATTTAGTGGTTTCCAATGACGCTGAGCAAGTTTCTAATTGGAACCATATGTCTATTTTCAATAATTAAAAAGGTCATTAACGAATTTTAACTAATTATCCGACTGATCGTTACGATTAGCCTCCTATATTATGTCCCCCTGGTCGTATAACTCACCTGCGCAGACCGCATAAATCTAGCTTTCATGATTAAAAAAAAAAATTCTGGTGAGCTTAAAAAAAAACACCCTATATGTATATATATATAATAGAGGTGAAGTAAGATCAATATAAAACAATGGACCGGGAGAAGTTATTAAGTCAAAGATGCGTACTGACGGAGTTACTAATTCGAAGTTTATTACGACGTTTCGAGCGGGGACCGCTCTTTAATTAATATATATATACAGGGTGTTTTCTTTTTTATTCTTACACATTTGTTTAAAAAGGACCATGAAAGCTACACTAATGCGGTTTGTGCTGGTGGGTTATACGGCGAGGCGTACATTATGTGCATGGCTAATCTTTGCCATAAATCGGCTAATTAATTAAAATTCGTTAGTTGTCTTTTTAATTAGTGAAAATAGACATATGGTTCCAATTAGAAACTTGCTGAGCATCATCCAAAACCACTAAATCAAGTATTTTTAGAAGGATATAACGCTGGGGCAGCATTTTAAATCGTTCTGTAAAAACGCTTCCTTTGGACGCGTCTCTGGATTTCGGTTTCTTATCGAAGCCACACCCTCGCCTCATTTGTAGAGTGGAGGGAAGTAGGGCGCACGTGTATTGCGCGTCTCAGCCACCGGGGAGCAGGACCGCGGGCGCGGTGATGCGCTCCGATAAGAAACCGAAATCTAGAAACGCGTCCATATAGAGCGTTTTTTTATAGAACGCCGTAAAATGCTGCCCCGGCGTTATATTCTTCCAAAAACAGTTGCTTTAGTGGTTTTTAATGATGCTCTACAAGTTTCTAATTGAAACCATATGTCTATTTTCAATAATTAAAAAAATTAATTAACGAATTTTAATTAATTAGCCGACTTATCGCAAAGTTTAGCCACTCACATAATGTCCGCCTGGCCGTAGAGCCCACCTGCACAAACCGCATTAGTGTAGCTTTCACGGTTTTTTTTAAACAAATGTGTAAGAATAAAAAGAAAACACACACACACATATATATATATATATATATATATATATATATATATATATATATATATATATATATATATATATATATATATATATATATATATATATATATATGAGGGCAGTAATACATGACCGCACACCGGTTTACAACGCTCATCCAGGTCGAAACGATCAGCGGTTGTTATTAAACCCAGGATCCCTGGGTTCTGCAGCGCGAGCTAAAACAATGGCGGCGATCCTGAGTGTTCCCCTTCCCGATTTGAAGGAAGAGGAAGACGCATGGCACCACCCGCGATGCTGCCATGGGCGCCGCCATCCCGGCTGGCGGCCCTGTGCTTCGCGTGCGCCTGGGCGGCCGCGTCACGCGTGTCCGACGACGACGCAGACCTGGAGACCGACGTCCCCGCGCAGGACGACCCGGACAGACTGCAGTCCGGCGTGCCCTGCGACCAGTGGGACGCCGCCGAAAGCGTCTGTTGGTTTCGCCGCCAGGTAGGAGCCCATAAACCCGTCTGTCCTCTAGGGTGTTTTATAGACGTTAATATATCCACCGTTTTTGTTTTTTTGTTAGGAGCGGCTTGGTGCGTGCGAAAGGCAAGCGTTTGAAAGATTCCCCTGGCACCATCATTACGTAGTGCATTGGGGACCATACGTTTCATTGTAGGACATCCAACAACAAAATGGCGGACTGAGGTCACGTGGAAACACCCCATATAGAGGATATACCGCCAACTGTCAGTGTCCCCTAGGGACCTTCAGATAGCGCTTGCAGATCTGAACCAAGAATGGGGGCTCGGTGGCCGAGTGGGCTGAAGCGCACACCCAGTTCGACGCGCGTGGAGCTAAAGCTCGCGCTGCAGAACCCAGATATCCTGGGTTCGCCCTGCCCGCTTCGATCTGGATGAGCATCGTACCGGCGTGCGGTCGTGTAATCACTACTGCGTGAGCACGTTAAAGACCCCAGGTTGGCAGTCGTACTGCACTGGCAAAATTGCTTATCTACAATGTAAACCAGTCTCGCCTCATTCTCGCAGACCGACCTTACGCTGTATAAATCACTAAACGTCCAATTTGACTTGAACCAAGAATGGACCTGGTACCCTTTTGCACATTTTGGTCCAACGTTGGTCTGTACAGAAACTATTTATTGATGCTTAGATGTCATGGTGGGAACATCAAATATAGGAGCAGTGGCGTAGCCAGGAATTTTTTGCGGGGTGGGGGGGGCTGACGTGGCTTTGGGGCGCAGAGAAGAGGGGGGTCCAAATAAATTTTTCTTTTTTTTGGGGGGGAGGGGGTTTAAACCTCATAACCCCCCCCCCCCCCCCCCCCTCCCCTTTATGGCTACGCCCCAGGTAAGGAGCATTCACTGACAAGCGTCTGGCTTTAGGATCCCACTGTTGACCCCACAGAAGCTCAGAAAAGTCCGGCTTGCACTGATGTCAAATCAGGGGCCATTGTGAAGTACTTCGCTGTTGTGTGTGTGCCTTCTACAGCATATGCATAGCTTGCAAGAGCCGCCATTTCTGGCTACTGACGGTTATTTCTAGTTACTAGTTTCTTCGAACTTCAACTTGTGCGGTGACTAACACGGCGAACCGAACGCACGCGGTGCATAACATACTGGCATGGCCGAAAATTACGTCACATGCAAGCTATGCATACTTTGCACCTCCGATACACACACACAAATAGAAGAAGGAATGATTATTGTTATACGATGCGAAGACATCACGTGCAAGCCACGTGTTTACTGGCGGTCATAGCTGAGGTGCGCGCAGCGCGTTGTGACGACGGCCTTGCGCAACATCCATTTCACGCCATCAACACTTTCGTCCTTAGCAGACGATTACTGGAAGCTCGCGTTGTGAGCATGCGCTGTGAACAAAGAGCGCTCAGATATGGCGTCCGGCGTGTAAAGCTCAAAGTGCACTTGCGAACTCGTTGACACTAATTTGAGCATCTCGATTATGTATTTATATATTTCGTAGTACCTTGAAGGCTACCATAAAGAGTATTTACTGGACGCCATATTTGAGTGCAATGTTCGCTGCGCAGGCTCAAAACGAGCTTACATTTATTGAGTGTTCAGACCAGCAATCTTAACAATGTAAAATGTACGGTAAAAAGAAAATTGGAAGTTTGTCGAAGGCACACGCTCATCAGCCTCTGACCTAGCTACGGGCCACCAGTGAGTAGTCACTATTAGTGACTAAAGCTCTGTTATAATCCGGCGTGGAGCGTAGCAAACGCGGCGTAGCGCAGCGCACACCGATTCTGATTGGTTGCAAATATCGAGTTCCTGCTCGCCGGCCAATGAAAGGCCCACGTTCTGCGTTCCGCTACGTTCGCTGCATTCAACGTCGGAGGAGAGGCACGTAGCCAGGATTTTGTTTTGGGGAAGGGGGGTGACGCCACCACAAGGATTGTCAAGTGCCAGCTAGAGTTTTGTGGTGTGTGTAAGAAGCACGATGGAAGTTTGGTTTCATGGCGTCCTCAAACCAACACCGTCTAACATCCAATTCCTATTTCCATAAATGAAAGTAGGATTCATCCTACTCAAGATGTCATAGTGAGCGTTTGACCATTCTGGGAAGGTCGGCTCGACGCTTTCGGTCGCGCACGTCGCCAATATGCCATTACACAAGGGACCTCCTTCGCTGAAAATCCTGATAGTTAAAAAAGCTAGAGTAAGAGCAAAACTATAACTGTGGGTATCTGTTCCAGGTGGGGGACACTCTGACCCTGTGGCTTCGCAGCGGAGGCTCTGGCTCCGTAGTATGGCGTCGTCGGTACCGGGCTCTAGACGAGTCTCGAGGCGACGCCCTGGTCACTCTGCGGCGCGACAACGCTCCGTGGAACGTTGCCTTGGGCGCCGGAGAGTTGCGCATTTCGCCCATCACGGACTCAGACCTCGAGCCCAACAGCTGGGAGGCGAGTGCCGGTCCCTTGGGCAACATCAGCTTCAGGATATCGATCCTCGCCCTGGACCTGGGACCCGTGTTTCGCGGGGACCAGGTTACGCTGCACATCGAGCACTTCCTCACTCTGCCCCTCGAGTCGCTGCAGTTCCGATGGGAACTCGAAGGCGGAGTTCCGCTAGCCGCAAACATGAAAGTACGTCCTACGGGTTCCCCCAGGTGGCGGGTTCGAATCCCGGCCAAGGTGCGCCCGTAATCTGACGGAGGCTTATTGCGGAGAAGGCTCAGTGTAACTGATATTTGGGTTGCACGTCAAAGGATCTTCAGGTAGTCGAAATGAATCTTCAATCCTCAGCTGGTGCGTTCGTTTCGTTAGCTTGGCGCGTAAAAGTCCCAAAATTTGATTTTAAAGGTTACTTCAAATGACAAAAAAGAAGGCAACAAAAATTATTTTCTTGCTCCTTTTCCTTTCTTCAAAACCGATGTAGTCTCTACTGAGCCACCGGTCACAGTTTTGCACTTCAGGTTGCGCTAATAATTTAGGCGCTAATGAAGTAAAGCGCACTCGTGAGAATGATTTGCACCATCTCGCGGGGATAATGGAGGGTGGAATATAGACCTGGGCAGAACCTAAATTCTGAGCACCGCTCGTGGCGAGAAAAAATCGAATATTTGTAGGTCGCTTTTGTTGCGTCCTTTGTTCGTGGAAAGACGGCAAGGGACGCTGACAGACGCTAGTTTACGCTCGTGGATAGTGCATAATAAGACGCTAGGACGCCGTTTCACGTCAGCATTACATAGTCGCTTCTTGCAGAGGCTAGCGGAGGAGCCTTTTTTTGTGGTCGCGTCTCGTAGTGTAGTAATCTCGTGCACGCTACAGCGCCACCTGGCCGAGAGACACAGGCCAATGAACTTTTCCGAATGAGTTTAAACATATATATGCTCCATTTCGCATTACGATGAACCGCAGCGGACGCTACGCGCCATCTGCGAATACAGAGCTGAGAACGTACCACGTGACTACGCGCGCTGCGCCCCTCCCGAAGGTCACGATTCACGTGACGCTTAGATGGCATAAGATTATTTAGCTTCCATCGCTCGTAGCCTTTTCTGCGGTCCGTCATTTAGTTTACTTATTTATTTATTTATCTTTTTTTTTTTTTTTTTTTGCTCAGGAACTAGAGAGAAACCCAGAAAGGTTTAAGCTCAAACGTCATCCACCATGACAGGAGCTCTAAGAACCCCACAAGTTTCGACTGTGTCACGCTGAAGATGGTTGCCGAGCCGTCACGTGTTCAGGGTTTTTGCTTCATTCGCAGGTGAGCCCTTCAGGTCGGTCACTGAGGATAACGGGCCTTCGCCGCAGTCAAGGAGGTGTGCTCGCCTGCTCAATCTTCTCATCCACTGGCCTTCTTGTGGCTCGGAGACGCTTTCTCGTTCGGGAGCCTCAGGAAGAACCACTTCCCGAGATCCAGAGCCGCCTCGTGCTCGCGGAAACGAAACGCGTGAAACGGAGCGTGTTGCGTGCTCGGCGTCGCCCCCACAGAGATCCGAACGATGGGATGCTACTGAGCCGTTGCAGCAGGGCTACCCAGTGCAGCCTACACGCACAATGCAGCAGGGACTCCGGTTACTGCCTCTGCGCCGACGGCTATCTGGGCAATGGACTCTTCTGTTGGGAGGACGAGCGACCCTCGTGACGAAACAGCATCCCCCATCGACAGCGACGGTGACGACCACTTCAAGTCGTAGTCAAGCGAAGCCAATCCAGGGTGCGTTCCGTTGTGTTCAATTTAAATGCAGAGTTACCCGAGTTACTACAGTGCTACAGTTTCAATAGTTACTCATAGAGCAACGTTACCAGCCAAACGTGACAACGCGTAAATTAAAAAAAAAAATTAAATAATATTAACTTAGCGTAACTTATAAAAGTTACATAAATGATTCTTTTTTTTAGTTCAGGTGTCGCAGCGCACTGCAACGTTTTCTTCCTCCGAGAGTTAAATAGATTCTACTCTCAGAGTTTAGCTTTGAATAAACAAACACACTCGTGGTGCTCGCGTGCTTTTTGCGTTCTGCTCTCCGTTTGCTGTGCAAGTCGGCTGTTCTGCACCCGTAGCACTCTCCGGGATCTTGATCAAAGTATAGTATTTAGGGCCCGTGGCCACAGGTAAGTTAGGATCCTGCCTGAGAATACTCATTAAACGCCACTTTTGTACACCTTGCAGCTTGGTAGTCGTAACACCAGTCACCCGTGCGTACGGCTGGTACTGAAATCTCTTTTAACATTTTTACCGCATTCCGCGCTAAGATATATTTTAGGAGAGACACATTCTTACTGACAGGATTCCACAAGACAGTACGTCGTCTCAACAGTCTCCCTCGCAACGTTGTGGCAGTTCTAGATTTCGGGGTTGAGAAATGCAGAACCAAGCTCCTTCCACAACATCTTTCGCTCTTTCCACTTTAGCAGAGCGAGCGCTGGGGAGGAGAGGAGTGGAGAAAATAAAACTACCGATCTCGGCGCGCAGAGAGCACGCGGGGAGGACTTGCCCTGTTTTTTTTTTTTTTTTTGTTTTGTTTTTAAGCAGCGGCAGACTTAACGTTTGGCGTCTGTTGACCCACCCACTCGTTTCACGCTTGTGCAGGTTCCGGTCAGCAGCGCCATGGAACGTGGAGTGCTGTCGTTGCTACGGCCCGTGTGCCACTTCATGCAGCAAGCCCATCTTAGGTAAGCCACACCCTGCAGTACATAGTCATAACTATCGATTGAACTGTGAGAAATCGTTAATGCACTGCAGACTGCATAATTACGAAGTCAAAATTAGAGGTGTGCTTTGACAGAGTGGTTAGGATGAAGCAGCGCTATATAATTCATAGCCTTCACAGTGCAAGGCAAGGTCACATCACCCAGTTCTTTTCACACTGTTGAAGCTAAGGATGACACAGTGCTATTCGATTGAAATCACTATTCGCTCGCCCTTGGTCACAATCAAATATAAGAGCTGACATATGTCCTGCGTACATGGCTCTCGCTTTGGTGAATCCAAATTATTACAGTGCATGCACCGTGCCCAGTACAGGCACGTAGTCGGGGGGAAGGCCCATGGGGCCCGCCCCCCCCCCCCCCCCCCCCCCCCGAAATCTTCGATTTTGACGGGACCTCCTCTCTCCCCTCCCCCTCATACAGCAATTTGTCATGGGCGCCCCCCCCCCCCCCCCCCCCAACCAAAATCCTGGCTACGTGCCCTAGCCCAGTATCATCTGGAATCTGGTCAATTGATCGAATGAATGGTGGCTTCCTTTGGATTCTCCAGCTACCCTGTTGACGCATTTTGATTTGCATTTTGAGTTTTGTTGTCTTGAGTTCAGGGGAAGCATCTCAATTTCCAGAGTTGCAAGCTCGGATCAATATGCTTCGCGCTATGCTTTGCGCTTAGCACGATGTGGGATAAGGCAGAGCGTGGAACTAAAGTAACATCAATATCCCTTTCGTCGAGAGTTTTGATTGCTCTAAAATTTTACAGCTTGTCAAAAAAATTATGTTCTTTATATTTCTCTTCACCCTACCTCTCTTTTTTTCAGCACAAGTGCCGTGCAGTGTTGCCTGCAGAAACTGTCCCGTCTTCGTGTGGTGGACAACAGTGCTTTGGGACGTCAGGCCATGATGGACGCTAAGCCGCCCAAGATCATCCATGTATACAACAAGACCGGCATTGCAACCATCGGGGACAAGGTGCGTTTCACCGTGCGACTTGTGTTCTGGGCAAATGCGGGATGCGAGTTGTAGCTACTTGGGCTTTGAAGGGGCTCTTGTAGAGGTTTGGTTACAAACACAAGAAAACAAAAAAAAGAAAGGAAAAGAGGGACAGCACATGTACCTCTTGTGAAGGTTGAACACCTCCATCATGAAATCAGATTGAAGATAATATGATGAAAACAGGCAGTGGGTGGTTGTGATACTCTATCATGGCTGTCCACTGTATGAGGACATTGGGAAGTACCCATGTTGTATCATGTAGTGTCTCCACTTGCCTAAGTAATTCCTGCTGTGGATGCCGCCCATTGTTGCTGGATGCCTTCTAGAGGTGCATGTAATGTAATGGATTGGTGGCGTTTGGTGGCTTAGACATCTTCTTGTCCTGTTCCATTCTGCTACCTGATTAAAAAAATGGTGGTCTCGCTGGACATGCGTTTGGACAAGTGTAGGATCAGAGAAGAACTCGTGCAATGCACATACTTGCATCTCGTGATTATTGTCTTATATCTCTAAATAAAATGTTCCAGTAAACCGGAAGCTGACAGACAACGCTCACCCATCATGTCAATGGACAATCCACAGTCGTTGCCTCGGTCTCTTATGCGCCTTTCTATGTCCCTGCACTTGAGCTATGGCATGCAACACTTGCTTTGAGCTGCAAAGGGGGCACCACTGTGCAGGTGCTGTTAGCCATCCTGGGCCAGAAGAAGCAGGGCTACGTGGTGGGTTGCAAGCACCGCAAGCATGTCCCCCTGCGGCCTCGCTTCGACACCAACAATGTGGTGCTGCTGGATGACAACGGCAACCCGATGGGCACGCGCATCCTGGTGCCCCTACCGTCCATGCTGAGGGGTGACAAGGCACGCTTTTCCAAGATAATTGCCCTCTGCTCCCGCTTCGTTTGATCCCACTGGTAGCTGCATACTGTGTTTTGTGTCTAGTGCTCTCAATAAAGCTGATATTTTATGTTTTATTCTTGTGTTTATGTGTAAGGAGGAGGGAATGTCTGTGGGTTGCTTCATCTGAATCTTTGAATCCACTGTTGATGGATAAATAGATGGATATAGCTGAAGCCTTCTAATTGGGCGGCTGCTAGCACCCCCTAGCCAAGATAAAATAATGCGCGCAGTAGGAAGGAGAGGGAGGAAGCACCTTGGAACGACCTTGGGGGCAAAAAAATAAGGCACAAAGGGACTTTGGGGGAGCCCAATCTAGGACACTGCAGCTCAATTGAGCCAGCAGGATCTATGCTGTGGTCAGCGAAAGATTAGGAGTTCAAAGGAAGACCCTTCCCCCCCTTTCCACTTGGGACAATGGAGAGAAGGCAACTTCGATCTCCAGCATTTGCTCTGCTAAAGTGGAAAGGGGAGGAAGTGCCCAAGCTCGCTCGAGCACCTAGCTGTTGCTCACGTAATTTCGTAAGGTACCAGAACTTCTTGAACCGGTGATTTCCGTAAATGGTTCATGACCAATTACTGAATGTCGAAGATAGACAGATAGCAGTGAGGGAAACAATATATCTTTTTGCCATAAGGTTTGAGGCAACGCTAGTTTGAGGCAACCTGTGGAGTCAGCCATTTGCTTAGCATATCTTTTTTTTTTTTTTAATTTTGTGTCATTAAAGAAAAGAGATAAACTATTTTAAGTTTCTCAACGTATCTGGCTGAATCTAAAATTTCCCACAATCCTCCTGGCTTCCCCATTCGACCCATTGACGAAAATAATCTCTGGAGAAGGGGAACAAGAGGGACAAAGGACAAACACAAATCTCTAATTGTTTGTCCTTCGTCCCTCTTGTTCCCCTTCTCCAGGAATTATTTTCGTCACTCTTGTCCAGCTCGCTTGCACCTTTGCACTTAATTGCATTAAAATCTCGACCCATTGACTTTGATCAGAATCACAACAGGTAGATGGCGCACGTCATCACCTAATTTTGGTTTTCCGAGTAGCAGTTGTTATAATCCAGTTCTATGATCGCACCATCCACTGATCTCTATGACAATTAGAGATCAGTGGCACCATCTTTCAAGATGGCGACTGCGATAATTTGTCGGCTGTTGAGGTCGCCAAAGAGCCGCACATCGCTGGCGTTTGTCACCGTACACTAACTAATAATTTTTTTTTTTTTTAATTCAGCAAGTGAAACTAAGATTGAGAAACTCCGAGATTTTCCTCTCATATCTGCGGGGGACGGTCTCGAGCCCATGGTTTTGTTAATGGCGACTGCAGGAGAAACCGGAGAAGCAGCAGACGACGACGTCTTCGACGAAACTGCAGATACGTCGCGGATCGCTGAAGTGGAGTGGCAGCGACTTAACGATGCCTGCACGAAGGTAAGTGGTACTGCATGAAACATATAATAAATTCAGATCTCCGGACCGACCGAATATATCACATCAAATGCCACGGTTGATAGAGCGAATGATCGTGGATCTTGTCCATCGTCCGTGGTTGTCTCTTGCAGCATCATACGATTCCCTCAACTATCGACATTTTGGTTGGATTATTCTTCAGATTCACCTTATGTTTTGCGGGTGAAATATTTTTCTGTTTCCTGTTATTACGATAGTAGTACGCAGCCAACACGCAAACTGCTCCGACGGTAACTTAGCGGATTCTTTAAGAGCGCTTAGGGATATTGGAGGCAGAATAGTAGTTACTCCGAAAACTACTTGTTGCGTACCAGCTCGTCGTCTAATCTTCTCCTCGTGGTGTTCCGGACGTCTTTAGCACGTGTCCCCGACATGCGTTGCAACTCCTAAGCATGAAATAAATACTCTCACTATCTTGCAAGTGTAGTGCGTATGCAAAACAATCCTTGATGTGTCCTCGCAGGAGGGTCTTCGTGAGGGCCTGTCAGAGGGCAAGGAGGCGGCATTGCAGGCTGGCTTTGACCGCGGCTTCCGGGAGGGTTTCCAGCTGGTCCGTCACGTGTCCCTTTGGAGAGGTCTGGTCAGGTGAGCGAATGCTTCCTTGGCCAGCAGGAGCAGAACAGGTGCGAAGGGCAGTGTCGAAGGGCAGTGTCATGACAGATGCCGACGCTGGTGCATAGCGACACCAGAGGTGCACAAACTTTTAGACCTGCAAACCCTGTACTCAAACATCCTCCCCCGCCCCCCTCTCCTCTCCCTCCCTCCCTCCCTCCGATGCTACTTTACAATGACTCAGCGTTTTGAGGTTCCCGCGACCCTCCCATGAGTAGTGACCCCACTTTGCACACCTCTGCTCTGCACTACTTTATTGCAGAACATCATTTTATGAAATTTCACTATTTTCATAATTATATAAGGAGCCCATTGCAGATGCATTGGTATAGTAGTATCCACTTGATAGTTATGTTTATTCAGGGACCAGGAGCATCTATATCCAGATTGTGCCCAGCAGCTGCTGGACACAATTTCCCGTTGGGTTCTCAAGGATTAGCATCATGGAAGGTCACGGTGAGTGATCGACACAAAAGATGGTTTGCCATGGGGCCGACAGTGAGTGTAGCAGCGGAGGGAGGCAGGTTTTGTTGAGTTCCATGTGTCCTTCAAAGACGTGTCACCATAGCTCCCGGAACCACCGCGCATGGCAGCAGGTCAGCAAATAATTTGTTTTTTCCTTTACGATTATGCAGCGGAATAGCAGTTCTTCAAGACAAGGTGACATGTTTTTTGTCACTTGTGCCTAGATAAACAGTATAAAGAATACAAACTGTAAATACTTTCAACATTAAAATCGTTCCACTGTCCCTTAAACATGTATCTTCCTAATTTGCCAGTAGATTATCAGATTATGCTGCTGGATTGTTTTTACCATGCTCTGCTATACTGTTTCTTTTCTAAACGGGGAATGGTCATAGGTTGTTTGAATAATTGCCTTCAACATGCCATTCATATACCATGCCGTGGATCACATTTCGAGCATGCACAATAGCTCTTGTGCAAAATGTCCCGTGCTGCTTATGCACCCATAGGCCATGTGCCCGTAGCCTAGGGTGACGGCAGAGTTTGCCTAGGCGGTAACTACTGAAAATCTGAACGGCTTGCAAACTGAAGACATAAAGCATGTTTGTATTTCAACTACCACTGACATAAGTACAAATCTGTTTGTCTGTTAAAATGTGCCAATCAGGTTAGCAAAGCTGACAGAAAATATTATTGCATTTTTAAGTCTAAAACGTGCTACCATACTCTGTCACTAGAAATGTTACGAAAGAAGAGCCCTTCAACTTTGACTGTACATAGCATACTCACCTCAATTCAAGTGATGCCTGTTTGGCTCTAATATCTGAACATATTGAGGCACTTGGAGGTATTCTATCAGTGCAGCCCAATGCGCATGATGGGCTCTATTCCAGGTGATTCTAACCTGGGTATCCAAGTTGGATGCTCGGCGCTATTTCTGACGTCCCCGATTGGCGAGCGGCAATGTTAAGCGTGGTGGACGGCTATTTTGCCGACTTTCTCGTCGTATGTCCAGCTTAGAGCCTCTGAAGTGATTTAAGGACTGTTTACTAGCCTGTGCTAGAATGCAAGCATGAAGCTGGCACAATACTATGCCATCTGGCAAAAGTAAAGGAAAGCTAGGAAGTTGTGGTACTCCTCCTGGGGACCATTTTTGAAGGTAGTCAGCATTCCAGACTGTTGCCCTTTCCTCGTGCAGGGGTGTCTGCAGCTTCTCAGAAGACAGCAGGGGCCCGCTGGGGGAGCTGGCAGACCGGCTGGCAGTCTTGGAACGGGACCTGCTTGCGGGACAGGCCTCCGACGGCCGGGTTCACCAAGCCCGCAGGGACGTGGAGGCCGCCCTCCGCGAGCACCAGCTGCCCCAGCTGTGCCAGGCGCTAGACGACGCCTAGCGGGTACCACCTACTCGAAAATACCAGGGTCTCTTACTGCCGGCAAGTTCCCATCTTGGGAGATCCGTCGGCCTACAACAGAACTGGTCTGGTGACAGGTTGTGCTCCTGGGCTGCCTCGAAGACATCTTCTAAAAGTCTGAAGCCTCCAATTAGAATGACCCCCAAATTGGGGCCTGAGCCCAGAGTCCTCGACCTCCAGCAAACCTCCCTTTTGGAAGATTTATTGGCACACCATAGAACTACTTCGTTGACAGGGTGTGCTTCTGGACTGTTTTGGAGATGTTCTTCAGACAGTGCACCAGAACTGCCTGAAGTCTCAAGAGCAGAAAAAATCTTGAGAATGGGGCCTGAGCCGAAGCCTTTTGAGTAAAACAGTCCTCAGGTTGGGACCCGAGCCAGTGGGCTACTGTCAGCAAGATGCCAACACAGACTTCATGTGCATCTGTGCCACCATACCAGTGTTCAGAGACGTGCCAATCGGGGAGAGGGCTGCTAGATGCTGATTCCTGGAACAGGACTGCTCAATTGATCAGCAAAGGCACCTGCTCGAAGACACCAGGTTCTCTTTCCTGCCGACACGGCACCATCTCGGAAGATCCATCGGCCTACCATAGAGTTGAATCGGTGACAGGGTGTGCTGCTGGACTGCCTCGGAGATATCCTTTAGATGGTGTGCCAGAACTCTCTGAAGCCTTCTAGTGGAAAGATCTTTAAATTGGGGCCTGAGCCAGTAGGCCACTTTCAGCCTGATGCCAAGACAAACTTTTGACGCGTGTCTTTGCTACCAGACCAATATTCAGCAACATGCCGGTTAGCACAAAAGGTGCTAGATGCTGACCCTGGAATAGGGCTGCTCAATTAAATGGATACTACAATGAAATTTCGGCGCTTATTTCTGGGTCTATTTGTGTTCAAGGGAGTAGAATCACATCAGGCACACCAATCTCTTGTTAAAAAAGACACAAAAAGGAATTTTAAAACGAATTAAAGGATTAGCAAAGAGCACCTGGTGGGTGTTGCTAAAGCCTTGTTTGTAACGCCCGTCTAGGAACCTTGACAGATAGTGACGATATCTGTCTCACCTCCGGCCACCACGAGAGAAGAGGGGAGGGAGGAACTCCCCTCTCACCAGGATTCTCTTTTGTGTGTTCCAAAGGTCACTATTGTCTCTCTACAAGATTATAGAAGGTTCACCCTCACTCAAAATTCACACAAAAGCAACTTTGGGGTTAGTTGCGGCGTCCCAATCGCTGGCGTGCTTCGGCCGCTTCGGTGGCGGGAACAGCCAGGACATCCTGTTGACGTCAGCCTTGCTGCAGCTTTGCTCGTGCCGAGACAATCTACGTCACGATTGCGCCGGATGTCATGTGCTCTCCGCTGGCTGCTCTCCGAGTGCTTGCCAGAGTGGGCCGTTTATAACAAAAAATACAGCCATCAGGCTCAAAATACAAATGTGCGATTGTCATTTAGATATTGAGGATTTTATTCAGCCCATTTTCTAACACAACGGGTATATTCCAAATTTCAACGAAGTATCCCTTTAAATTGCCCGTGAAAAGAAATGCATTTTTTTTTAGACAAACTAATTATTACACAGAAGTGTTGTAAGTTGGGCCAGTTGGTATGATGACATGATGAACAGAACAGCGCACACAAAGACAAGGACAAAAAGAGACAGCGCTTGTGTGTCGTGCATGTTCCCTTTCTCTGTCCTTGTCTTTGTGTGCGCTGTTCTGTTCATCAAAATGGAATATATATTGTTAAATCTAATTTTAAACACGAGCAGAAACCGAAACTTGGCTCTGTCCGGCAACATTGGCCTCGGGCCACCAAGAACATGGCTATCACGTGGTTTGAGACGTCATGTGATCCCTCCGCAACGAAGGTCGGGGTTGGGGCGGGCGTGTGCCAGGCGCAAGTGTCGTCTGCACTGAACTCGTCCATCACGTTTTGGTGTCTACGACATTATTTGACGACGCCTGCAAAGCTGCGGCATTAGCCTGTGCACATGGTGTTTGTAGTGTGAACGAAACTCCGAGAGGCAATAATCACAAACGGTGAGACGACGATGGCGGCCAACCACGTGGACACCGCTGAGCGCCGAGAGGAAACATTGCTGACGTCATCCGTATGCTTGCCTGGAGAAGTAAAAACAAATGAAAAGGGGCAATGGTGATGACATTTAGCTCATTGTTGGCTTTGCCCATACCGTAGCCTTGACTGCGCTGTTGGTTGCGCTTCAATTTGTCTGCTCCAGTCAGATGATTTCGACGACATGGCGAGTCGCAAAGTTTGCCGGACGGTTTGAGGAATATTTAGGCAGAAGTAGATCATAATGTTTGACGTGTGGTCTTCCTAGGTGATAGCTTAGGAAGACCACCCGAGATATAGCCCACCTAAAATCGAAAGCAAATGGGGTGAAAATGAGGGGTTCGGTGTGTCATAAACAAAGTTAAAAAAATGCTAGATTTAGGTTTGTCATTCTCGAAACTTGTTATCGCAGGGAGGGGCGATGAACCAAAGACGACTGTCCTTCCCAGTCAGCAATATTCGCTTATCTCCTGCCGTGGTTAAGTAACGCCGATTCTGCGAAGGTCACCATTGGCCAGGGACCTGCAGTTCTAAAAGTGGGCTATCTTTTCGGGGGTGGGCGGGGCATCTCTTGGGATATTACGGTATATTTACTCTCCCCTTTCTTCCCTCCCTTTCCGTTAGTGTGAGGGTTGTTACCTGACATAGCAACCCTGGAGTGAGGGGACAAAAAAAAAAGGACGGACATACACAAAACTGGTTTCTTCACATGAAAGAGTAGAATGTCATTCTCATTCCCACATCCAACTAGAGTGACCTTTTACAGCGGAGCTGTTAAGACCTAGTTTTCCCAGGATCGTGTCCGGTACCAAACAAATGTCGACACAACACTCTGCTTGCCGCCGTCGCTCACAGATGGCGGTAGCCGTCCAGAGTGTTGTGTTTGCCGCCGTCGCTCATAATTCGCGGCAATCTTTCAAACTTCGGCAACCAGACAACTGGTTGCTGCCGTCGCTCATAGATGGCCGCAACATTTCATCAAAGAAAGAAGAGTGGGAACGGAACGAGCGGCGATATGCGCAGCAGCGCGAATGGTTCCGCAATCACCGCGAGGCCGCTATCGCCTAAAGTTCCACTGCGTCGAGCGCTTCAGATTCCCTTGCGAAAGGAAAGCAGATCGCTCGCCTGGAAAGTCACCGCCGTGAACAGAACCTACAGCTCCGATGTGCTCCCTTCTTCACTAGAGCGGAAAGGCTGAAAGTTTTTTTTATTTAAGATATGCCTGATCACCAAGAATATGCAAGCACCCAAATGCATGCCCAGCTCAGAATCAGTTGCCGAAAATGAAGGCAGGTGCACTCTTATTATGTTGTAATGTCCTTTGGCTCTCAGTTTATATACCATAATATCTAGAAAGATGGCCAACCGAAATTCGAGAGTAAATCAAGTGAAAATGAGGAACAGGCTAACTTTTGGCATGTGGTCAAGAAACTAAAAATGCTATTTTTGTATTTTGTTACATGCCACACTTGTTCGGCTGTCCTTCCCAGTCAGAAATGTTTGCTCCTCTCCTGCTACTGGTAATAACTCCATTTCAGCCGAGATCACCATTGGCCCAAGCACTAATTACTAAAACTATCCCCCCCCCCCTCCCCCCCCAAAAAAAGTGACAATAGAAGTGCATTTTCTTTCGGAGTGAGGCATCTTGGGATATTACAATATGTTTGAATTTTGTTATCTTACAAGTGTTTAGGTAGGTTTTGTCATATTTGCTGTCTTGTTTGTGAATGTCAAACATATTTGGATAATAGTGTGGCGCCTAGGCTGCAGGCTGCATCTCAGATGGATGTGTTTACTGGATCCCTATTTTGACCCGCAGATTTCCAGCTGCTGCTGCAATCTCGATGATAGCACAGCAGCAGGGGTGTGAACGGCACATGCTTCTGCTCTAGCTTACCCCGCTGCCAGCCAGACAACAAAAACTTCGCAAGCCGTAGGTTGGGATGCCGTGAAGACAATGACTCCTGCATCCAGTTGCTTTCATCTCTAGCACTGTTGCAACCAACCGCCAGGATTGCGTCTTCACATAGCATTACAGAGTGGCTCCTACGACACATTTTGTTGCAACCTCTAAGGGTCTCCGATACACGAGTGGTATAAAATACTAAACACACCATCTGAAACATGTTTTGGACAACTTATGCATTCTTTGTATTGGGAAGCACCAGGCTGCATCGCCCAGCCACAAGGTGGAAGTGCTAGGACCTGCTAACGTGGCACAGTTGCGGCGACATTGGACAAGAAAGGAATGGAGCACGCCGTTGTAAGCATATGCATAAAACAGGAGAACAAGTCTATAATTTCAACATCCTAACTTCACATCCATATCCTGACTACACTGGAGCAGTCTCACTTTTTTGGCTCGTCGTCGGCCGCCTTGGCAACTTCCTTTTTTGTGAAGCGCGAAGTCACATAGTTCATCAGGATCGTGTGCGGTGGCGTGTGCCTGTTCTCCTTGGGCACAAACTTGTCATTCTGGGCGATCTGCAGCCAGCCCCAGTAGGCAAAGACCAGCCAGCCGGTGAACAGCGAAACCCCCAGGTTCGGCATGTACTTCCGCCACGACACTGCAAAGACACGCGACCACAGACACGTTGGACGCAGTCTTCACAATATGCAATGCCAACACCTTTCCCTCCCAATCGCCATCTCGTCACCGCCCCTTCCTCGCTGCAGCCCGCATCTTTTTTGCTTCTGCCAGCAAGGAGCTACGCCCTGCCCTGATGTCCCGTAGCCCTCTAAGACACGTCTTCCTCAGCAACGATGGCTTCTTAGCATCTGTCTTCAGGCGACGGTACAGCCTCTTCAGCTTCGCCACCGCTACCTCGTGCCGCGTCACAGGCTGTCCCAGGTCTTGATCCAGGCTCGAATGGCCAGAATCAGGGTGGTTACCATCCAGTACCCGGCCGGGCATGGCCGCCTCCAGGACCGTAACCTGGTCGGATCTGGAAGACGGCAAGGTTCGACTCTGGTCGGACGTAGCCGCTGGCAAGACCGGAACTGTCTGCAAGAGTAGGGCCCGGATTCGTGCCAGAGTTGCGAGCAGCATGAGCAGCGTTTCGGACTGGTGACCAGTGTTGAGTCTTCGCAAGATAAAAGCTGCGGACAGCTCGCACGACGCGACGCAGCGTGACGCCAAGGCTTGAGTGGGACTCACTGTGACGTCTAGGAGGGCCCTCAGACAACGTCGCACACGACGCACCGTGCTCAGACCTTGTTCAGGTGGGAGCTTTGGGAAGACAGTACGTAGCAACACGCAGAAGAGCCCAACTTCGGTGTAAAGTCCATCGGGGATCTGCATGCTTTTGATGCTTTTCCACACTTGCTGATCTTGGGACACCCCTAGGCTTGGTCGTTCACCAAACAGGCCACACGCTAGAATAGAGCACTGCTTCGTTTTTTACTTACTTTGAAAAACAGGCAGCTCAAGGTCCCTTGAACTCTCGCACTTTGAAACACGATTGATTGAAGCAGGTACAACAGCTCCAGCAACGACTCCGAGCAGCAAAAATAATCCCCGAGAGGGGGAACACGATTGAAATGTTGAGTGTGCGTTCGTTCATTCGCAATTTTCTACCCTGGCATACTGAGCGCGTGACTCTTGATGTTCGGTTATCGGCCCTTGCAACGCTTGCAACCTAGCCAACCAAGTGCAGCACTAAACCTTCGTGAAAAAAACGAGCGCACTGTTTTTCAGAAGATGCTTGCAGTGCCTCGCAGTAGTGAATGCGGTATAAACACTTGCAAAAAAAATGAATTAAAAAGTGCTCTTGTATTAGAATTTAACAAGTTCGGCTAACCAACAAGTTTCATGGAACCCAATTTCCATAATACATAAAATAATTTTTAAGCAGCACGGAAGCCATTCTGGCGCCGTGGCTTAGTTGGTTAAAGCGCCTGTCTAGTAAACAGGAGATCGTGGGTTCGAATCCCACCGGTGCCTTTTGCTATTTCGCTTCTGTAAATATTTTGGAGTTCTGATTTACCTCGTTTTTCTGTGACCTTACATTGAAGGAAAGCTGTCTCCCGTTTTTACTGTTGGTAAAGAATAGTTGTGATCCGTATGTATTATTTGATCTGGTTTGTATGCGGAGAAACATACTAGTATTCTTTGGTGCTGGTGACTTTCGGTGGTCTTGTTGAACCGAAATTGTATTGTGGTGATTGTTCTTGATCTTCGGTTCTTTATTTCTGCTGTTCTATTGATGTGCACTCCTGAAACAGCCCGAAAAGGCTTTCAGTATTGTAAATATATTAATAAATAAATATGGGTTAAGACCCCTTCCGAAAGTGTGCCCTCTGTGGGAACACTTTGAAGCTGTTACACCCACCATGTCAAACTTTTACCAACTCGCCCAGTTCAACACCTTGTTACAGCCTCTGTGGGAAGACGTGGGATCTCTGCACAATGGTGGACACGAAATACAGCCAATGTTGGGACCCTCGAAACTTTAATAATAATAATAATAATAATAATTTTTATTTGCACGAGAAAGTTTTCCCACTTTAGCATGCGCAGTTTTAGAATCTCCCGTTCTGCGATGCGTCGCTCGTCCCGCCATTGCACAACGCTTCAGACCTTTTAACAATGGGCACGTGACTTTCCAAAGGAGTCTATTACAAACTTCCTTCGTGTTGGGAGTTCAGATAGTCGTCTGAGCAATTGAGATCCGTTACTTATTGTTTTATTATAACTTTACCACTTTAAACGCATATATTGTGGTGAAAAGTGCTCATTTGGGGCACTGCCATACGAGGTAGATTGTGGTGCTTGCGCTGTGTTGCACAGTGCATATCTTTCAAATTTTATTTTCAACCCACCCATCATACAAACTGTTTGGAGTTTCTTAACCTGTGTTACTCACCCTATGCCTGAGATGCCTTATTTTAATGAACCCAAACTAGCCAGCTGGCTATGGGTCCATCTGCTTTTTCAGTAACACGTATGTGTCTTACTCATAAAACAAACTGAATTGAAAGATAGACACCTTTTGATATGGGCCTTTAAATACTGTGTCATCATTCTACTCTATATGTGAACCATTTTGCGCTTCACTGTCATGGCTAGCATATATCTTCCAGGGTGCTACAGCTCCGCACTACAACGAGAGCATGTGGCTTCATTTTGCATACCATTCATATATGCATTCATGCAACTGGCTTTGACAGATTTTGAGCCCCGTGGAAGGTATACGCTGGTCTTGACAATATAGCACAAAGTAGATGAATAAGACTAAAAACACACAAAAAGAAAATAGTTACATCATTATTATTTTTAATGTTCCTGACGTCAGGATTTAGATGATATGCAACAAGCCCCCAAGGCTTCAGCCAGTTCGTTACTGTATTTCATCAAAATGCATATGTTACAAGCAAAAGCTATGAATTCTGCAACAATAGGTGAGATGAGAATGTTTCAGTATTATTCTGGGGTCAACTTGACTGGCACGCAGTACAGCCATTGACAGGGGTTACTTGAGACAAAAGAGAACAGCAGAATGCCACGAGTCCGGCAACAAACGTGTCCAGTGTGCACAACACGAAGCACTTGTGCACGTGACATCTGGAGGCTGCACATTCCGGCACAGTGCTGAATCACTCCTTAAACTTCCACTCTTGTCTGCACATCGGGCAAAGCTGCTGCAACTGCTGCGAGTTGAGCCACTTCATGATGCAGTGGATGTGGAAGCAATGTGAGCACTGGCCCCACACTGATATCAAAGGGAAGAAATAATAAAAAAAAAAGGTTAGCACACTGCAGACATGATACCATACCATAGCAACATTGACAAAAGACAGAAGCTTGGCTGACACGTTTACACATGAAATATGTACATCCATGCTGCCAGTTTCCGGTTAAGGAAAAAAACAACAGATTTTGATTCAATTCTATGCCCTTGACATGTCGTTTCAAGCTCACATGCATATACAATTTTTTCTGAATGTAATACACGCATGTCTGATATTCTTGAAGGATAGCGTTCCCCAAATACTGCTACTTGCCAGCTTTGCACAAATTAACGCTATAAATGTGAATAGCTATGGAATGCTAAAAATGTGGAACATTTGTAATACTAAAATTTCATGATAAAATAATTCTAAAATGTGTCAAAAAAAAAAAAAAAAAAACACCTAAATTTGGCAATATAACTTTTTATAGGCATCTTTCTCGTTTTTAAAACTTTCTGATTTTTAGAAGGTTTGGTTTCCAAATCTAGAGAATGAATCATTGAATGGCATGTTAATGTCCGGTTACTTAGGTGCAGATTGACTAATTTTATAAGTCACAAACAGTGACAAATTGTAATGATGATTTCATCTACCAATGAATTAGTACAACAAAATAGACTTTCATAACCAGCATACCAAACAAACTGCTGAACAATATGCTTAAGGTATGATTTGCACAGGGTAAAATGCCAGGGTGCTGTCCTAGTCAGGGTACAATGTAAATGTCATGACAAAACTCTGACAAAAGACTAACTAACAAAAAATAGGAACACACAAATGTGAGTTCAGACATTTCATCGAATGCCATTTCATTGAATACCGTTTCATTGAACACCATTTCATCGATCGCTGTTTCACTGAATACTGCCTCGTTGCGCAGTAGCAATTTTTGATCTAGGAAATGGCTTTCTTGTAATGCCAGAAGGATAGCAGACTTTTCTTCTCCTAAAGAGGGGAACTAATAATTAAATACATTATTTCCTCTGCTACACCTTCTACTCCTATTTTTTTCATAGAAACCAGTGGCGCACCAACTTGTTTTTGAGTGGAAGGCGGCAAACCAGACCCAGACCCCTTCCCCCCCCCCCCCCCCCCTCCCCCCCCCGCTCCCCCCCCTGGGTGCTGCCGGCCAGTGTTTGCCCTGCCCAGTGGCGGCTGTTCCAGTGGGGGGGCGGGGGGGGGGGGGGGGGGGCAAAACACATGCCTTGCCCTCCCCCCCACCACTCTGAGCATTGGGGGGGGCAAGCGTCCCCCGGTTGGTACGTCCATGATAGTAACTGATGACCTGTGCTGCTAATGTGGCCGATAATAAAAAGGAAACAGCCTTGAAATTTTATGAAACTTGATCATTGGGGACAGTGACGAAGGTAAGCCGCTTCAAGGGTGCGTTCTCATCATTGAAGAAATGTATTCTGTTTTAACCATCAAGGCGTCCTTGAGGCAATGACATGTCCATGTCGAATGAAACAAAAAAAAAAAAAGATGTCTCCCTGCTTATTTTTTGTAATCGGCAGAACTATGTTCTTCGAGAGGAAGTTATTCTCCTAGGATACAATGAAAACACAAATAAATAGGTAAATACAAAATAAAAAAGGTGCAGCAAAGAATAGCTAAATTCCTTTCCGGATGTACCTTTTATGCGTCAGAAAAAAATAGGGAACAAAGTATGTGGTTGAGTATAGCCGCTAACCTTACCTGAAAACAGCAAATAGCAGACCCACTCCAGTTTTGTTATGTTTTATGATTCAGTAACCAAACTTTTTTTGGAAAAACTGACCAGGCTAGTAATTTTATTTCTTGTGATTTGATGGCAGGGTGAAAACAACCCAGAAGCGAGAGTAATGCTCCGAAATTCGGTAAAGTGAATTTCTATGAAACGGCATCAAGCAATTACATGAAGGGGCAATACGGTGTTCGATGAAATGTCTGATACCCACAAGAATGTCAGATTGAATACCTTGCAAGGTTATTTGTGAACAGTCATAATCATGCACATCCTTGCAGCATCTTCCACATACTGATTCCCATATATTCTTTGATAAAAAAAAAAGGTGAAGTCTTTGTCACATGTCTCACTCAGAAAACAAGTGCAGCATCATACACTGCCTGTTATGTGCTAACACTACGTAATCTAGAAAAACTTATACTCTGGACTTTGGTAGTCTCAAGCTGTTGCAGAAAGACATTATGTAGGCCTCAATCCTTCAAAAACATGTTCTATGTTTACCGCTGCGTGCTTATTAAAAGAGGCCTTTTTGAAAATATGCAGATTAATGAACCGGTATGCTTCATATTTGCATATTTCCGATTATTTCTTCTTCAGAGAAAAGTAAATAATAAAACGGCCCGTGTACTAGTACACTTGAATTTTTACATCAGCCTAGTGAGCTGTGATCTTGCATACTTAATTGAATCTGCAATTCAATGTCAGTTTCACCAGCTAAATTTTCAAAGCTTAATTTGAGTCTGATGAGCAGACTCCTTGCATGTCTAAACCATAGGTGCTGTATCCAGCCTTTGCAAATGACTCTGCAGTTTACTGGGGCATAAATTTACATCCACATGGTTTAGCTGCCTAGGTGACTCTGAGCCAAAGCTCCGACCTACAGATCCTCAGGTGGTGAGCTCAAATCCTGGTTGATGTGCCTGCAATCTGACGAAGGCCTATTGCAGAACCGAAATTTCGGCTGCACGACAGAAGATTCTGAGGTGGTCGAAATTGATCCTGTCCTCCGGTGGGGCTTGCCAGATGCCCTTCATTGGTTTGGCACGTAAAACCGAATTTGAATTTGACATGGTTTAAACGAGGGCTCAATATACAGGGGTACGGTTCGCTGAAAACAACAAAAAAGCTAGATACCTGGGACGCTAACCAAATTCCATGTAATGTGCCACGAATACGCAAACCTGGATTGTGCATAGAGTTCCATTAAAAAGGCTCGACTGCTGCAAATTTTTCCGCAACACAAAACATTTGTCCGAGAAGTTTTGAATGGGGAGAAACCTTTACCCAAAGGGCAATCGTCCCCAGGCATTTTGCAGTCCGGGCAGCAGCCATCAAACGCCATGCGGCAGATTCCGCAATTGTCGTCGTTGGCCACCCAGCGCCAAGAAGCGACGCCGGCCCAACCTGAAACAGGGTTTGTTTAATTTAGGTGACCATGCAACCCATTTGAAACTTAGGAAGGGTGCAGATTCGGGCTGGTTGAGAAAGATAGTGATAATAACACTCAGACACAGAATGGCTTTGCAAGTGGATCATTTCGAGGGCTCGTAAAGTGGTTTGCAGAGGAGAAAATGTGTTGTGATGTGGGCAGTGGCATAGCCAGAAATTTTTTGTGGGGCGGGGTGGAGGTCGCACTCAGTTGGTTGAACCATGCTTTAACGAATGCCAACTTTTCATCAAGACACTTTAGCAAATGGTCGGCCACCACACTTTTGTAATGAGCCGCCACCAGGGCCGTAACCAGGGGGGGGGGGGGTTAGGGGGTTCTGACCCCCCCAAAATTTTTTTCTGGGTACGGCCCTGGTCGGTGCACTTGCAGCCAGCCGATTTTAATCTCCCCCTCAGCGCACGCGCAGTGGCGCTGGTCGGCTACCGGGTACCAAACCGGGACCGGTTCTCCGGTTTGCTGCAACTCTCCATTATATGCCACCGATGCACATGATTCATAGGTGAAAATAAGACAATAGACACTTTCAAAATGGCCGCCATTGTCCCCGAAAACCCCCCCCCCGAAATATTTTTCTGGGCACGGCCCTGGCCGCCACAGACTGTCACCGCAAACGCAGGCGGTGGGGAAGGGGGGGGGGTCAACACACTCTTAAGTTATTTGCTAAAACGTGGATTCTTTCAAATGACTGCTGTTCACTAAAACATCATTCGCTCATGCTATATAGACCCGTGCTGAAGCCCCATAAGCCTCCCACTGGCTATGCTGCTGAATGCGAGATTTGTGCTTTTTGGGTCCATATCACGAGCGAATGATGTTTTAGTGAACAGCGCCATTTGAGCAAATCTACATTTTAGCAAATAACAGGGGCGCATTAACCCTCCCCCTGCTCTGCATTCAAGCCGCATGTGGCGGCAGTCTGCAGCGCCTCATTACAAAAATGTCAAACCCTTGGCCCACCCGTAAACGCCACTTCGCGGAGGCTGACCGTTCCCTAAAGTGTCTTTCGATGAAGAGTCGGCATTCGCTAAAACGTCGCTCGACCAATCGAGTGCCACCTGTGCTTTTGATAAGCAGGCAAGGTGTCAAAGACAATGGTAATGGTTTTCCGAAACAGGACGAATCAGAACAGGAGCATTCCGTAAGTTCAAAAGGACTATTACAGAGGAAAGAAATGTGTTGCGATGTGGGGGTATCTGCTTTTGATAAGCATGCCACATGCCCTCAAGTAGATTATAGCTGGAGGGGGGATGGCAGGGGTGGGATCTAACCACCAATCTGTTTCAAACACTACTTCTCTATCAACTGAAAAAGATGACACATTGAAAGAAACACATTCCATAGTTGGGTCCTACTCTTAAGCTCGGAAACGTGCAGTTGCAGACAAAGGCAGTAGCTGTTTCAAAGACGCGGGATGAAAAGATCGGTGGACATTTCGCGATGCGTAGGTCATTCCTTTCAGCTCTCTCGTGTTTGGAATTTTGACCCCGCTTTCTGAAAACTCGTGAAAACCGGACGAGGCCGAGATCCAGGTGTTAGAGGTATGCCATTCGATCCTTCGGGGCTCCACCGATATTACCGGCGTGGAGGAACGAGAGAGGCGTCACCCCTCATACACGTGTTACTCATACGGCCACGTAACGAGACAAGAGCGGGAAAATACTCCACAGGATCGCCTCACTCGGAGCTGAGGAGCACTTCAGTATGCTGACGATTTGGGTAATGTCCACTCCAGTCGAGGTGGTCGTGAACACTGCATAAAGCTACGTCATCAGCATTGTTCCGAAGTGTACAGCGAAGGTACAAACCACGAAATGGTGTAATCGATCGTTCTCTCGTACGATCCCTGTACTGAGACAGTTGTGGCTGTTTCAAATTAGCTGCCGCGATTCACACAAATCAATTAAACAAAATATTTGAATGACAAAGACACCACGTGGGAACGGCTGGGTTGTGTTACGGCACAGAAGATTAAATGTCCGAGCACGAAATAAACGTTTGAGGACGCGATGGAGCCACGCGAGAAGTTCTCTAGGGCTTTGTAGGCGGAACAGATCGAAATATAAATGAAATCGCGCCTACTTTTAATGTTCACTTTCATTTTGGCGTTCCCGAACGTTCCGGGGCACTCCAGGGCGATCGAATGGCGCCGGCGGAAGTCGTCACTCCAACTTCCGCCGAAAAACGGACTACATTCGAGTCAATTTCTTCCAGAATGTTCTGGAAAGTTCTAGAAGCTTCCGCCTTTTTGCTCAAATAATTCTGTTTCCGGAATATAGTTCTGCATGTACGAGGCATTTAAGATAATAGTACTTAATTTATTGAAAATATATTCACATATATACAATTTAAGAACAAAATTAAATACTTTAAATAAAATAAAAGCTTTGTTGTGCTCAATGAAAGTATCTGCGTACTTGCCGGCGGAAGTGCGTAGGGATATGTGACGCGATGGAACGGTGTGGAACCGTCGAGAACATTCGACAGCCGGATTAAAAGCCCGCCAACCGGCATTGTGCGAGCATTCATTCGGATACTTGCGCTCTGTACCCGACGGAATCTGCGCTCAAGGTACGCAGTTCTTGTTCTCTTCTGTTATAGTATTCTATATGTGGTAAAATTATTGGAGGACTTTTCTGCCGCCGGCGCAGGTCGACTGTTGTCCTCATTTCGGAATTCCGCTTGTTTTTTTTTTCCAGATGCCCGAAGAAGTGCGCATGGAGGATGCCGCCGGCGAGGCGGAGACCTTCGCTTTCCAGGCGGAGATCGCTCAGCTTATGAGCCTGATCATCAACACCTTCTACTCCAACAAGGAGATCTTCCTCCGGGAGCTCATCTCCAACTCGTCCGACGCTCTGGACAAGATCCGCTACGAGTCTCTCACAGACCCGACCAAGCTGGACGCCCAGAAGGAGCTCTTCATCAAGATCATCCCCAACCGCGATGACCGGACCCTGACCCTCATCGACACTGGCATTGGCATGACCAAGGCCGACCTTATCAACAACTTGGGCACAATCGCCAAGTCCGGCACCAAGGCCTTCATGGAAGCGCTGCAGGCCGGCGCCGACATCAGCATGATCGGCCAGTTCGGTGTGGGATTCTACTCGGCGTACCTGGTCGCCGACAAGGTGACTGTCACGTCCAAACACAACGACGACGAGCAGTACACGTGGGAGTCGTCCGCCGGCGGTTCCTTCACCATCCGTACGGACAACTGCGAACCGCTGGGACGCGGCACCAAGATCGTGCTCCACCTCAAGGAAGACCAGACTGAGTACCTCGAGGAACGCCGCATTAAGGACGTTGTGAAGAAGCACTCGCAGTTCATCGGCTACCCCATTAAGCTGCTGGTCCAGAAAGAGCGGGAGAAGGAAGTCTCGGACGACGAAGAGGAGGAGGAAAAGGAGAAAAAGGAAGACAAGGAGAAAGAGGACGAGGCCGTCGACGAGGAAGGCAAGCCCAAGATCGAGGACGTGGACGAAGAGGAGGAGGAAAAGGACAAGAAGAAAAAGAAGAAAATCAAGGAGAAGTACTCGGAAGATGAGGAGCTGAACAAGACCAAGCCCATCTGGATGCGCAATCCCGACGACATCTCTCAGGAGGAGTACGGCGAGTTCTACAAGTCCCTGACGAACGACTGGGAGGACCATCTTGCCGTCAAGCACTTCTCGGTTGAAGGGCAACTCGAGTTCCGCGCCCTGCTGTTCGTGCCCAAGCGCGCCCCGTTCGACCTGTTCGAGAACCGCAAGCAAAAGAACAACATCAAGCTCTACGTGCGTCGGGTCTTCATCATGGATAACTGCGAGGACCTGATTCCCGAGTACCTCAACTTCGTCAAGGGCGTCGTGGACTCTGAGGACCTCCCGTTGAACATCTCCCGCGAGATGCTCCAGCAGAACAAGATCCTGAAGGTGATCCGCAAGAACCTGGTCAAGAAGTGTCTGGAGCTGTTCGACAGTGTCAGCGAGGACAAGGAGATGTACAAGAAGTTCTACGAGCAGTTCAGCAAAAATATCAAGGTAAGCAATCTTTTTTACACTGTTGCATACCTGCCCAGTTGTTTTCAAGTCTCAACAAACTGCTGCAATGCTACAGAGGATCACCTGTATCCAGGTAGCATGAGCGGTGCAATATAGATGTAATGAAATTGCCTTTGTGAATTGTCTATTCCTTTTTAAGCAAAATGCCCCCTCTTCCATTCTCCTGGGTTTGGTTTCTCTGAACTTGGCAGGTGTGCTGTTCTGTTCAGCCAACCTTGCCTCGACTAATCAAAGCTTGCAAACCTCCCCTTCCTCCACACATTGTCATCTCAGTTGGCTGTGTTTAGTCTTCAAAATTTCAGTGTGCTGCCTCAAATAAGTGTGCAGGCTTTGGTTATTCCTGGTGGTATTGATTTAGCCCACCTTCCCCGCACACACATGCGCTGCGTCCAAGCCCTGGCGCTCGGTGGCCCTCGGGTTGCGGGGCATCGGGGCTGTGAGGATGTCAGTGGTGCACAAAGGGGTTAAGGAGAGTAACCCAGGGTGGCACTGGGACGCACCAGGGCCTCTTTTTTAATGCCCCATTGGTGTCGTCTATCGTACCCGCCCCACATTCCTTCCTTTAGTTAAATAGTCTTGACCTAGTAAAGGACTGGTGACTGATCTTCCCATTTCTTGTTTCCAGTTGGGCATCCACGAAGACTCTCAGAACCGCAAGAAGCTCGCGGAGTTCCTCCGCTACTACACGTCTGCCTCGGGCGACGAAACTTGCTCCCTCAAGGACTATGTGTCCCGCATGAAGGAGAACCAGAAGCACATCTACTTCATCACAGGAGAGTCAAAGGACCAGGTGGCCAACTCTGCCTTCGTGGAGCGTGTCAGAGAGCGCGGCCTGGAGGTGATCTACATGATCGAGCCGATCGACGAGTACTGCGTTCAACAGCTTAAGGAGTACGATGGCAAGACCCTGGTCTCTGTGACCAAGGAGGGCCTTGAACTTCCCGAAGACGAGGCGGAGAAGAAGCGGCAGGAGTTGAACAAGAACAAGTTTGAGAACCTCTGCAAGCTCATGAAGGACATCTTGGACAAGAAGGTGGAGAAAGTCATCGTGTCTAATCGTCTGGTCAAGTCTCCCTGCTGCATCGTCACGTCTCAGTACGGCTGGACTGCCAACATGGAGAGGATCATGAAGGCCCAGGCACTGCGGGACTCTAGCACCATGGGCTACATGGCGGCCAAGAAGCACCTGGAGGTGAACCCAGACCACCCGGTCATGGAGACCCTGCGGCAGAAGGCGGATGCTGACCGCAACGACAAGGCGGTGAAGGACCTGGTCATGCTGCTCTTTGAGACTGCGCTCCTCTGCTCCGGGTTTGCCTTGGAGGATCCCCAGCTCCACGCGGACAGGATCTACCGGATGATCAAGCTCGGTCTTGGAATTGACGAGGATGAGGTTGCGGGAGCCGGAGACAACACTGCTGCCGCGCCTGCCGGCGAGGACATGCCGCCCCTTGAAGGCGACGAGGAGGATGCTTCCCGCATGGAGGAAGTGGATTGAAAACTTCAACCCAGAGCAAAAGAAGAGAAGGAAAATTCCAGCAGGACTGGTCAACTCACATTATCATTACCCTGTACAGCCATTCCTTTGCCTATCCCTCTTTGGGGGAGGTATTGTGTGCCAGAGTTCTTTGTGTGAATGTTTCATTAAATTAAGTTCGTTCCCCGGTCATGTTTACCTCTTGTGTGTCTTGGTCGAGCTGGCACTGCTGGCTTGTGCCTTTACCTGGGTACTGTACCCATCTGTGCGAGTGGCGTTGCTCTCATTGCTACCTGGCTGGCTACCACTGGCTTGGCAGGCCCCAAATATCTGCTGAGCTATACATGCAGTTTTGAGGTCGTTTCAGGCTGGTAAAGCTTTTAATAGATTTATTTTTTTATTACTTTATTTTAAATCATTGATAAGAGTATGCCTTAAAATTAGTTTATTTCAAGGTCTTTCACTCGTTTTTTCTTTTCATCCATTTCATGTCTGCAAATAATTCCAGTATAGTGCCTTTAGTTGTGTTGGGATTGATTATGGAATGGCATTTGTGAAGTGGTATTTCCTTTTTTCTAAGGCTAATAGAGATGGAGGGGATGTCCAGGCATTCCTTTTTCCCTCGACAGGTCTTTCTGTGCGCTGCTGCAATACAGAAAAACGAGAAAACAAATATACTCCTTTCCACCAGAAGTGCGAGCTCAGAATAAGGAGCTCACGCTTGTGGCCTTCACTGCAGCACACAAGGTGATCTTTTAGTATTTATGAATGTCCTGTAGAATTAAAAAGCTTTTACATGTACAGGGTGTTTAGCTAACTTGTACGAAGATGAGCTGGTGCATGCTGTGTTTGACAAACGCTGCAGTATTGTGCAATCCAATTGAGAAAGTTGAGATATTTCTGATGTGCCAAACTGGCTAAATTGAGACAAATTATTAGTCTTAATTTTTTAGATATTTGTGCACAAGTTCTTTCATACATCAGCTGCATATATTTTTGTGAGGAAACTCGCCATTGTGTCATTTCTATCAAAGTAGCTTTTACTTGTCAATTATTATCAAGCTTCGAAGAATGGGAGATTAAAAAAAAAAAAAAAATCCCACATGTCTATGTCATGTGGGATTACTTTCGGTGTCATATCTAAATTATCCCACAGCTTTTTTTTTTTTTTTTGAGTTTCAAGCTATACTGGAAACTATGTATATTAGTTAGCAAGTGAGGTGGTCAAAATTTAACTTTGACATTTCATCTGCATGTACAAATAAGGTGTGAAAAAAAAAGGGTCAATATCCTGTCTGTATTCAGTGTGTCATCTGGAAGCTGATGCATGAAGTCAAGTCGTACCTAGCGAAAAGCAAGACTAGGGCATTGAAAAGCCTCCCGCCAAGAACCTTTATGGTCTAAAAGGATGGAAACATGCTCAATTTAACAATCGTGTTCAAAAGAAACTTGTACCAGCATAGTGAAATTGTTTAGCAGTGCAGTACCATAGATTCTTTTCAAGGCTCCAAGATTTAAAACTTTCTATGCACCAAGGAGAGCAGGAGACGAAAGTGCGTGGGGATGTGAGAACGCTGAACTCTGGTTTGAATGACCAGTGGGTAGACCTAAAGCTAGCTGTCCTCGCTTCCACACCACTCGTAAAACGCGTTCAAACGCAAGAGCCAAGCACCGTACGACGGTGTTTCAATGCGTTCGAGGAGTGTAGTTTGGGGTATGCCCACTAATTATTTTAACCGGCGCTCAACGTTTTGACGTCCCTATGCACTCTTGTCTCCTCCTCAGCCTCTAGGCAAAATAGTGCAGTTTTACATGACATATGCCCATGGCTTGAAATCTCGCCAGACGCCATTGTTGATGAACTTTTGCCCTGTGTGTTTCTATGTGCAAGTTTAGGCAGTGTTCTCCAGCTCTCTAGTTATTTTACATTGGGATTGATTGCGCCAGCCAGAGTAATTGGGCGGGAACAGAAAAGGACATCTGCTGGTACTCAATTTTTATTTATACCAGTCTTTATTCCGACTTAAGACGAGCCAGTGATCGAGATGTGAACCTGTTGATGGCCAGCCCAGCGGATGCCACCGGGGCTACTCCGAAAGACAAAAAGGGAAGTAAGCGTGGATTTATTCCGCCACAAAAAGTCTCCGGTCGGACTTATTGAAATCTTTCCCATATCCAAGCCAATCCCTTCGCTTGTGGTTTTCGCCAACAGCGAAAACCATGCCAATAACTAATCGTCTGCATGCAAAAGATGAGGGAAAGTGGCAGATGCTGTTCGACGACATGGCATAATGTGGACTATATCGGAAGTAAAAACATGCCTCGTGAAACTGCCCTATATTGCTGGTGAGGTGAGGAAAGTAATAATCTGTTGGATCTCCCTGAAAATGCAATTTCTCCGACTGAAAGACGATCTGGTGTAGGCACCAAGGGCACAAGGAGTGCAGGGTGTCTCTTTCGAATGTCCAAGCTTCCAGCACATGTTCGTTGCCTTTCGTCCTGCTTTGACGGCACGTGCATGCTCAATTTTATCGATATGCCGATGCGTCATCCAAGGCAAGATGCTCGCGCTGAAGGCAGGACAGACAAAGGACCTCCCTGTGGTTCTCATCCTCTCGGTGACTATGGTCGACACCATTTTTGACACGTCTTTGCAGAGAGATAGTCCCGGCAAGGGCCAGATTGAGATCTTTCACCCATCTCTTTTCATAGCCGTTTTATTCTATCCGCTGGCCTTTCAAACGAGCAGGTACACGAAGGAAACGTATGAGGGATTGAGTCGTTCGTGCGAATGCGCTACGCATCTGCACGCGATGAACGTTGCTCAGCTTTTTGCCGCGGTGCATTGCAAGTGCGCATTCTTTTCCTACAACAGCCTACCATCCCTGCGGTTACGGCTGCTGGCAATACGACAGCAAAACTCGACCGGCACGGAACCAAAATTGCCACACCCTTCAGCTCTACAGGGCGTTTCTAAGCACTCTTCTGGTTTACAAAAATTTCTATAAGGAAACCAATGAATGGAGTGCATTGAAACTTTTCACACAGGTGTATTTAGGCGAAGCATTCATCATACTCATATTTTGTGAGTGTCAGTTTCAGGAAAGGAATTTTTGTGCATGAAAAAGACTCGCTTTTCCCTATGGACAGGGATGAAAATGGTAAAAACTTTCTTGTTGACAATGCTAGTCGGAAATATACATGCTCGGGTCTGCTTTCGGGTGTTCATCTTGAAGACGCATTCACATTTTTTTTTTTTAATGCTGTGCCATCTGTGAGCAGCAGCACCAACCAGACAGCCTTTTACAGTTTTCCTCCCCGTGCATAGGTAAAAAAACATTTTTTTAGGCTCAAGTTATTTTCCCTAAAAATCTGCTCATAACATCTGAGTATGTATAATAAATGCATCAACTAAGGACACCTCTGCGAAAACTCTCAGTGTATTTGGTTCATTGATACAAATTTGTTTACAAGCGAACAGCGCTCGGAAACGCCCTGAGACCCCAACACACATTGTGACGCACTTCGATGCGGCCGGCGCGTTCCTCGTGAACTGCCGAGCGCGGCGCAGACATTTGGCATGTCGAGAGTTCTCGTGAGTTCGGCCCTATACGACGGTCGAAGCCCTTCCGGGCCTCGCCCAGGTACAGACGTATCCCTCCTGGCAGGCGGTCACCAGACAGTCTTCGCGGAACACGAGCGCTGTCAGCCTCTCCGGTGCCACCTTCTTGCAGATGTGCGGCTCCAACATCGGCACCTCGTCGAGCCGCGGGCATGCCGGTGTCCCCACCAACCGGTTCCGCGCCCCCGCGGCACGCTTCCGGGCGTCCGATCCCGTTGTCCCTGGACTGCTCCCGATCAACAGGCTCGTGCGCGCTCGCGGCTGCTTGAGCACGTCCTCCGTAAGGTCCCAAAGGCAGAGCTGCGTGTCCTGCCCGACCGATCCGAACCGGTACGACGTGTCCGGGCAGTCCCCCGACGCGTGTCCACCCTCTAGGCATGCGTCGAAGGCCACCCCCTGCACCCACGACCGGTGACCCTGTCCGCGCGCCACCACCCGCTTGTCCTGGAACGACCAGACGGTCACCAAGTCGTCCTCGCCGCCGGCCACCACATAGCGCCCGTCGGGGCTCCAGCAGACACACAACAGTCCCCCGAAATAGGAGCGCACCAGACCGACCAAGTCCATCGTGTCATAGCAGAAGACCCGCAGGAAGCCGTCCTGGCTGGCCGTGGCGAGGTAGCGAGCGCACGGTGAGAAGGCGAACTCATGTAACGCGCCCTCGCCCACGACCCAGCGGTAAAGCGGGTTTCGGGTACTCTTTGTCTTGCAGGTGAACACTGAGAAGCCATCGCCCTGCTTGAACAGCTGGTAGTGGGGCGGCGTGGAGCCGCAGGGCAGGTCCTCTTTGTAGACGTAGAGCTGGCCACTGGCGTGCGAAACCAAGAACAGGCTGGAGGAGTTGGGCAGCCAGCGGACGCAGGTGACGCGACTCTTGTCGATGAAGCGCTCATCGTTGTACAGGCGGCTCAGTTCCTTTTTGACGGGGTCGATGAGCTGCACCTGCCCTGCAGAGAAGCCCACCAGGAGCAGCAGGCCACCCTCGGATGTGGCGGTCGGGTGGAAGTCGTGGCACGTCGGGTATGTGCCTTTGTACACGCGCTTGTCCACGGGCTTGCTTAGGTCGGCAGCCTGCGGAGACGGCGGTAAATGTTTTTGGTTGTCTCGAATATGCACACATAAAATACAGATTTTCATTTTTCATTTCATCAACCTCTTGCAACCATACTAAAGTTCATTCGGACACAACTCGGGAGTGGTCATGTGAAAACATGGCTTCTACCTGACGTCACTTAGTGAGAGGCAAACTTTCAGAAATAGAACCACCGGTGTGTCGGATAATCTACTGTAAAAGATCAAATACGTTTTAAGAATGGCAAGGGTCTTTTTTGCAGCTCCCCTTTAGAGGTGTAATTTGATAAGTGCAGCACCCAGGAATGCTAACCTGGAGTCTTTGGTTTCACACAAAACATGAAATGCTTATCGAAAAAAAGAAAATGCTAGATTATTACGATCTATTGGGCAATAACCTACTGTAGCCTTTTACAGCGGAGCTGTAGTTAAGGGCTAGGTTTTCCCGGTTTCGTGTCCGTGGACAAATAAATCTCTACACAACCCTCTGGACAGCTACCGCCATCTGTGAGCGACGGCGGCAACCAGACAACCGGCTTGCCGGTTGTCGCTCATAGATGGCGGCACATAGTACAGCTCCTCCGCTTTTCCTTCTTCACCAGACTGAAAAAACTGTTTGTTTGTTTTTGTTTAAATTTAATGTTTACGTTTTTACATTTTCGGGAAGGATCCTGAATTTATGTTTTGAACACTGCCAATTATATTATATTGTTGATGTTTCCGAAGGATACTGGCACTTTTCCGAAGTGCATTTTATTTCGATACATAGCTCTTTTTATTTTTTTTTTCTCTTTTTTAATTGAAGTGCAAGGTTAGCAGTCACACCGGCATAGCAGTCGCTTTTGCGAGCCGCAGCACCGGCTTACGAACGTTCCACGGCGCCCAACTCACCTTCTTAACACCGCGGTACATGTAGACGTACAGTTCCCGGCCCACGTTGAAGCAGATCCGCTCTTCGCTCGAGTCCGGCAACGACACAAACGACACCTTGACCGGGCTGTTGGACTGGCTGTTGTAGCCGACGCGGTTGGGCCGCGAGTATTCGCTCAAACTGAGGACCTTGTAGGTGCCCTCCCTGGTTGTGAATTGCGTCTTGAGGTCGTCTTTGCCGGCCCCTTCGCAGTGCGTTGCCATCTTGACGAACCTCTCGGGCCGATCTTGTTTCAGCAGCCGGGCGCTCAGAGGAGCCCTGCCCCTGCAGGCACGATCCTGCCAGGCGCCATTCTTTGCGTTTTGGCCCGAAGTCCTCCTAATCCGCGCTGCGGCATTTCAAGACGGGAATCGAATGTTCGCTGCAGATTTAGATGCCGGGCAAATGCTTATCGCACGCGGTAACGCCGAGAGATCGCTCCAGCTCCGCCCGGTGATCCTTGCGCAGGAGGCATCGCACCAATAAAAACAAAACAAGCTCCACAGTACAGACCGGCGGACTGACTGCGGCTCTGGATTCAGAACAGCCACGAGCTAACGCTAAGAATAGACAACAGAAGCCAATCCATGTCGAGGCAAGCTGTTGGGAAAAAAATGGCGTACGGTGTTGGTGCATTTCGCATGGCGAGTAGGGTGGTGTAAGCTCTGACGGCTCTGACGCTTCTACGGTGGTAATGGCGAGACAGAATCGAAAAAGGAAGAAGACCGCGGGCAGCGAGCGCAGTAAGTTCTCCCGGAAAGATCGGAGACATTTGATCGAGTTCGGCGAGCGTCACCCCGCCGACGAACAACCCGTAGACGAACAACCCGCCGAAGGCCGACGGGAGACGGTCGTCGAGCTCAAGGAGCCCGTCGGTAGCGACGTCGACGTCAGCTCCGATCCCGAAGCCGACGAAGAGAGCTCGGAGAGCGACGCCGCCGACGCTGTTCAGCAGCTGCTCGGCACGTTCGGTCGTTCGAGGGCCGAGGCTGCGGATTCCGATGGCAGCGAGGACGACGACGACGATGACGAGAACGCATCCGTCGAGCCGCAGGATGGTGACGGCGAACAGGATGATGCCGACGTGGGTTCTGACGCCGACGTGGTGTCCGACGCCCCGTCCGACAACGAGAGCCTGCCGGAGGGAGTGGAGGACTCGCCAGACGAGCACGAGGATAAGGTATGGCCGTTTCAGTTGCACGGAGGATAGCTTGTAAAAATGACCGTGGCTTGGAATCTGATCGGAACATGCAAGGGCGAGAAACTTTGCATATTAGGATAGTTAGTCCCCAGCTATACAGCCCTCATTTCAGCCGTGAAGTGATCCGACTGAAGGTATAAAATAGGTGTGTGTGTGTGGGGGGGGGGGACTTTGAGATTAGAAAGCAGATGGCCTTGCCCAGTTTGGCCATGGAGCAGAAGGGTGTGCATAGGATATAAACATGGACACGTAGGAACCGTTAATTAAACAGTCGTAGAACACTTATGTATATTTTTTTTTGAGTAAGCGGGGCCATCAAGTTTACTGGGGGACTAATAAAGAGAGTGAAATCAGGAGGAAGCACCTTATGCTGTTCTTCTGATAACTACGTGCCAAGCAAACAGAAGATATTTGGGGTGTACCAGCAAAGGAACAGCAATTGATTGATTTCGCTCTCCCGGGTGTCTTTCCCGTACAGCTGAAATTTCAATTACTTGGCATACTCTGTTCACCCGAAGTTGACGGGCCAATCATCTGCCTACCTTTTGTAACTTGACCCCACTCTCTGCACGTGTGTATGACTGGGAGCATGATCGTGCGACGGAAGATTGGCATATCACTTGTCCAATGAGCACGTAGCTTCCATCGCTTAGTGGTGAACGGATTGTATCGGTTGGTTGGCACTATAGTCACTTCTACGCTAAGAGTAGCGGCACTCCATTCCCGAATTCTCTTGTGGGCTCTGCCATTTTGAGTGACCTTTTGCTAAATTACCCAAGCACCAAGGAGAATGCTGCGAGTGTGGTGACATGTGCTGGCGTCAGCAGCAGTAACTGTTGTAAAGCAAAATGCTAAAACAAATGGCACCTTGCACGTGTATTTGTCTGTGCTTTATTTTGATTACTTAATTTGAATCTTTTATACGGGGAAGGTGAGTGCGTGCAGCGTGTGTACCTACCATACCTCGGCAAACCTCACTCATGAGGGCCCTCACTCACCGTCACTCACCCTCATCTTCACAGGTGAGGTGAGGGTGAGTGAGTTTCTGAACCAGGAAAATTCATGAGTGTGAGGGTGAGTGAGGGCCGTGAGGGACATGAGGGGTACGAGGGCCATGAGTGCGTGAGGGCGGTGAGTGGCGTGACGGCGGTGAGGGCCATGAGTGCGTGAGTGGTGTGAGGGCGGTGAGTGCGTGAGGGGTGTGAGGGCCATGAGTGCGTGAGGGCAGTGACATGAGAGGCGTGAGGGCGGTGAGTGAATGAGGTGTGTGAGGGCCATGAGTGCGTGAGTGCGTGAGGGCGGTGAGTGCGTGAGGCGCCCTTCAGATCGAGCATCTTTCTCAGCAATTTTGGTGTTAATGGCGGGTTGTTCTCTAGCTTTCCCCGAGATCGGGTCCGGCTCGAAATGAGCAAGCAACTCGGAGCAATTCGAATACGTTTGAAGCGGCTGCATCCAATCAGGGATGCAAAATTTTCACGTGATACCTCGTGCCGGTGATGATGACACCCAAAGACTTGGTTCTGGTTTGAAATCGATCGTTTTTTTGGAAATAAACTGTTTCAGAAAGGTGCATTCATATTCTTAACGAGATATAAATGCATAAAAACATGTTTATAACGCGTAATTGTGTCTAAACAGTGCAAGAAAAATAAAATTTTATGATGACGATGGCAAATTGCAGCAATTGGTTGCTGCGTGTGATCGCGGGTGGCCCGTGTTGCTGGTGTTGCGACGTAAAGTTTCTGGGCGAAATTGCCCCATCTGAAGCTGGCCTGAGTGGCGTGAGGGGTGTGAGGGTCGCAAGGGCGGTGAGGGGCGTGAGGGCGGTAAGTGGCGTGAGTGGCATGAGGGCTATGAGTGCGTGAGGGCCGTGAGGGCGGTGAGGGCGGTGAGTGGAGTGAGGGCTATGAGTGGGCATGAAGGCGGTGAGGACTGTGAGGGCGGTGAGTGGCGTGAGGGCCATGAGGGCGGTGAGTGCGTGAGGGCCGTGAGGTTCAGTGAGGGTGAGTGAAGGGCTGAAGGTGAGTGTGACTGTGAGGGTGAGGATGAGTGAGGGGCTGAAGGTGAGTGTAGCTGTGAGGGTGAAAGTGAGTGAGGGGCTTAGGTGAATGTGGCTGTGAGGGTGAGGGTGAGTGAGGGCGACCTAAAATGCCGACCTCTGGTACCTACATTCCCAGCATTCTCCTTGATGCTTGGGTAATTCAGCAATAGGTCTATTAAAAAGATTTTTGTAAATGAGACATCCTTAGATTTAGATACCATGCTAGAAAGCTCGGGCAATATTGTTCTGCTCGGTTGCAGACAGTTTTAATACTTTTAGAGGACGGAAGACTGTTTCCTCCAATCTCAGATGAAGCTTCAGACAACTGGCCACAATGATTTTATACTCCAACATGACTAAAGTGTCTTTGCCCTGAGGCGTGGCTTGTTTAGAGGCTCTAGTCGGCTCATTTCCTTTTTCAATGCGTGGGCAGAGTAGGATGGATTAGAAACATTGTTTGTGCTTTACAAGGGCTGAAGGATCCTAGCCCATTGCCAATGGGATTAGAGGACACCAGTCAAAAATGCGTCTTGTGCCACCAAAGCAGTTATTTGGAGAAAGCGTTCCTCACAGAACTTCATTCTGAAATGCGGATCCTAATCTTCTCGTGCATTTCTTTATGTCAGGCGGACGACCCGTATGTGGTGCACTGGGAGTGGCACCTAGAGAGCGACCACTTCCCGCTGGCCAACACCACCCGCTTCCGGCGGGAGGAGCGCTGGCCGGCCCTGGGCAGGCTGAGTGTCACTGAGGTCCAGGACAACCCCCGCGAGGTGCCCATGAGTCGGAACTGGGGCCCACACCTCAAGGAGGCCCTGCGGGACGTGGCCAGGACCCTGTCGCCGGTCGGCCAGGGTTTGTACCCATCTCGCAACGTGCGAGGCTGGATGCCACAAGCTACCTCCCGATACAAAGGGCATAGTGCACTGTGCACAATGACCCTCACCCTCCTTTGCATGTGGGATTTCTCAAGTCCAAAAGCTGGTCTCCCGGGGTAGTACGTGTTTCGCAATGTGTGAAGCTGGGTGGCTCAAGCTACCACCCAATACAGAGGACGGAGCCCATTACTCTCCATTCGTCTGTCAGCAACCTCCAAGCCCAGGGGCATAAGGATGGGAGTAGATATTGGCAAATCTTAAACGCTTCTGTCGGTGGTCCCGCGGGAAAGAACAAAAAAAAGCGCGACAGAGGAGCGGAGAAAGAAAGCAACTGATAAGTTTAGCGTGTTCATTTTGTCGCGACAAGTTGAAGTTGCTTGAGTGCTTTTCAACCTTATTTTATTTGATAAAATGTGAGATGCCAGCATTTTGTGCAAATTAAAGGTTGAAAAAACTAGATACAGACCTTGGAAGTGATGTTTTTTTTTTGCTTCTTGGCATGTATGAAAGCATCGCCAGCAATATGGTCCCATTGGAACCACCGATGTCCGCATCTATGCCCTACCGTTCTGAAGTAGTCGGAAGGCGTGAGACCTTTTGCTCTAGATTATTATATTAACCCAATGTCCAGGCCCTTTGCTTGTGGAGTTTCTCAACTACAAAAACAGAAGGGCTGTGTCAGTAATAAAAACGTATGCGATGGGGCGTCCAATGTGGAGAAAGCTGATGCAGTTGGCGCTCGTGAACCTTGTGACTCGGGCTTTGTGACAGAAGATGTGGAATTAGAGGACATTCGTAAGAATGGATGCTGGTTTTGAGAGTGGTAGAATTATGTCTGTTGCGTTTCTCCTACTGTCTGTCTTTTTCTTTTCCTTTTGGATTGGCAATGGGCTAGGATGCTTCAGCCCTTGTAAAGCACAAACAATGTTTCTAAGCACGTCAAGAAAGAGTTTAATGACAGCCTCATGATCCTTAGCTGTGAGTGTCAGTCTTGTCGAAGTACTATGAGTTCATCTTGAAACTGTGTGACTAGACACAGACAAGGGCAGAGACTGGATGACATGAACACTGTCTAGTTGCGCTGTTTCAAGATGAATACATACCAACTTGCCCAATTATTCCTTCTGTCTACTATATGTGGGATTAGACATTGAGAACGCAGATATGTTTTGTAAAGCATCGTGCCCCCCGCCCTTGCAGTAGTGCCTGAAAGGTGCTGTGAATTTTCATTAAATAATGAATAAACTGGTTTCATCTTCCAGTGCGATTCAACAGGTATCGCTCTAAGGTAGAATATTTCCTTGCAAGAAGCCATTCAGTGATGACAGGCAGACGATGCCGAAAGCAACTCTCGTCGCTTAGTGAAGAAGTGAAGAACAGTTTAGTGAACACCAGATTTCACAAGCGAGGAGAAAACCGCAAATGATCAACACATATTCATGTCATGTTGTGCACCTTTTGTCATTATCAGTCTTGGGTAAGTTACTTTTAAAAAGTAATTCGTTACAGTTACAGTTACTTTCAGAAAAAAGTAGCGAAGTTACTGTTACAGTTACCGCAATAAAATAGTAACTTGTTACAGTTTGTTACTTTTGAAAAGTAACAACGTTACTTATCAGTTACTTTTCTATAATACAAACCATTTAGGGAAAACTAGAAAATGTCCCTTACCAAGTGGTATTGCATAAAATTTAAAAGTGTGCTTTTTAGTTTATGTTGTAACTTAGCAGCAGTTGCTTCTAGAAAGTATTGTCTGAAAGTTCCTCTCATTTGATGGCGAACACGTCTCTGCCCTTGCTGAACAGGTGCTCAACTGGCACGCTGGAAGGAATCGCACGGGGGAAAACATGGACCCAATACAAATGCCCTATCCTTGTTAGCACTAGCACATTGCTGGCTCGTGGACGGTTGAGTTGGATCCACAGAGTCGCTGAAAATATTTCAGTTTGTACCCGACAAGCCAGAAACAAACCCCGTGCAAACAGCAGTAAATATTGCCTCGACTGTTGACACCACGCCGGAGTAGTCGCGCAAATCAAAATACGAAACATTCGCATTGCGTAGTAGTGGCGCTAATCAAAATACGAAACATGCGCAGTGCCCTCTGCGTGTATTGTTGATTCACGGTTGATCCACCCGATTAAAAAGAGTTTGCGCAGAAAAAGGGACAACCGCAACATAGATAGTGCTTCAAGATACTTAGATGTAAGTGCTCAGTCACAAAGTACAAGCGTGTCTGTAAAGATAACTAGATTTTTTTTTTTCATCAGATCTACACATGGCTATATTCGGGTCGTGACTCGCGAGAAAGAACGTATTTACAAGTTTGTGCAAAGCCAACTTGACACTTGAAATGTCTGAAAAGACAATTTGGAAAGTGCAAGGAATAGCTAGATTGTACTCGTTCAATGATATATTATTCATGAAACAACTGGAAAGTAGCGACAAAAGTAACGTCGTTACATTCATCGTTACGTCAGAAAAAGTAATAGAACTACACTTACAAGTTACAATTTTAAAAAGTAACTCGTTACAGTTACAAGTTACCAAAAAGTAACAAAGTTACAGTAACGCGTTACTACCCAAGACTGGTCATTATGATGGTCTTTGAACATCCCCAACTATTTTATCAGTAATGTTTGTTCTCACACTTGTTTTTCCAGAGCTACTGGCCATTTTAGGATCCTACCGGGATCTGCTGTTTCCCGCGCGGACGCTGAACAATGGCGAGGAAGTACGGATGACTTACTGTCTGCACGCCCTCAACCATGTCCTCAAGGTGAGCAGGCTTTGGGCTGCATCTTGGAAAAAATGCGACGAGTTCATGGCCAGCTTCAGCTAACAAGTTTCCGTGCGCTTTGTATATTACCTTTTGACTGTCCCGCTGTAGGGTTACTGGGCATTTTAGCTTCCGAGTTTATTTCCACAGCCGTTGGATGGCACGGACCTTGCTCCGGCATCAAAAAAGAAAGACAACTTGTTACCACAAGATTTCAGAAGGCCGTTTCGGACACATGTGGTGGTGCCCCCCATACATGGCAAAACTCACTCATAAGTGCACTCACTCACCTTACTCACCCTCACCGGTCTGACGTGAGGTGAGAATGAGCGAGTTCATAAGCCTCGGAAACTCAAGAGTTTGAGGTTGAGTGAGGGGCGTGAGTTCGGTTAGTTCATGAGTTTGGTGAGAGGCGTTAATTCAAGAGGTCGGTGGGTTCAGTGAGGAATGTAAGTTCATGAGGTCAGTGAGTTCATGGGTTCAAAGAGGCATGAGGTCCTTGAGGGACCATGAATTCGACGAAGGTTTGCGGGATCATGTGATTTCTTTGTACATTTCCTGAGAAGTTGGGTTGACGCTTGCTTCGCAGTGGCGCTGTTAGCTCGTACAGCTTAAATTCCCTTTATAACATTTACGCTTTCAACTACCGCCAACCATTGTTGTGAAAATGCGCAAGACATGTGCCATGAATGGGTGCTGTGCCACCATTTGCTTTCAAGAGCCGTTCGAAACACGGGCCTCGGGCATTGACGCATTTGACGCCACTTGCTAGACAAATTTATATATTTGCTTATTTATTCAAAATACCTCAAAGGCCTTTTGCCATTACACGAGGGGCAATACAGTTGGATAAAAACATGAACAAAAAAGTATGGCACATGCCATACTGCGTATGAACATCAGTACATATCACGGGTAACAGTATAGGTCATAGTTATTAAAAAAGTAGGTATTATGCAAAACATTTAAACTTAGAAACGAAACATACATATATACATTATCATCTCAAATGTTGTAAGCACGGACATACAATATTCAGTTAACATTCAGTCAAAGAGCACAATGAGCTGGCTTTCACCTACAAGAGTGAATGGATAAAAGGATCTGACACTGTTATTTGTGCCAAAAATAATGGTTGTCGTCTCTGACCGAAAAAGTTTATGATCAGAAATATACACCATGGAGGAAAACACGGGGAGAGGAGGATTGTGATACCTTTCGATTTCGATTCGCTTTGTGGCTGCTTGGCATGGTCTTTTGCCGCTGGTCGCTCCTTTCTTGCGGGGTAATGAGAGAGAGGGGGCAGGGCCCGCCTGCTCGCCTCGGCCACTCTTGTGTAAGCTGCAAGGCATCGATATATGCATGGCGTTTCATTGTTTAGTAAAGAAGGCTAACGAGCGCTACGCTAGTACGCCTGAAGGCAAACGTTGCAATTTCGAGTGCACTCGCCTTATGCACGGTTGCTAATCCTGAAGCCGATATTAAAATGAAAGCCGGCTGGGAACTGTCACGATTCGCCTGTATGCTTGTTTGTTCAAGTTGTAGCGTGGAGTTCTGTAAAAAAAGTAAGCCTACACGTCTTCGAGCTCGAGTACACCCAAAACGCCACACTTGTTCGCAATTGGGTTTAAAGACTGCTACATTTATTTGGTTGCGTATAAAAGTTAATTCCATTGTTAATTGTCATGAACAATTGCAGACGACAAGTTTTTAGATTACATTCAAAGAGATATGAAACAATCTTTTTAATTTCACTTAATATTAGTGATAACAAATTGACGTTTCTAACTTGCCGTTAGTTGCTGAAGAGGGGGCCATTGAACATAGTCAGGATACATGCTGCACCCGAAAATGTTCCGCAAACTAGAAAAAGGGTTTTCTTACTAGCTCCAATAGTATTTGGATATTAGTTATGATTTCTTTATATTACTATTTATCATCCGGTACAGTTTGCACCGGAGCATGTCTCAGTCGTTCACAAGGAGCGCTATTTGTCTTTTTAGCAACATGATTTATATATTGTAGCGGTAAATTTTTCCCACAAAATTTAGCGGAAAAACTTCCCCGCTAAATTTAGCAAAAGAATTTCTCCGCCAAATTTAGCGGAAAATTTCCCCGCCAAATTTAGCGGAATTCCCCGCTAAATTTAGCGGAAAAAATTTCCCTGCTAAATTTAGCGGAAAAAATTCCCCGGTAAGTTTAGCGGAAATATTTCCTCGCTAAATTAGCAGGAAAGTTTCCCCGCTAAATTTTCCGTAAAAACTTCCCTGCTAGATTTAGCAAAAAAATTTCCCCGTTAATTTTTGCCGGAAAATATTTCCCACTAAATTTAGCAGGAAAATATCCCCGCTGAATTTAGCAGGAAATTTCCCCGCTAAATTTAGTGGGAAAACCTCTCCGCCAATTTTAGCGGAAAATTTTCTCCTAAATGGGAGGCGAGCGGGAGAGAAGGAGGGGCATAGCCTCCTCTCTGTACCTTCCCCTCCTCCTCCTCAAGAGCTGCGCTTTAATTCGGCGTTACAGGGGATCGTATACGTCTTTCATTTTTTTGTATCTAACAAAACAACTCTTGAAGAATGGTAGACCGTTTAATTAAGTTGCATGACCCCGCACCCCCCTTCCTCAAATATAGTGTGGATATCCGAATCACCGTAAAATAGCGGGCAAGCGCCCACTCAAAATTTAGAGATAATTGCGAAAAAATGGGGGATGGGTGCTTGTCTGGTCATCAATTTTACCTATAAATGTACTGCGCATATTTCCTCAGATCTTACAAATTTGGGTGCGGGCGCTTAATGTGGAATGGGCGGATGCGCGGTATTCTGCGGTAGGCTATCAATAGCTACAAATTAACTAATTTAAATATAGAAAGTAAAAGAACTTGTGCTTACACCAGTGGACCTTCTATTCATTCAAATTAGTGAAGACAAATTAAAAGTTACCATTCATCAAAAACTAATCAATGATTTTAATAGAAAACACAGCTTTGTACTCATAGTTTGTAAATATTTGTATTAGCATATTCACAAGTTAACCCCTTACCTGGAAAGCGCGTCTTTAGACGCGTAGCAATTTTGACCGCAGCTTGGGGGGGGGGGGGGGGGGGTACATTTACACACCAACTCATGTTTACAAACAAACCGGAACGCCCCTAGCAAACACCACCGGCACCGCGCATGCGTGGTGGAGTGTGGGCAAGAAGCTTGCCATTGCCCATGAAAAAACTATTGAAATGCGATGTTGTCGGCGTCGGTGTGAGTCTCCCTGCCCTTTTTCACATTCGAATTGTTGATTCTACGTCTTCCTGGCTATGTCTGACTACTTGAGCGGCCTCAGCGAAATTACCGAGGCTCATTACACCGCAAAACTTCACGTAAATAATGTGACATGCGGCGATTCATTCCGCGAGGACGCCGCAGAATGTAGGCTAAAGCCTGGTTTGCACGATGGGATTTGGCTCGTAATTTTCAGTCGCGACGTCGCTCGGGCTGCAAAAGCGTGAGCTGTAGCTGAGATGGTTGACGTCAATACTGAAAATCGCAAGCATAATCGGACCAAGTGAGTTAGGCATAACAAGTTGGTGATGGTCACTGGTAACCATGATCAACATCTCCTTGTAACTACTGTTTTCATCGAGCCTGCTTACCAACCTTCAAACTTAAGTCTTTTGAGGCCTGCACTTACTTCTTGTCGCAACTACCGGGCTAACATTTGGTCTACGGGCCGTTGTCGTCTAAAAGAGCAGACGACAAGCAGAGGCGTTTAAAAGAGCAGACGACAGTTCAAACGATCAGGCGGCCGTTTGATTTTGAAGGCGCACTGAACGTAGTTTGCAGGTGATCCGCACAACTTGACGGTTTTCCGGCGTTCATGTGGGAACAAAACAAGTAAATCTGGTTACCACAAGTATCCGGGAATTCAGCCCAAAGTGCTTCCCGCCCAAGCAATCGTGGTCCGACGGCGTCTGGTTTTCCTTTTTCGCGGCACATGTCCACGTTTTTGGACGAGCCGAGCAAGTGAAAACTGAACTTCAAACCTTTCTCGACTCTTTTGGTACGGCCCCAGTCATGGCGTTTCGACGAGAGGGCAGGTTTTTTTCTGGTTCCTTTCAAAACAATGCAGGAATGCTGGGCCTGGCATGGGGACTTCTGCCCACAGCCCCAGACCGTAAGTGCGCCCGATGCGCCACCACCGTGCCGTGACGTAACAGAGTTGAGTTTGTGTATAGACACGCCGCTCTTCAGATAATGTTGGGGAGCGTGTGTTTAAATGCTTACTCTTTTTGTCTCATGGGAGACAGTGCCATCTATCCCTAAATATCGGAAACAATTTTGCTTTAGAAACCAACGAGTAGATGGCAGCACAAAGAAAGTTTGACGATATATGTGTGGTGCCAATGGCAAAATGGGGACAAGAAAAGTCCCCATTTTGCCAATGGTTTTTGGTCATGGAAGTCCCCAATTGAGGGACTTCCACAAGCACACATTGTCTGAGCAACAAGAATACCGAAGGCGTCCGACACCAATCACAATTTTATGTCAGGATGTACAAAGTATAGCATTTTTACAAGGGACAGAGTCGGTAGATTAGAACGTTCCAGTTTTAATTAGTATGCGCGGTGCAACAGAAAACGAGACATGCGTTAAAAAAATGAATATACATTAAAATTAGATGCAAAAAGTTCCTCAATCGTGCCTTCTTCCAGAAAAAAGATATTCATCGGGCAGTTATTTTAGGTGAAATAATTTGTGTGAATGATGATAAATATAAAGACAGACCGTTCCGTGAAATAGTTTTACTCGACGACGAAATGTTGAGCAAACCGTCCTACGATTAAGGAGAAGTTTGCTATATGCTATGCAGAGACGAAATACACACCCATGGTGGTGCATGTTGGGATAATAATTCACACCTGAATAAACAGCAATGCAAACGCTCACTTCATACTTGCACGAAGTTGTCACGAATGCTTGAAACAAACAGTGCACCTCGTGAAGAATACTGCACGAAACTCGCGATGATGTGCCCTTGTATCCCAACAAAGCATGCCTTCCTCAAGCACTCGGCTAATGGGGTATCCACACGAAGGAGAAATCTGCCCCTTTCCTCCGCGGAGCGCGCATCACGTGAGACATACGTCATCCCTTTTTGACGCCTCGCGGCGCCGCTCTTCTTCGTGACGGAGGCGCGGAGGCTTCATACTCTTAGCATGAGAGCTCTGCAGGTGCACGCGGCGGAGCCGGGGACGGAGTTTCCCGGGTTGTTGACGTCACGACATCCGTCCGCGGAGTTCTCCTTCGTGTGGATATCCCTTAACCTGTGGCAAGCGCGCAAAAAGAATCAAAGCAAAAAAAAAAAAAAAAAAATTCTTCACTTTGTGACATGACGGCTGGCGTCGGAGCTGTGGAAGACGGCAGCGACTGTGGCGGAGTTGTAAAAACCACGCAACTCGTGCGCGACACGAGCATCAGCGCCGTGACTATGGTGAGGGCAAGAACTATTTTTGAGTGAGTGAGGTCAGTGAGTGAGCGAGTTCGATGAGGGGCGCAAGTTTGCGAGTTCGGTGAATTCGGTGAGGGGCGTGAGTTCAGTGGGTTTGTGAGTTTGGTGATTTCATGAGCTCCGTGAGTTTGGTGAGGGGTCCGAGTTTGTGAGTTTGGTGAGTTTTTGAGTTCAATGAGGGGCATGAGTTTGGGAGTTCAGTGAGATCATGAGCTCATGAGTTTGTGAGCGAGGACTTGAAGGTGAGTGCGGTGGTGAGGTTGAAGGCGATTGAGTTTTTAACTTTTTATTTTGAGCAAGCTGTGAGTGAGCTCAACCAAAAATGCCGACCTCTGGTGCCCCCACTCTCTGCTTGACGTACCTAGGAATGGAGGATGGAAGTTTATGTTGTATGTCTTGTGATTTCAAAATTGCAGTTAAGGCAGGAAGAGAACAAAAGAGAGTAACATATTTTCTGGGCGAACTGCGCATACTATTTAAAAGATCAAATTTTATGTGGTGCAGACTATCTACAGGTGTGGACTTCACAAGGATTTGATTTTTCTAGATCGCTCATTATGACAAGATGTATCGGACTTTGTGAGTGAGGGAGCAAGTTAATGATGATTTATGTATGGTACGAGCTTCTTTGTGAGTAAAATGGGCATTTGTCAAACTGTGCTTGAATTATAATTTTTTTTTTTGTATGTAATAGGCAGCATGTGCAGGCTATCTGAAGAAAAATTTTGTTATATTAATAAAAATTTTACCCTGCGGACTATAGACAGAGTGCAGGCTGCAGTCTGGGAAATGCATTATTTGCCTACCTTATTTAGTGTTCCTTCCATTTTCCTTGTGTTTTGAACTTGCAACAATGTTAGAAAATGGATTGAACAGCCTACTGAGTCGGCCCGAGCACACATCGGAACAGCTTCAAGATTAGCTGTGTCTCGTGGTGCAGTACGGGATGACCAGGAGAAAACTTTGGAAAGGAGGGGGGGGGGGGTGACGTTCCCCCCCTCCTCCTTTTCCCAAGGCGATTTTTTTAATGAAAAGTATGACATTAACCTCGCTTTTCTTAGGAAGAAAGGTTTAGTTTTTGGTGGGCTGGCAATTATTAGGTCAGCAAAAAATAGATCTGCTCCGCCCGTGACGTCAGATCTATGCAGACTCCCCCCCCCCCTCCTTCCCCCATCCTTCCCCCCCCACCCCTCCAAGCCTGACCCCTGGGGATGTCCGTGAGATCCCTCGCATTATAGAGAGGTCGGTTCTCTGCGCCGTTGTACCGACTGGGGAGTGTCTCGGCACAGAGGCGGTCTCGGGTGGTGCACCACAATGCCCGGCTGCACAAGGGGGCAGCCTCTGAGCTGCGCGACCAAGGCCTGGCACGGCCACAGGTGCTCCTCGTGCTGCCCTTCAGGGACTCGGCCCTGCGCACCGTCAATGCCCTGGCCAAGCTGCTGGGGGCAAAGGACGTCGCCCACAGGAGCAGGTGAGCTTTGCCATGGGCAGTCGACGCTCACCGTCTAGGCTCGGCATGAACTGTTTTGTGCTACATTGTTCAGGCTAGCGTTGGCTCCACGGTGCTGCAACACCACACTGCTGCGAGAGCAAGTGGTTAATCTTAAGTCTCATTCGCACGCGCTTGCACAACTTGCTTTAACAGCGTTGGAGCACTGTGGAAACCACACCAGCCTCGACAACATTCGCAACTTTCAGCGATGGTGGTACCGCAGTGTGAGAATCGTGCTCCCTAAGTCCTGGGGATCGGCTTCAGAATGGAGGTTCTTACTTGCACCTCTCTGACGTGGGAGTATGTGGTAAGGCTCTTAAGTATATTGAATTTTACAAAATTAGAATTGGTACTTATGCATTGCAGACCCAGCATCATACTGCTCTTGTGCGACTATCATCGAGATGAGAGCCATTTTGATAGTAACTAGTGCTACTGCAGGTCATGAAAGTTGCAAATAGCATGAAAGAGTTGATGCAAAGTAGTATAGTTGTTAATGGTGTCTATACCATAATCTGTTGCAGGTTAGGAAAAGCAGGACAAGCCACCCCCCTCAAAGTCCTCTACTCTCCATGATTGCCTGTTTCCTCCTCTCAACTCGCTCGCTTTCCGGTGTTCACCCTGCTAAAGTGAAATAGTGGAGGGTTTTGTGGGAGGATCTTGTCCCGCTATCCTTAACCTGCAGCAGGCTAGAGTCACAGATGGGGTCTAGCTGGCCTGCTATGCTCGTGCACTCACGAGATGAAAGTCTCAGTTGAGACAATATACTCGTGCTTGTAGTACATCGGCTTTTAATACTAGCAAAGAATAGGTTTGCACTAGCAGACAATTGTGCAAACTGTCATCCACCTTTTTTATGCAAGCAAACAACAGTTTTTCATCACCATCGCAATACACCGGTGGTGTTTCTGCCAGTTTGAGTGATGTTTCTCACTCAAACTGGTAGTGAGGTCCCTGGGAAGTCATTGACTTTTTTTTTTTTTATTGACAACTTCAACTCGTCGACGCAGGTTCGAGAAAGAGTTTGGCAGCCCGGAGGAACCGCCGAAGAAGTGGCTGGAGCGTCCGGAGGACTACGAGCGCACGTTTTCGGGCAACACGGACGACGCGTTCCGTATCGGGCTGCGCGTCTCCGGTCGCAGCCTCCGTCTCTACTCGGACTTCTACTCGTCGGACATCCTGATAGCGTCACCCCTCGGACTCCGGACCGTGATCGGAGCTCCTGGCGAGAAGCAGCGGGACTTTGACTTCCTCTCGTCGGTGGAGTTTGTCGCAATAGACCAGGTATGTTGCACGTTTGTACTGTGGTGCCTGCAGTGCGTCTCCGGCTGGTCTGTTTACCGGCACCTAAAAAGTGGTCCCGAAGTTCTGCCTGACGATGTCGTCAAAGTGTCACGTTGTCGCCGGCCGCAATACTGGGGGTTGTCACTGCAGTGATGGTGGATGTGGTAAACGCCTGTTCTGCTGCAGGTTGCTCTCCTGTGCGACAGTCTACGGAAGCCGGGAGTTGGGACGCCAGGACGATGGCGACACTCGCATTTGCTTGTGCTTTTTTCCGGGCGACGTAATTTGTTGCCATTTCGGGACTACTTTCGATGCACGGGCGGAATACGACGCTAAACACACCAGTCGGAGACGTTCCATGCATTGTAGTTTGTGCATTCGTCATTTTGTTCCGGCGACCCTGTCCTCTTGGCACATTTCGGTACGTGTGCATCTCTGCAAACAGTTAACTACACCACAATGGTGGTCACAGATGGTTTCAGTGGAAACTTAAAACTTAAGTGGTCCAGAGTTACTTTTCTCCTTCACACCTTTTAAGGGCCCTGCTTCATTGTTGAGACAAGGCTCGAAGGCCTCCATTTTACCAGTACCAAAGCACAGCATATATATTGGGTAACCAGACGTTCAGTTTTGGCCGGGACAGTCCTGTTTTAGACGTGCATTTCTGCCGTTTCATCGTTTTTTCTCAATGAAACCTCGTGTCCCGTTTTCGTGGGATTGTGCGTGCATAGTTGCGAAATGAGTGCTAAGCAAGTGGTGGAAATCTGAAAGAATACCATAACACATCTTAAAAAAATAAACATACTATAAAAATTTTGCCTCCCATAGAGTGTTTGGAGCTCTTTCTGTGGTTCCACCTGTCAATACAGATGGACGACCTCGAGGACGACGCCTGCAGTGTTGGGGGGAGGGGGGGAAGGGGGGGGGGGGGGGGCTTAGGACTAGTCAAGCTGTGTCAACAGCTTTTTTTTCAAAGCCCCCACCAACACAGTACTTTTTGTTGGAAAATAAACCTATTAATATTAAAATTAATATGTTCTGTTTACACAGACATTTGCTTGGTGCACTTTTCTGTATTACTATATTTGGCATGCTTCAATTTGGTTTAAAAATGAAGAAAGGTGCTTGTGTACCGAGTACTCAACTAAACAAAGAACTTCTGAAAAGTGTGCATTTGTACAGTGAACTGAATAGTAGCAGGGCTTGCTTTTTCTTTCGGCACCATTCCCCGCTCCCGTTCTGCTCCCCCGATGTACCGTTTTCCACACTCTAGATTATGGTCATCCTAAACATACAGTAAAACCTCGTTATAACAAAATGGGATATAACAAACAAATGGATATAACAAAGCAATCATAATTCCCCTTGCTTGAATAGTTGGAAGAAATGGACATTGGCTATAACAAACTAATGGTTATAACAAAGTAATTACGACCGCTCCTTCAACTTCTTTATAACGAGGTTTTACTGTATAACAAATGGGCCATTGAGCTGTGGCTTCAGCCCATATCAACTGGGTGAAGTATGCATTGCCAAATGGCATCAAAACATATAAACTTTAGAATACCGCTGAAGCTCCCACTATTAACATTTCCCAAATTGGGGAGCTTTGCAAATTATACGTTAAGTGCCCGACTGGACCGGACAAGCACCCATGTCAGGATTAACGCAGTTTTGAGTGAAAGGGGGTGGGGGGGGGGGGTGCTCCCCCGGCATTTTACGGCAATTGAGGTGAGTCAGGTAAAGGAGTGAAAGACGATGTGCCTCATGCTGCTCCCACATTACCATTGCAGACTTAATCCAATTGAAAACGATTGAAGATAGGTTAAAAGCCAGTAGAAAATATGCTTAAAAACTTTCAGCCTTTCCACTTTGGTGAAAAAGGAAGACCAGCGAAGCTGTACTATGGTGGGACAACCTCAAGGACTACTTCTTGGACGACCTCAAGGACGACGCCTAGAAGACGACGGCTCGAATGACCTCGAGGACGACCTCAAGGACAGTGTCGAGGATGACGCCTAGGACAACCTCAGGGACGATGTGTAGGACGACTTCAAGGATGACGTTTAGGACGACCTCAAGGATGACCTCTAGTACGACCTCAAGAATGACTTCTAGGACGACCTCGAGGACTACCTCTTGGACAACCTCAAGGACGATGTTTCAGACGATTTCAAGGACGACGTTGAGGACAATCTTGAGGACGACGCCTAGAGAAATTCAGCCTTTCCACTCCGGTGAAAACCAGAGTGGAAAGGCTGGAAAGGTTGCCGCCATCTATGAGCGAGGCCAGCAAGCTGGTTGTCTGGTTGCTGCCGTCGCTCATAGATGGCGGTAGCTGTCCAGAGTTCTGTGTCGACATTTGTTTGGTACCGGACACGATCCTGGGGAACCTAGCCCTTAACAGCTTCGCGGTAAAAACAATTTGTAAAAAATGATATTCGGCAGACAATTAAAACTGCTTACGTCTAGGAATGCAAAAGCAATCCTACACGCAGTGTATTCCTACAAGCAGCGTGCCACGTCTTTCTATCGCACACGGCGCTGCTGTGGTGACATCACGCTCCCCCACTGTGCAGGTGCAGCGAACCTTGCCGGCTTCACGACTTCCGTGACGAAGCATTGCGTTACTGTGCTTTTCTAATTTTATTTCTGAAGCGTGTCCGCTTTAACCTTGAGTGCACCCGCCGGCTTGCGTGACGAGGCATCTGCGTTGCTGTGCATCTGTTTGTTTTATTTCCTAAGCGCGTTGGCTTCGACCTCAAGCAGCTGCGCCTCCTTCTGTGACGAAGCATCCGGTATGACGCGTTGCAGCCAATTTAGGTACCGTTTTTTGCGGTTACAGGTGCCGCCAGCTCCACTCCATGGGACAGTTAATGGTTTCGCATAAAAAGAAAATAAAGCAGTCTGGCATGGGTAATGTGGTTGAACGGTTGATCATTCCATCTTTGCTGAAATGCTACTCGTTCGGGGTGCATGGTTAAGTTACCGCCATTCTTCTAATCACTGACAGGAATAGAACGACAGGATGTCTCTTCTGGATGCTTGGGCTCGTTAACTTCCACTGCGCATCGACTGCGTGCGGCTGTGCGAAAGCTTGCGCCGGAGGTGGGACAACCGGAAGACCTGCCTTTATAGTCCACACAATGAGCAAATCTTGCGTGTCATACCAACAATCCCACTTGTCATACCAACGGTCCCACTTGTCATACCAACAATCCCACTTGTCATACCAACAATGCCACTTGTCATACCAACGATCCCACCTGCCCTCCCAGGCGGAGGTGTTTCTGATGCAGAACTGGGAGCACCTGCTGCACCTTATGGAGCACCTGAACCTGCGGCCGACGGCCCCACACGGTGCGGACTTCTCACGGGTGCGGCTGTGGTGCCTGCAGGGCTGGGGGCGCCACTTCCGCCAGACGGCTATCTTCAGCCAGGTGGCCCTGGCGCCCATCAACGCACTCCTCGGACGCCACGGCAACAACTACGCCGGCAGCGTGTCCGTCATCAATCCGCTACCCGCGGGGAGCATCTCGGGCAAGTTTGTTTTCACCGTCTTCTGTGTGTAGTCTTACTTGTGTTCCTGTTGTTTTGTATAGGTAGTTTCTGTTACAAGTGTACCAGAGGTTTGCATCCCAAATTTATTCATAAATGTATTGGGTGCTTCGGCAAAGACTTTCAAAAAAGCCTACCAATAGAGTGGTTCAGAAAAAAAAGAAAGGAACTCTTTTCGGGAACAAACTGACAGCCACGGCAAATGTCGGGGATGGCTAAAATATATGTCACTAAAATTTACTCGTTAACGTTTTAATTAGTTAAAATAAGCATATGGTTCCAATTATAGAAACTTGCCAGGTGCCATCAAAAACCGTGAAATCAGTTAATTTCAGAAAGACTTAAAGAAGCACTGAACCTATGGAAAAATATTTTTCTTTCTTGCCTGGATAAAAGAGGCTTGTCTCAAAATAAATGTTCGTCGAAAAGAAAAAAAATTTTTGGTCAATTTTTTAATGTTTTAATACAAATTTATTTGCGGACGAAACCGAAACAGTACTTCTGCGAGGTGATGATGATAGCCTGCAAATTGAAAAATTCGAATTATAATATAAATTTCCGCGTCTTCGGTTACTCTGGAAGTTCTTCACCAACTCGCCAGTGTCGTCAATAACATAAATATTGGGCAAATTTTTTTTTTTTTTTTGACGAACATTAATTTTGCGTTTTGCCCTGTCCTTGTCCTAACTACATAGAAAAAGCTTTTTTTCCTTTGCTCAGTGTTTTTTAAACGTGAAACGCTGGAGTGTGCTGAAGTTACCACCGGTGCGGCACACACGAGGCCGACGATGCAAGAACGCAGACAACAATATAAACCACGTTTTTGCCCCGCAATGCCGCACAAAAAAGTCGACACGGAGCATACGGGGCTCGCATCAACGTCACCTCGGAGACCATTGTGGTGACCTTGCTGCCGAGCGCGTACCTTTCGCAACATACATTTCACACCGCCAAATTTTTTGCCAGCAAGAAGTAGAACGACCACCGGTATGGTGAGACATCATAAACCAACCAAGTATAGGTGGCCGAGGCAACCACGTAACACAAGTGGTATAGCTGCCGGCATCCATCTACCCGTGCTGACTGGATTCCTCTGGGTGCAGAGGTGACGGTGGCCCTGCCCCAGGTGTTCCGGCGGTTCCAGTGCCCGCGAGCATCGGAGCTGGCAGACACCCGCTTTACGGCGTTCGTGGAGCGGGTGCTCCCCCAGCTGCTGGAGGCCCCCGGAGGAGGTGTCATGGTGTATGTGCGATCCTACCTGGACTTCGTGCGCTTGCGCAACTACCTCAGGCGCACGGAAGCCAGCTTCACACAGACCTGCGAGTACACCCCAGACGCCAAGGTGGGTGGGTCCCTGCTAGAGCCACCGTAATACATTTAGCGTACCACTCCACCCATGCATCCAAAGTGGTCCCCTAGAAATCCTTCGTCCTCCACGTTTATTCTTTCTACAATCTCGAAACAGACCAATTAAAGATGCGTTGCAGGCACTGTACCGGCGCGGATTGCATCGCAGGTGGCACGCGCTCGGAACCTGTTCTTTCGAGGCCGTCGCCGCCTGCTGCTGTATACAGAGCGGTTCCACTTCTACCGGCGGTACCGCATCAAGGGGGTGCGGCAGCTGGTCTGGTACGAGTTGCCCAGCCTGCCCCACTTCTACCCCGAGCTGTGCTCCCTGCTCCAGCCCAACATGCAGCGCAACCGCCAGGGGGGCAGCTTCGCCTGCTCTGCCCTCTACTGCAAGCAGGACGCGCTCCCGTTGGCCGCCGTGCTGGGGTCGGCCAGGGCGGCCATGTTGCTGCACGCGGAGAGCGACACCCATGCCTTTGTGTCTGGAGACTGAGGGTCGCTGCCCACACCACAGTCTATCCCGAGGACGTGTTTCGAGCGGCCAAGTTCCGTTGGAAGAATTGAAGAGCAACGGCCCCGCTTTCGTCTCGGGTAATCAGGGCACCTTCCGTAAGGTTTCCATTCTGCCCACCCCAGGACACGGTGCGAGATATATATATATAGGTGGGGACACGCAGCACGGTCCCATTGGTGCGCCGCCGGTCCCATGAAGTCCCATTGGCGTGCACGCTGGTAGCCTATGTTGACAACATCTCCGCCGGTGCGATTGCGAAAAAAGAAAGGAACAATCAAAAACACAAAAAGTGTCTCTTTGCCGCGGTACCTTCGCACGTCTGCATTCTGCTCGGTGCGTCTGCTTTGACCTCGATTGTGCTAGAGATCTTTCTGCTTCGATGCACTTGTAAAACTTTTCTTGCCGCTGTTGAGGCATGAAACTAGGGTCAATGACAAAGCTGCTTCTAAGCAACACACATAGCACGAGTGCTGAGTTCTACATTGCACGGCACACCTAGAAAACAATTATAAGGGCATGCCTCCCATAGAGAAGTGTGGGAAACCGGGCCTGCAACAGGCTACCCCTAGCCGATTATCGAAGAGTCTTCAGATTTTGACGCTTGCAACCAAGCTGAGGACTTGATTTGACAAGTGCGATGCATGCAGCATACACACGTAAATATATCTTGCACCGTGGTCTCGAGCAATCGAGGTGCCTTTGCGAAGGTTTGCACTCTGCTGACCCCAGGAGCAAGCCCCTCGGCGACCGTCAGCGGGAGAGCTGCCAAACAACGGGAGTGCTGCCCATAAATTTGTTTTCGGAGAAACGGACTCCACGCATATCCAGACATCTAAGCTCCACTCGTCCGAAAGACTATCACGGTGACTGTGTTAAGCAACTGGAAAGTGAGCCCTTTGCGCATTCGTTGTGGCTGTTGGGGCTCGGCTCTCCGCCGAGTGCCAAAGTGCGGATTTTGTTTGCGACAGATCTGGGACGACGGAGCTGCTACCGAGATTGTCGGGAGTTTAGGGTCTCTCAAACATGTCGCACCCTTCTCTTCGAAGGGGGTTCATAGCCGTGGTCTCAAAGCGGCTCGGTGTCCACAAATGAGTCAGCATAGCACATGCGTAGCAGGAAAACGGCATGGAGGCACCCAACTCTCTGGGCACCACGAACAATTCCAGTGTTTTGTGGTGCGTCCGTTCTAAAAGGCCACACCCACCGCTGCTTAGCGCGACTGTGAACCCAGGTTTTCGGCAGAAAACCACCAATGTGGAGAATAAAGACTATAACGCCGAACAAGCGCGGGTGAAGACACCTTTATTTTGGGTGTGCCGGTCTCGCAAGACCGACACGGCTGCCAAAAAGAAAACCGCCCTCCAAGCATTTCGTTGCACAAACCCCGACACTCTGGACTCAACTGCACCCCAACACGACACCTAATTCAACGCGGAATGATCTTGGTTTGCCACCGAGTCGTCGCGCCAACGCGTCGCAGAAACACTGACATTGGTCCGCACCAATGTCATGCTAAGCTACGAACACCTTGTTTTAAGGCCCGTTTGCATACTCGCGTTTTTTTGGGATTATGTGCCTCGAAACACCTCAAAATCTCTTGGTATGAAAGACACGCCGACACCACCTAGGTGATCCTGGAGCTCCATTTCACTAGAGCGTAGGTTTTGCCGTATTTGCGAGCTCGGGTATTATAAGAAATGGTTGTTTTAACATTGTTTCCCCGCTAAATTTAGCGGGGAAACTGTGAGGTCCCATAATACAACATGTCCAATTACACCGACAGCGTTGCCGCCTGACCCAGAAACGGGCGCCTAAAGACCCGTTCACACTCTTGCACCCGAGTGCGACCGACAGAGACAAGACTTGTTGAAACCTCTCAAAATTTCTTAAACGAGGGAACACACTGGTACTCTGGCGCCATCTATGCGGTTACCCTGGAACTGCATTTCACAAGAGCGAAGGTTTTGCGGGGTTTCCGAGGTCAAATGTGCGTAACACCTATAAGAAAGGCTCGTTTATAACGCTGACAAAAGTTTTTCGAGCCGAGAAAGAAAGGATAATGCGCGAGACAAATAAAAAAATATGCCGGACCGCCACGTTTACACTGCCACCTTATAGATGGCGCCAGTGTCCTCTCGTTGCAAGAGGTTTCAAGGGACTAAGTTTTAAGAGGTCGTAAAAGTGTGAATGGGCCTTAAGAACTGTGCTCCAAAAATAACTATTAATGTAAACAAATGAAACTCTACGAAAATTCTCTAGACCAGTGGTTCGAAATCGGGGTCCACGAACCCTTTGGGTCAGTTTTGGTGCTCAATCAAGCTAAATACTAAAATGTTTTTTTTTTTTTTTATAGTTACTATTTCACAAAGCTCTAAATAGACGAAATCACGTGCACCAAGTGAGTAGGGTTCATTATTCTCCGTTTAAGGGCTGCAAAGTTGGTTTGCGCCATATCTAGTTTCCTTAATTTATCCTATTTTCATTGCAACCGTTCAATGCTGCTCCTTGGCAGATGGGGTGCCCATTACTTCTGCCAATCAAGAGGGGCTCCCCAAAACATCTGTGGTTGAGAACCACTGCTCTAGATCTTGGTGGATGTAAATACGGCTTTTCCTAAAGAATCGCAAATATGTTAACGGGCCTTTACATGTTGCAACAAGTGTGCTGCACCCCAACACAATGTCAATTGAACGCAAGAAAATGCTGCTTTGCTGCTGGTCTGATAATGTAACGAGCCACCACACGACCGGAATACCGGCATTGGTCCGTATTAACGTTGCACTGGGATACAAACAGCCCATTACACATTGCAGCAAGAATGTTGTGCCCCGGCAAAACACTGACTGAACACATGCCAACACTAGTTTGCCACTGGTCAGACAATCTTGGCAAACCACCACATGACCAGAACACGGACATGCATTGGTCTGCAGCAATGTCACACTGGGATGCGAACAGCCCCTCACACGTTGGAACAAAAATTTTGTACCCCCAACACAATGTTGACCGAACGCACGCCAACGCTGGTTTGCGACTGCTCGGATAATATTGTCCAGCCAGCGCACAACCAAAACACTGACATTGGTCCGTGCCAACGTCATGTTTGGGGTAGGACCGGCGCGTCGCAGGTTGCAGCGAGCGTGCCGCGGGCCCACTTTCCGCACGTGCCGATGCCCGTGCCGTTTGGGGGCGGGGCCACATAAAGTCTCCCTGTACAGACAGTCACTGGGGCTTCTCAGGGGTGTGGCGGTCGCAGGTGCAGCTTCTTGGGCGTCCGGCACATTTGTGGCTTCCGCTCGTCAGAGGAGTCCGAGGTGTCGATGCCAGAGTCCGGGGGCTCCGAAGACACCAGCTCCGCCAGCAGCGCGCTCAGCTTGTCCAGGAAGTTGGCCACGCCGTCATAACCTGAGACCACGCAGATGTGGCACGGTGAAATTGGTGGACAAAGTGGCCGCAGTGGCCAACGGCGGAGAGGCCCGTTCACGCATATGACGTGTCCCCCCCAGATATTACGGGGTGTTTCCACCCCAAGAATAAACAACGCACCGCTGGACACTCATTCTTTGCCCAAATGTAATGGTGGCAGTCCCGAACAAACCCTCATCTTATTCAAAAGCTATAAGTAGGGTTCCATGTTTCTGGATAAATAAGAAAAACACTTGCCAATACGAATTTATATAAAAAAGAAACTTGAAATTTCAAAGTCACAATGGCAAAACGAAAAGCAAGAAAAAAAAAGTGACGGTATTTCATTAATGAAGTTTGCTGGACTGATCTCCATGACAATTGCTAGATCACACTTCCCCGCTCCGCTGTAGCCCCGCAAACGCAGGCACCGGACAGCCATGTTATGCCACCAAAAATTCAGCCAGCTGCAAGTTGCTGAGGATGGACAACAGTGTGCTGGAAGGCGAGTTCGCCATCAGTCGCCGAGAAAGTTTTTTTTTAAAAACCTTGCGTAAATGGTTGTAGTTGCCATTAAAAACGTGGATAAAAAAAAAAAAAAAAAAAAAAATCTTATTTGGTGAATGACGGAGAACGAGCAGAAAACGCTTCTTCCAGCACGCTGCCGCCCAGCCTCCGCAACGTGTCCGCAACTTTCACCAGGCTGATTTTTTGGTGGCCCAAGATAGCCGTCCGGTGAAAAGATTCACTGAACCCTACAATGATTTGCTGGATCGCTGTAGCTCTAGCGCTGTCAGGCCTAGACAGTTACCATAATTACCGTCTGTAGGTCACGTGACAGCAGCCTTGACAACGCTTCAGCAAGTGACGTAAGATGGCTGACCGGTGGCCGCAATCACGCAGTGGGCTTGAAGTGGGGATGCGCGACCCAGCAAATTGTCATAGAAATCAGTGGGAAGTGTCATTCAGCAATTTTCATAAAGATCAGTGGTTTGTAATAACACTGAGTTAGTGGTACTGAAAAGAAAAGCCACCTCAGTTTTTTAATGTGGCAGTTGATAAAAAGTTTCCCATTTATCTCAATAAGGTTCGTTCAGGATGAGTCAATGTACTTCTGGGCTATGAGAGAAGTCACTGTCCTGATTTCCAGTACCATGCTCTTTACACGTTTGGATAGAAGAGGGCTGGTGTGTTTATAACAGTGGATAATATGAACCTATAGATAGCATCGGACTGGCAGGGCAACGGAAGACTTGCGCTTCCCAACGACTAATGTCCACGAGCTTGGCATTTTCGATGTACTGATGTTTGCCAGATTTGTTCTGGCATAGTTAGCACTGCCAATCGCAAAAACTCCAATGCCAAATACCAGTTTTTTTTTTGTTTTTTTTTCTTTATGAATCTGGGGTAAGTTTTTGTCTGGGTATTATGTATGCTTATTTAGAATTTTGAAAAAATTAAACACAGTAAAAATAAGCTTCGAATTTCAGAGAATCAGAAACCTAACTAATATAAACTATGATAAACCTCAAATTTTCAGAGGTGGGAATCTAACAAACATAAACTTCAATAAACCCCGAATTTTCGGTGTAAACTCTAAGAAAAGACCCCCTGAATTTTCGGTGTAAACTCTGGGAAAAGACCCCCCTAATTTGACATAATACAGATTGAAAACATGGAAACCTACTACTAGTTTATAAGTGATTTTCTGAAAATTTCAAATTGGGACAATGGCGACTGACAGTTCCCCCCATAAATGCAGCTCAATGGTGCCGGTTACCAAGAACGGGTCCCATTTTCCCATTGAAATTTTCAGAAAGTCCCTTATAACTTTTGAATAGGATTTTAGTTCTGAAACCTTGGCATCTGGTTCAGACGGCCAGTGCTACACTTGGGCGGAGAATGAGCGTTCGGCAATGCATGGTTCATTTTCGTGGTTAATAACTGCCCTTCCTCGTTCAATGGCGCCATCTGGCGTCAATTTTTTGCTGCCGATTTTAATAAAAAGTCGGCCACACATGAACAAAATGTTTGCTCTTTTAGGATGCTTAAAGCCCATAGATATAGTTATGACCATGAATAGACCACTGCAGAATGTGGCTTGGTGACCCTTTACCCCTTTGACGGTCGTCGCCGTACATTTATGGTGGTAATGACACATTTGAAAGTGTCTGCCTAAACGCGAAACTGCGCACATTACGGGAGGGGTTGCTATTTGTTATGTCTTTTTTGAACTATGAATGTTATGATCTCACATTTATTTTGCATTGCTGGGCTATTTATGGCTTTTAAATTAGATGCTCCATGCACGTGATGCTCGGTTTGCACACTAACCGCTTTGGCAATAGTGCCAGACTTCCAATGCTTTTCGGAATTAAATTTGGAGTATAAGAGCTCATCATCCGACGGAGAAGTTCTGTAAAGTGCCTCCGGTTATGGTGTATTTGCACGAGAGATCTTTATCCCCGGAGAAAGTCGAGTACGTCATAGAGCTGAGAGAAGGAAATGGCACGAGAAGGAGGAGGAAGTGGAGAAAATCCAAGCGAGCATTCGCACGACGGAGTTGCATATAGCTCGGTCGCCGGAATCTTTCTTTTCGCAAACCTATTGGCGACTTTCGGGAGCTCACTGAACAAAAAGCAGGGAAAGAATAATAAACAAAAGACACCCCACACTTCAAGCCTGCTGGCGACTTTCAGGGGCTCATCCAACAAAAAGGCCGGCAAAAAATAATAAAGAAAAGGCACCCCACACTTCAAAGCTGTTCGTCATTACCCCTCCCCAAAAGCAGGGGGACAAAAGAGGGGGCCCGACCGCTCCGACGGATACCGACGGAATGGCGGAGATTCTGTAGGCCTGTCCCAGATTCTCCTCGGGACCCCGCGAGCACGCCGCGAGCTCAGGGGATCAGCGAACATTCGTGACGCGGAGCACGTGACCTCAAAACTCGATGACGTTTATCTTTCTCCTCGGGAAGAAACTCCGTCGTGCGAATACACCATTAAGGTGTATCCACACGACAGACCGGGCCGCGGACCGATTGATCACGTGATGCGCGGCCCGTGGGCCGCCCGGCTGCAATGAGCATCCACACAGCGGACCAAAAGAGCAGACGACAGAGCGAACGGGCCAGTCTAACCCTCGACCTCACAGCTCCGCCAAACGCATGCAGCGAACTGCTTTGAGGCTATTTGTAAGGAGCCAAGATGGAGGTTGAACAAAAGAGACGTTTGGCAGTGGTGGCCCTGGCGTTGACTATTGAGGACGAGGAGGACTTAAATGAACCGAAAAAGGCATGGGGACATCTTTAGATGATTATGTGAGTAGTCGTGCGACTATTTTCCCACAGAGCGGGGAATTGCTCCATGAGCGCGATGAAGTAAAAAGTTGCATCGTCGCACAACAAAAGGTTTGTCTTCTTCGTCTTTAACAATTGGCACCAAAAGAAAACAACTTTGGATTTAGATTCCAATCCAAGCAACAAAAGTCAGCTTGTTGCCAGACTTAGCGCTTCAACTATACTAAAAACGCCGCGGTCCGGTCCGGGCGAAGGTCCGGGCGAGAAAAGTCGCTTAACATTTCTCAGAAGCGCGGGCCGCGGACCACCGGCGGACCTCGAAGACCGGTGACGCAAGACATACTTGGGTAGTAATTCAATTACAGTAATTAAATTACTGTAATTTAATTACATTTCGTGGTAATTTGTAATTGTAATAATTACTTTTGGCTAAAAGAAATTGTAATTTAATTACTTTCTAGCGTCAGTAATTGCTAAATTTCAGGCACAATTACAATTACTTTTGCAAGATTTTGTGGCGGCGGCGCTTTTCCCCCCTGGCCACGGAGACGACAGCACAGCCAAAGCGACAGGGGAGAGAGCGTCTCCCAACCTGCTAAAAAAATGGAAAAGAGGGATGGGAAAGAGAGGCTGGGATAGAACGGAATGAAGGATTTTGTAGACTGTAAAACGATTTAATGAAGAATTTGAAAAATAATTTGATAAATGAGGGCTACATTCGTGTCCGTTTTCATTCCTGTCGTAGTTGAATCTGACTCTTCGTCTCGTTTGCTTCCTGTTGCTCCTGCTTCTAGGGGTCTTTCTTATTTCTCATTCCCACACGGGGGCATCGGAGGTCGAAGTCGAGCTGGTTGGCTCCGATCACATCATCCGGTCGAGGCGGGGTGGTTCGAGGTTCTCCTTACGCGTCTTCGCCGCTAGCATATTTATTCGCTTACATATTTCAGTCAAGTTTGGAACTTTTTTGTTCATGAAATTATTCTCTTTTCTTTATGAGTTTTTCACGTCCTTCTCCTCTATCTCGTATGTTGGTACCACTAACAGTAAGTCGTGCTACTCTGACATCGAGGCAAAGAAGCAGGATGTCTCATTAACACGACTCACCCTGCCTTACTTCCAACTTTTGTTGCTACACTGCTCTTCCTTCTCCCAATCCTCGTATACCTTTTTGTATAAATCTTCATTATTTAGTGTTCGCTCTACCTAACCCTTTCAACCGTTTGTCAGCCTGATTGGACGAGATTCCAAAACTTACAAACCGCGGCTTAAGCTGTAGGGAGCTTGTTTTTGCATTTGTTGTTCGTTGAAGGCTTCTTTTTTTATAGAGCACTTGGCTTGCACTTTGTTTTTACACCTCTATCGTGACCCTCCACCCGTTGTCCTCTCGTCTTGGCCTGTGGAACTGTCCCGAGGCGCGCAGTGCTGCTTTGCATTGAGAAGCTGCAACAGTCTTATCTATAATGAAAAAGGAAAGGCTGCCGGGGCCTTGTTGCAAAAAATTCTCTAAACAGATTAGCACCAATGTAAAAAACTATAATCGTGAGGAGCGAACTCTCCGCAGCGTTTCTGAAAACAAATTCAATAAACCGAAAGGCGACCTCCAATTTGCGGAAACACTAGCAGGTAGGCAACTTTCTTGTTACTTTGAATAATACTTACAGTTATAAAAAAAATAATAATAATAGCTCGTCTATATCTTCCAGCTGAAACACGCTCAAGTAAATCGTGAAATCGAGGCGTCCAAGAGGCCGCAGTTTTGGAATAATTCGTGGATTCTAATTTTCGCGACGCGGTGCGGTCGCGATATAGATTCCAATGTATTTACATTTTTTTTCGCGAATGGTAGGCGATTCGCGAAATTCGCGAAAATAAAGTCGTTTGCAGTGTATCATGAATTTTTCGAGGTTGTTCTTGCCATGCTAAATTCAAATCGGTCTTCTTTATGAGACGCATAACATCGATACAATCATTGCTATCCTAATGATTAGCTACATGACGATCCTAAATTTATTATTTATCTCAGGAGCTTTTTGGGTGTTACCGTGCACTGAATTAACCCAGAATCCCTGGCAATAGAGTTGCTGCTATTGTGACACTAGTTTTGTGGAAGCGACCACAGTTCGTGTGCTACGGTTACCCACATCCGGCATGTTACAAGTCCACAGACAGGGAGAGGCAGCGAATCATCGTGGCTGAAATGTTTTCGTAAGTTGTCGTATCCTTTAAATGTTTAACGTCGTTTACAAGTTTCTCTTATTAGCCATTTTTACGCGAGTTTTACGATACCAGTACTGTTGCATATTTGTTTCCTTGTATTATTTTTAAGTTTATTTTTTCTTGGTTTGACTTGGATACCTTTTGCATAAGCTCTAAGGAGATTCACCTCACACCTGTGAATTTTGTTGCCATTTTTTATGTTTTGAGAATATATGAACGCAGAGTTCATTACTCCAAACTATTAAGTTCTATAATCCATTTAACAAATTTCATAAAAGGAAAGTACATAAAAGGAAAGAAACTCGTTTACAGTTATATGGCCCAATGTGGGGGATAACTCTCAGAAATAAGTAATTGTAAAGTAATTGCATTACTTTTAAAAAGTAATTTGCAATTGCAATGAACTACTTTCGCGCAGTAGTAATTGTAGTTAAACTACTTTTGGAGCTAAGTAATTGTAATTGTAATTAAATTACATTTTGAAAGTAATTTACCCATGTATGACGCAAGATCACGTGATGCGCAGCCCGCGGACCAAAACAGCAATTTGGTCCGTCGTGTGGATACACCTTTAGGGATTTGAATCCGCTGGAATGTCGTGGAAGCGAATGCACCGAAATGAAGCCGAATGGCAGAAAGGATAACAACGTTTTGCCTTCAATATTTTCATTTGATGCTTCTAAACCTAAACGGACTGTTTGTGCTCTTGTGCATTCACCCTTTCTTTATACTATTCCTTAGCAAACCCAACCGGACCATAGGAAACACCTCTTGGGAGAAAAAAAAGAACCAGGGCGTAGCTTGTTATGTCGAGGGTTGTTACTTTGCATGTCGTTCTTTGGAGTTCTGATCGGCTAATACCACAATATTGTTACAGGGCGATACTAAAATGATTGACTTTCCACTCCCCGCATTTCTTAAAAGGTCACTAAAAAAAGCAAAAAACAAAAACATTAATGATTATGGTCATTTTTGGAAAGGCTAGAGCCACTAGGTAAGGTAAGCTTCAGGGTAACCACATGTCAGCCATCGGATGAATGAATGGATAACAGCTGTACCCTTTAGTGTACGGTAGCTAGTGCCATTTGGAATCGTGGTTGCCATTTGTTTTTCACCAAACTTTTTCCGACACTGGTAGTGTGTCGAGAAAAAAACTAATGCGTGTTTCGTAGGTAATGAACGTCGGCAACAGTCTTCGGCGAAAGTGAAAAAAATAATTTTGGGTTCCTAAGCTTTGTTTCACATAACCGGAATCAATTCACAACTCTGAGCGCTTCACATGACCTTCCGGTCGGGGGGAGCAATGCGTGGAGCGTGAAGTCATGTGGCAAGTGCGAAGATGTACCGTAATTGAGGTGAGGCGTGTAAAGGAATAAAAATTTAAGTGCCCCAGTCTGTTACTGCGTTCGCATTGCAAACTTAATCATATTGAAAATAAATGAACAGGGTAAAAACCCCCAAAAAATGTGCTTAAAAAAGCAACCCCCCCCCCCCCCCCCCCCTCCCTCCCTCGAAAAAAAAACAAAGTTTTTTGAAGTTGTGCTAAGGAAGTGGCCCTGAAAATCAACATGTAGTGTCTGTCGCAGTACGTCGTGAAGTATTCACTGCATTAGGCAGGCGTTGGCACCACGAGGGTGCCACGGTATTTGGTGCTCCAGTAGACTTCCGGTAGTGTGCTTATTTGTTTTCCAGCAACGTAAACTGATTGGGTAACGAGATTTTCCTTCGGAGAAGTATTTGCAATACGTTTGTAAAAACCTGAGCGCTTTGTAGAATGTAGTCCAAATAAAAAAAGGATCTTAGACAAAAAGAAGAGCAAAACCGGAAGCGAAACAGGGAGCTTGTTTGCAAACAAGCACCGGTGAACACCGTAGTGTAGTGGATAGACGACCCACCGGGGAAGTTGTTGACGTCGATGATGCAGAGGCGCCCTGTGCCCTTCTCCATGATAACATCCATACCAAAGAGCAGCTGACCCAGCTCCTGACGCACCACGTCCACCAGGAAGCGCAGCTTGTGCGGGCACGGCTGCGCCTCTTCCTGTGAATGGACGGAGACGGTCAGTGCGTTTTAGAATGGAACGGATCGAGGAACCGAAGGCTGGTTCACATACTTACAAGCGCTTACAAACAAGGGCCTTAAAACCTTTTTTTTTTTTTTTTCTCATGCAATATGTTTTTTTTTTTTTTTTGTTTCCAAAAACTTTTGAATATGTTAGAAACTACCTTTTCTTGTAGATAATATGTAAATTTGATCTCTCGAATACCACAAAACCTTCCCTCCAGTGAGATACAGCTGCAGAGCTGGATTAAGGTATGAGCTAAGGGGGTGGCAGCCCAGGGCCCCAGGCTGCCAGGGGGCCCCATGCTGGCCCCCGGAAATTTTAAAGAAAACTTCTAGTCGATTTCAGTTCAAAACAGCTCAGGTCTAAAAAAGGAGCAAAGATCACAGGAGCCTCTGGACTCTGGCTTCCTGGTGTTACCCCCCCCCCCCCCCCCTTTTTTTTTTTTTTGGTGGTGAAACAGGAATGCTATAAAGTTCCCTCCTCTAGGTGAGCTGTTGTTTGTGAGCTCGTCGTAAAAGACTGTGCTAGATCAACAAAATGTAAGTGTTGCCTCCCACCCGCCTCGTGGGAGGGAGCGAAGCTGTCGATGCTGGCAGTCCCGTTGAAGTCTCTTCTAACTGAAACCAGATGGAAGGACGTCCATGGAGTTCTCTATTGTACTGGGGCCCCATCAACACGTTTTATGGACAATGGTGGGTTGGAAGGCAAGCAAGTGTTGCCGAAGGCTACACGAGCAACGTACATGTGCCACATTATTTTTTGCCATTTTCGGTCTTTTAGCGCGAAAAGTTTCCTCTGAAATGACAAGTTAAAAACAAGCAAAAAGAAATATTGCTGAACCTTCTGAAGCCATCCAACCACTAACGGACGTTTCAAGGAGCCGGCTCTCGAGATGTCCCCTAGAAGTTTTCAAGGGGCACTGACTGCAAGCAACTTCTCTGGAGCCTGTGTCTGATCTGCTGCCAGAACACTTTCCGTGGCATTGAGTGATACGATCGCTGCAATTGTTTTACGAGCCTCTGAGGTACAACCTATTATTCTTAGCTTAAAGTAATACGTCCAAATGGCTAAAAAAAACGTCCTATAGTTATTGCAATTAGAAGAAACAAGACCACTTCCATCCAAAATTAATAGCTGTCGTAAGAGATCACAAGAAGTCGGCACCGAGCAAATGCAGGTGTGTCAACGGGCCTTCAATAAACATTCTACTAAGAGATCCCCACGTTTTTTAAAGGGGTACTCCGGCGATTTTTTTAGCTACCCCAATTATTATTATAGGAATCATCAGCCTTTACCTTTTCCGGTATGGTATTTAGCATCGTGAAATTCAGAATAGTTATTTTGAAATCCACGAGCGAAAATGATGCCAAGAACAGACATACAGATATACCCGCGCTTTTCAGCGTTGCGTCGTCTGTGGAAGGCAGGGTTGCAGGTTGAGCGGGCAGTCTAAAGAATGAACTATGCCGAACATCTGTTTCGTGCTGCTGCAAGGGTGCTGGAGCAAACTTTCCAAGCATTTATTTGACACCATAAAACCGCTCGTAATCAGTTGGGAACAAGCAGGGACACAAACCGAAAAATATAATGTTTCGGTTACGGTTCTTGTTTCCTGTTGATATCAGTTTCGTTCCGGCTTTCTACACCTCTAATTTTTACAATTTCAATTACCAATTACACATTCCAAAAAAAAAAAAAAATTTTTTTTTTTATTTCTTTAATAATATGTTTCATTCAAATGTGGGACGGCCGTTTTATAATAAATGTTTTAAAGTAGTCCCAGACAGGCAAGTATCCAGGGGGGGAAATTTAATTTTAACGTTCCTAAACGGTTTTCGGTTACTGTTACAGTTTGAGTCCCTGGTCTAGAGTCCAAAGAGTATATATACCCCCTGCCTTCCGCTGACGTCACTTCTTCGTTGTTGCCAGTAGAAACTTTCCCTCTGAAAAGCACTAATGACCAAAATTGGAAATTCAATAACTTTGTAAAAAAATTAATTTTGGTCCAATATTTGGGTGACGATTTCGAAGACGTTTGTTGATGCAATTATCAAATTTTAAGGCGAATCGGGGATTTTGAAGAAACCGTTGTCGGAGTACCCCTTAACCTTTCGTTGTCTACCGAGTTACTGTGCAACAGAGTACAGGTGCCCTATGTTATACGGCGGGATCAAGCAGAACCAAGGGACCGGGACAACGTCGTCTGCTATGAATGGTCAGCGCCGCGCCACTGTTTAATTGCAGCAGACAGCATTGTCCCAATCCCACTCAGTCCCGCTGTGTAGCATGGTGCCCCCAGTCGTTGTCAAGGATGCCCTACCGCAGCATTCGGAGGCAGTGGGGCGTTGAGCGGGGAGCTGGAGTGGGGCTTAGAGATGTCCTGGCTGTTGAAGCAGATGCTCGGCTGGTCCCCTGCCGTAAAGTTGCGCAGTGACGGCCGCCACGTCAGGTAGTAGTGGGGCCCCAGCACGTACACCTTGAGAAGGCGGGCGTCGTGTGCCACAAACTGCTGGGCCACGCAGGGCACTGGAGCCTCGCCCAGGCCGCCGGGACCAAACACCAGGCACATCTGCAAGGACCTCCTCGCGCTCCGTGAACGACGCAGTCGCCGTGCATCCGCGCCTTAAAGGGACACTGAATGGGTATTTATTAGAGGTGTGCGAATATCAAAATCTTTCGAAGCGAATCGAATCGAATAATAAAGGTTACGAATCGAATCTAATATTTTCGAATATGAATAGTAGTTCCAAATAAGGATATATTTGAAAACAAATATTTTCTATTTGATGTGAATTAAACAAGAATGCTTAACAAAAAAACACAACTGGAATTTTTTTTTAACAAACGTTTATGAAAAGGTTACTTTTATTGGAATAAGAAAAATGTCCCACATGTGACTGTTAAAAAAAACAGATGAAGAAAGATCAGTCAGTAAAATACCATTCCTTGAGTGAGGTTAGAGAACATAAATGAAAGTGCAAAAGTGAAGGCGGGTCGGCAAGCCACAACGCAGTTGGAGATCGCATCGCGGATGAAAGGAGGCACTTGAGCGTAAACGCAAGTACACAAGCGGTGGCGGGTCCGTAAGCCGCAATACGAAGTCGATGATTGCGTCTCTACTTTGTGCAATCTCTTTTTACGCTCGTGAACGTAAATGGAAGTGCACAAGCAGAGGCGGGTCGACAGGCCACAGCAGAGTTTCAGATTGCGCGATCGCGCTGCGCAACCGCACTGACTATGCACCATCTCTTTCCGTGTGCAATAGTTCTGTCCATAGAGGGCACCACAAAGATGCAATATATTAAGAATATGTTGTTTTTTTTTTTGGCGGGGGGGGAGGAAGTCTTACTTTTATCATTGAAAACGGGTAGAAATAAATAACAAAAGGAATACTGGCAAACTGATAAACCGGAAAATCAAGCGGAAAATAGCACAAGCCAGATATCACCGATAGCCGAGGTGAGCCATAAATCCATATCCGAATCCATAGCACCTTGGCTACTGTAGTCACTGTAGGTATGAAATCACGAATATATATGGTTGTGCTACATTAAAAATGAATGTGGACAGGAACGTATACAAGACGTCTCGGGCGGACGCCCGAAACGTCGTGCGGTCCGTCGCGACGATGCATGTGCCGTTGCAAACCGTAGTCCTTCATCCTATCTATCGCAGCGTTTGCACCACGACCACTTAGCCAACTCTGCAATCAGGGCATCACGGCAAGCAAAGGACAGATCGCGCTACCGCGTGCAAATAGCTTTCCAATCCTTCCTGCAAAAAGAAAAAAAAAAGATACTTAGGTTGGTTGTGTAGGTTTGCCAAGCTCGAAACCATACTGCGCAGTCCAAAAACAAAACAGAGAACTCGACCGCAAGTTGACACTAATCAATGAGTTCCGCGTTATTCGTAGTTTTCGAAGTATTCGAAGAACTCGAATAGTTCGAACAGCGAAAGGGCGAAGCGAATCGAATCGAATAGCAAGCATTATTCGCGAAGTATTCAAAGTTTCGAATATTCGCACACCCCTAGTATTTATGCTTGCCAAGGCTTGTACATTTGTACATGAGATATGACCAGCTAGCCAAAACAAAATTTGCAACTCGAAATTCGTTGTTTTTCTTCCCGCCGATTGAGAATGCACTGGTTTGAGTCACGCTCACACTCTTCTCCATGGTCACATGCTGTTCAGACACAACCGCCAAATATTATCAGTTGTGTGTCATCAAAGAAGCACACTTATTAAAAAAAAAAAAAGTGCAACCCATTTTTTGTGGCATTTTAAAGGTGTTTTACATTGATTTTAAGAAAAGAAACAAAACGCTTCACCCAATTGGAAGCACTTTGTGCATTCTCTGCGTAATTCTCAAGATGGTGTCGTATCGTGAGAGTCGTGAGCTGGATAGCTGGATGAAGCGAGCCAAGCGATGGCGGCAGACGACGGGGGTGGGACCTCTACTTAAGAACTGTTGCTCGTGGTACCAGCAACTGTCTAGCTTTGGAAGAGAAATCTTTTACTGATAAAAACTATTAGGATTTATTATGTACGACACGCCTGACCACCAAGCCGATTCGCACGAAGACGTCGCCAAGTCGTCGCCCCTTCTCCTGACTGAAGACCTTGCTAGCCTTACGAACAAGAATTGGTAAGAGCTTGAAACATGAGCAAACGTCAAGCACGAAATGCGTACTTGGTGTTGAATATAGATGCATACGATTCCTTTACTAGGTTCGAATGTGGCCAATGCGTGGTGCTGCCCGACTTCGAGCGTGGGGAGTGCCTTTGCAGCAGAAAAATTGGCAGCAAACCTTCTGATCTACAGTTGGCCGGCTACGTTGCTGCAACAACGAGTTCCCCTTCGTGTGCTCGACCCTTACAATGTTAAAACTCTCATCTGCTTCGCATGACCGGAGGAGCGTAAGGAAAAAAATATGCGGTCGGGCGTAGCCACGCAAGTTCTGGCAACTCTCTCCTCCTCTAGATTTCTCTCTCCTCTGTAGTGGACATGTTGCGCCATCACTCCGTGCTCGTGTTTCGATTCTGAGCAGTTGCGCTCTTTGGCTGTATCCAAAATATACGCGACTCCATAGCAAAATATTGATTGGGTAGTCGTCCGACACCATATTGAATTGCTTTACAAAAAAAATAAAAATTAAGTTGTTTTTTTTGGGGGGGGGGGGGGTGTCAGTGTTTTTTTGAAGTTGCAGTCGCACCGTTCATATGCTGCATAAAGGATGCGGTGTTAGCAGCAGATGCAAGGAGAGAATTCTCCGTGGACACGACTCGGGCAAGTTCAAAGCACGTCTGCTTCATATCTGTCTACAGATGGTTTTTGTACGACCAACGTAATGGGACCATCCTGCGAGGAAGAGGCATGCCTCAGACAATGTCTGCGGACTGCCTTGTGTAGGATTACGGAGCCTGGAACGTCTGTCCGACCGGTGCGTTTAGTGTCGCATTCCACCCGTACGTCCAAAGTGGCAACGAGTGATGTCACTAAAGCCGGAGTGTCAGGCTGTCAGACGCCGCGATCCTGGCAATTAGCATCATAAGTTCCGGCGCAAAGCACGGGCAAGTGTGAGGCTTTCGGAGCTTCCGTCGACCGTGAAGCTGGAGGGCGGCCTGCGGCGGAACAGGCGTCTGCTGCGACGCATCATGATGTCATCGTCGGAAATGGAGGGACATCTTTTTAGGATGCGGTAAACACGCCAGCCCGGAGAGGCGTTCCTAAAACCGTGATTCTGCGCCTTAACCCTCTGATGTCGGTGTGTCGGATGTCGCTCGACAAAGAAATATTCTTACTGCGGTCAGCTGTCGCACGTGCCCCGACGTGTTCCGACTTGCGCCCTTTATAGAGATTGTCCGGTAAAACTTGGACTTTCAGAAAACCCTTAAATTATATTGTCGTTGCTTTTAGGAATGTCATCCGCACAATATCCTAATTATTTATCCTCTGCCGAGCAAGTAATTCAATTCTAAACGTAGCCCAACTGCTCCGATTGTGCCCGCAAAACTAGCGGAGGTTTTGCTGGCAACAGTGGAAGCTCTGACGTAGTAACATCAGGCAAAGAGAGCCACCTCAGCTTTTGACTGCTGTCTCAGTAAAAGTAACTTCGTTCCAAGAACGACGAGATTTACACTATTGGGGGAAGCTGAATTCTTCGATGATGATCTTTGTATGCACCATCAACCATGTTGATCAAAACCGGGAGTAAGTCAACACCGACGACTCTGACGATACCATGCATGATGCGATGTCATGACACGATCAGCCATGTCTACTTGCAAAATTTGAGGTGAAGTTTCGTATTGCTGTTCATAATTGATTTAACGAATATTGGGGCGTGTTTTAATGAAATAAATATCACATGACTATATTTAGGCTCCATATGACCATTGCAAAAACATGGTAACATCACAATAACACCGGACAATCCCTTCAAGTTTTCAGCTTTATGCGAGATAGCGTAACTAATGATGCCTTATTGTAATTTGTTCTCTGGGTGAATGGAATTTTGCACGCTTGTTCACGTATCATCTATCAGGGCAGCTCTTTCTCCGCTTGCTTTTTACGGAAAATATGTTAACAATTCAAGTGATGATAAGCAGATTGTAGTGAATACGACGACCCAGAAGAGAGCTCCGAAAGTGTCTGCGATAAATCGTTTGAGAATGATTGCGACAGTTCTGCGAATGAGTGGTGAGGAGAGCCTTATGGACATTTCATGTCTTGAAGCTGGACACCCTAGACGGATGTACACCAAGATTCTGGAACTCCTCGCTGCACGGCTTAAGGTCCAGCATCTTCAGTCATTTTTCACGGACACTTAGAGGATTAATTTTATTTTTATGACCACTATGTGATTGTATTGTTTTTAGCGTAAAGTAACTCTCACCCGAGGGGCCAACAAGGCCAAAAGTCACATGACCCCAAAAGACTAAAGGGGAGCTATGCACTTTTTGAGATCATCATTTTATGGTGCAAACTCAGTCTTTGCATCCTAGAAAACCCATAGTCGCAATCACGTGTGGCCTTTTCCCCAACTAGAAACTTAAAGCACTGACCTGGTGAGCCTTCTTCATGCCGTGAGACACCAGAGGCTTGCACACTGTCCGTCCGAAGGCGCATGCAACAGTAGAAAGAGGGACGCATCAGGGCGTCCCCCCCCGCAAGGTCCCCCCACCTGCAGCCCCACTCACCGATGGGGAACTGAACCGCATGGCTCCTGAGCCGCTCCAGGTTTTCCTGTGGGTCCGCCGACGTTAGCTCCACAAATGGTGGGATGAACACCCAGTCTGCGAGGCAGTGGACGTGAAAAATGCAAGCTCGAAAGGAAGCACGTTTGCTAGCTGGTCCCGAAGCAACAGCACTGTGTAAATTGTGTAGGCGGGGACACCGCGCGTGTCGCAACTGCCAGATGAAGTCCTCTTCTTGCCTCGATTGCAAGCAACGCCACCGGATGACTCTTCGATGAGCGGCTAGTTGTAGCCTGTCGCGGGCTTGGTTTCCCTTGTCTCTTTATAAAAAAAATGTGCTTGTTTTTATGATTGTTTTCTGGGTGTGCTGCATCATGTAGAACTTGGCACTAGCGCTATGCACGTTGCTTAGACTAGAGGTCTGCACGAGCCAATATTTAGAAGCCCAGCCCGGCCCGCTCTCTCTTGGGCCCGGGCCCGCCTGTGGCCCACTGTTCATTTCCGACAGGCGGCCCGGCCTGACACTGATTTTCATGGGCCCGCTGAGGCCTGCTCTAGTCTCGCTCAGTATGAATAGCTCACAAATTGTGCAGCATGGCAGCTCGCTTGCCACTAATGTTGACTACGGTAACCAATAATCAATGCAGTAAGCATCCTTTTCTTTTTTTTGTTGCTGCTATAATTATTTTAATCAATCAACGAGCCTAGGTTCTAAATCGCCCACTCCCGCTGCATACAAAAAAAAAAAAAAAAAGGTATTTTGCATTGGCCAGCGAGATTTTGTTTAGGAAAAGCACCCCTTAGGGACCCCTTTTCACCCATATTGTGGATGCATGCACTCGTACGTACAGATGGTTTATGCCTGCGAGGGTGCGCATTGTGTAGGTGTGTATCTGTGTGGGTTGATGGCGAGAAGCGACTGTACGACAGCAGCGCCGCCAGTGACGAAAATGAACATTGCGCTGCTAGTGCTCTGGAAGAGCATTTGCTACAGACACACACACAAACAGTATGAAAACATTAACAAACACACATGCTTTCAGCATTTGGGTCTCCCCTGCTAGGCATCCCTCACCCAAACCCCAAAACAAACTTTAAAAAAAAAAAAAAAAATGTTGGCTTTGGTTTGTTTTGGCTTGCCTTGTAGATTTGAATACAAGGTCCGGACCCTTCATGCATGTAGTAGTTAAGCCCGAGCCTGGCCCGCACCCGTGCAGACCTCTCGCTAGACACAGCTTCATCTAGTTTCATGCCTCAACAGTGACAAGAATAGTTTTATCAACGAGTTGAAGTGGAGAGATCTCTCTGATGCGGTGTTCAAGCAGCGTTTGTCGAGTTCGGAGCAGACATGCCGAGTGGAAAGTGCATGCGTGCAGGTGACAAGACACTTTTTTTGTTGGCTTCCCTTTTTTCTCAGTTGCACCATTTGGCAGGCAGATACACTGTCGACATAGGCTACTCGGGCGTGCGCCAAGAGGACCTTATCCAGTCAATTGTGTTGCAGCATTCACCATGCTGTGTGCACGCACCTAGTATATACATATACAGGGTGTTTTTCTTTTAACCTTTCAGATTTGTTTAAAAAAAAGCTGTGAAAGGTAGACTTATGTGGTTCATGCAGGTGAGTTATACGGCCAGGGGGACATAGTATAGGGAGATAGTCACAATTACCAGTAGGCTAACTAAGTAAAATTTGTTATTTTAGACATATAGTTTCAATTAGAAACTAGCTGAGCCTCATCAAAAACCACTAAATCAACTCATTTTAGAAGGGTATAATGCCAGGACAGTATTTTACGGCGTTCTGTAAAAACGCTTTATTTGGACGCATTTCTAGATTCTGGATTCTTATTGGAGCGCATCTACAAGCCCGCTGTCCTGCTCCCCAGTGGCTGAGACGCGCAATACGCGTGCCCCTTACTTCCCTCCATTCTACGAGGGAGGCGAGGGGGTGGCTTTGTGCCGCGACCACCAGGGAGCAGGACTGCAAGTGCAAAGATGCGCTCCGATAAAAAAAACTAAATCTAGAAACGCATCAAAATAGAGCATTTATACAGAACGCCGTAAAATACTGCCCCGGCGTTATATCCTTCTAAAAATTGTTGATTGAGCGGTTTTCGATGATGCTCAGCAAGTTTCTAATTGGAACTATATGTCTATTTGCACTAATTAAAAAGTTAATAAACAAATTTTACTTAATTACCCGACTAATAGCTGCGACTATGTCCTCTTGGCCGTATAACTCACCTGCACAAACCGCATTACTGTACCTTTCATGGCTTTCTTTAATCAAATGTGAAAGAATAAAAAAAAAAAAGAAAGAAGTCTACAACACTTTGTAACGCCGAATTAGAGCGCAGCTCTTGAGGAAAAGGAGGGAGGGGTACTGAGGGCAGGGTATACGTCTCCTCCCTCCTCCTCATTCCCCTCCTCCCGTCTTTCAAGCTCCTCTCCTCCTCCCCCTCTTTCCCTCCTCCTCCTCCTCCTCCCACGCATTGCATCATGGGAAATGTCCCATAATTCACCGCATGAAAGCCTCTTGCAAGGGTCCTCAGCGGTGCATTATAGGACATTTCCCATAATGCACCCTGTGGTTAAGCAAACGGCGACGCCGCTAGGCCCGAACAGGTGCCTAACACCCTGTATATCTTACACCACAAGCTACAGATACCCCCAGCACAAAGGGAAAGATGCAGACAACAATGTCCCAACCTCACCTGTACTCCCAAGCTTGCTTTGCTCGACCAGCTTGTACTGCCGGTACCGGTTCAGCACCTTGCGCACGTTCTCCAGCGGGTCCAGGACCAGCACCTCCGGGTGCGCCTTGCAGAACCTCTGCACCGAGCGAATGTTCTCACGCTGCCACGGGACAAGGAGTGCGGATTGACTCGCCCCACCTCGAAGTCGGCCGTGATCCGCTGGCACTCGGCGTCTCCATGGTCCGCCCGCACCAAGATGTCGCAGAACTTATGCACGATGGCCGACAGGGGTCCCTGCTCCTCGAGCGGGCGGCTAAAGTCGAGCTGCAGGGACACCATTTGTTTCAGGTCACACCGGATGCCGCCATGGTGCCTTTGTCGGGGTAGCCTTACCTTAACGAGCTCCAGGCCGTGGGACCTGCAGAGAGGGCAGTGCCAGTGAGTCACAAGCAGCCATCGGAACACAAGAGTTCATCGGTGAAACAAAGGTACTAAATTGCTAATCTAAGACCCTAGTCTTGCAGAGTAGCGTCATCTGCAAGAAGCTTCAGGCTTTGTGGAGTTAGAACCTGGGGTCATTTCTTAAAACAATGATGCTAAACTGCTAGTTTTTGGCTCAATCCTTGCAGAGTAGTGTCATCTACAAGATGCTTTGGGCTTTGAGGTATTAGAACAAAAGGCCCTCATTGGAGCATAGAAGTGTCTTTTTAAAACAAAAATGCTAAACCCCGTTAGTCTATGACTCTAATCTCGCTCAGTAGCGTAGCTCGCAATTTTGTTTTGGGCCTTGAGTCATTACAACAACAGGGCCTCACTGGAACACACAAGTCCCTTAAAAAAAAGATACTGAACTACTAGTCTATGACCCTAGTCTTGCTAAGTAGCATCGTCTCCATATATCAGTTTTGGGCCTAGAGATATTGCAACACGAGACTTTGCTGGAACCCTGAAGTCTCTTAAAGGGCAACTATGTTTCATTTTTGGTTTTGAAAAAACAATGCAGTCCTCTTCAGTATCGCCTAGGAAGACCACACGTCAAATATTACGATGCAGTTCTGTCTAAATTTTTCTTAAACGGTCCGGCAAACTTTGCAACTCGCCAAGTTGCCGAAATCGGCTGACTCGAGCAGGCGAATTCAGGCGCAACCAACAGCGCAGTCAAGGCTACGGCATGGGCGGAGCCAACATTGAGCTAAACGTCATCATCATGGCCCCATTTTGCTTGTTTTTACTTCTCCGATCGAGCGTAGCGCATGACGTCAGCAACGTTGCCTCTCGGCGCTCAGCGGTGTTCACATGATTGGCATACGCGCCTGCGCAGCGCGCTTCTTGGGAGCAGACCAACCGCCCTGCCGTGGTCCCGCCGTCTTCCGCGTCACAACCACCGTCGTCGTCTCACCGTTTGTAATTATTGCCTCTCGGAGTTTCGTCCACACTATGGACACCACGTGCGCAGAGTCGCAGACTTATGCCGCAGTTATGCAGACGTCGTCGAATGCCGTAAACACCAAAACGTAGCGAAGAGTGTGGTGCAGACGACACTCGCGCTTGCCGCACGCCCGCCCCCATCCCGCCCGTCGTTGGGCCGAGGATCACGTGACATCTTGTGCCACGTGATGGCCATGTACTTGGCGGCCCAAGGCCAATGTTGCCAGACGGAGCCGAAGTTTCGGTTTCGATTTCCGCTCGTGTTTAAAATTAGATTTAAAAATATATATCCCATTTTTCGCGAAGCAAACGACGCAGTGTCTTTTACTAGGGCTTTTTAATTCGAAATCACTCATTATCCCGAAATCTTCGGAATTGAGCGGAGTTGCCCTTTAAAACAAAGATACTCAACTGCTTGTTTATGACTCTAGTGTCTCGCTAGGTAGCATTGTCTGTAAGTTTAAGTTTTGAGCCTTGAGGCATTACAACAAGAGACCTTACAGGAACCCACAAGTCCCTTAAAAGAAAGATACTGAACTGCTAGTCTATGACCTAATCTCGCTGAGTAGAGTCATCTGCCAATATCAGTATTCGGCCTTGAGATATTACAACACAAGAACTTGCTGGGCACCGAAAAGTCTCTTGAAACAAAGATTCTGAACTGCTAGTCTACGACTCTAGTCTCGCTGAGTAGCGACATCTGCAAGTTTCAGTTTTGGGCCTTGAGACATTACAACAAGACACCTCACTGAAACCCACAAGTCCCTTAAAAAAAAACACTGACACCGGCCACATTTTTTAAAAATTTTTTTGCTAGGCAATTTATTATGGTGTCAAAAGACTACCCAATCGATATTTTGCTACAGTGTCAGATATATTTTTAATAAAGTAAAAAAATGCAACTGCCCAAAACCGAAACTGGACTGGGGAGGAAGAAGAAATAAAGAGGAGAAAGATACCAAAAGTCACGTGGCTGTGCAACCTTTTTTTTTTTTTTTAAATAAGTATTTGCAGCTTTTTAAAATCTACAAAAAATGAATATCATATTTTTTGACCATTTCTAGTATTCAGTGTGTGCCTTCGATGACCCACGACTTCGCTTAACTTTGGTGGTTGTGTACGAACCATAGAAAACGGCACATGACCACAGAGAAGAGAGTGAGCGCGACTCAAACCGGCCAGTCCTTGATTGGTGGTTTTTGGGTGGAAAAAAAAAAGAAAAAGAATTTCGAGCCACAAATTGTGTTGCGAGTAGTTGGACATGTTCACCCAACATGCCCAACTAAAGCATGTTCACGCAACCGTTCATTCAAACACCATTCAAACGGTTGCGTGAACATGCTTTATCACTGCGTTCAACAACAGGAGCCCATTTACACATACATTGCAGATTGCTGTTGCATTCCCAACTTTCAAGGCACTACAATCGTTGGGAGAGGTAAAGAAAAGGTGGCGAGGGAGGTACTGGAGGCTTACATGATAAAGAAGGAATGTCCTGATAAGTGTATCAGTCAGCCCTCACTTTTCCTTCACAAAAGGGAAGTGGACTTCATTGACACGTGTGGTGGCCGAGTCATTGATGACTATAGTCCGTTGCAACCTAAGAACAAAGAGCGAGGGTAAGATGGGCCCGGGAGGAGGAAGCAGATGGAACGCTGGAGAAGAGAGGGGGAACCTCCTCCTCTCTTCAGCTTTTCGTCTGCTTCCTCCTCCCCGGCCAGTCTTACCCTCGCCCTTCGTTCTTAGGTTGCGACTATAGTCACATTTGTAGTATTTGTGGCTTTTGCTGGTTTTATTTTGCTGTTTCTATTTTTTTTTAGTAAAAAATTCAGTTGATAGTCATCAGTCGTCCTGTTTTCCTCTCCGTCTTCGTATTTGTCTCTATTGTGCGCTTTCAATACTTTCAACATGCATAATCTGAATGCGGATGGCTTCCTGATGCTATCTCGTTCCCCCAGATTCACTGAAGTTAATTAAAAAAGTGATATTTCGTTCGCTGGTGAAACCGAAAGATCGTTCTCCCTAGTTTTCCCTGCCATCCGAACGTGACGTCCCAGGTAGGCAGCGAGGCGCGCGACCGGCAATCGGGTACGCTTGCGCCCGCCTTTCTCATGTCTAATCTTAAGAAAGCGGGGGCATTCGTGCTATCTGAAGTTGATATTAATCTGTATATGTGCAAAGTATGACCTTAGCCTACGTGCCGAACTATGAGAAAGTAAAAAAACGGAAGCAATTGGGAGTTTGAAAAAAATTGCTTTTGCAACTCGGTACGCTCCAGCCGCGGCTCGCTAGTTTTGTAAAATCGCTTGCAAATCTGTTCTCTTTTTATTAAAAGCTGGCAATTTAGCTGGCTAAAAAAGGTAGAAGAGTCACGGAATACATTTTTCAACAAATTGTCCAAGCACCACGGAGAATGCTCGAAATGTGGGTACAGGTGTCCCACATGCCCGTCTTAACGGAAAGAATGTGCCATTTGTTTTGGATTTTCTTCAGAAAAATACCGTTGCAGATGCCAGCATGTGTAACTACTCTTGTAGCATGCATATGCTCCTTGGTGCTCAAGTAATTTAGCAAAGTATCTATAGACCATTCCAGAAAAGCGCTTCTAACTGGTGCCATTTTCAGCATTCGTGCGTGTGGTGTGTACTTTGCTCGCCTTCTTAAGCGAGACAGCATGCACGTGCTGGGCTGTGACCTAACACATGCCGACAGCGATTCTCGTAAACATTGAGTGCCAGACTGCTGCCCCATGCATGCAAGCACGTGCAGCTTGCTCAATAACATAGCTTTGGCAAGCTTGCACTTGCACACGAGCAGAGACATGGCGGTGGCCAGTCCCCTTGCTTGCAATCGTCTAAAGAATGGAATGAACTGCATTCCTATAAGCCAAATGGCAAGTTACCGTCATGAAGATTGTGTTAAAATGGAAATTAAAAGAATTCTGCATTTACCAAGCTAAACATCAATGTGCAATGTAAGGCATATAAAATAAACAAACAATATTCATATTCAAATAAAGAATATTTCCCTGAAAATGCAATAGTGCATAAAGTACAAGAATGCATCATAACATTTTTAATTCAAAATAAGATAGCGAAATTCCCCCCCTTTTTAAAAAAAAGTGTACTTATATATATATATATATATATATATTTTTTTTTTTTGTTGGAGTAAAATGCAACATGTTCCTCAAACACCCATCCACGAGCGCACACGGGGAAGAGTGTAATTCTAAACAAGATTTTTTAAAATTAGGGTTTGGTTTTGCACAGCCTCCATCAGCTCTAAATTTGCATGCCTCTCCTCACCGACATTATTATTTTCGTAGTTTTAAAAAACTTTCAGCCCAATATAACAATTCTCCACAATAGAATAAAAAAAAAAAATGTTTTCACTACTTCTTCTGTGATAAAGATTGCATGTCAACCATTTCACAAACTAGGCAATGGCTCTATCATATATTAAGCTGCTCCCTAAACCTCTGTAATACAAGCTAAGAATAGCAGTGTGTCGAAAGTCATGTCTAAACTCAAAATTTAACTTTGTTTAGACGTTTCACCTCTCGTGTTTAACAGATCGGCCGCGTGAGTGAAACTTCGAGACTAGCCCGAGCTAGATTTGATGTTCAAAACATAAACCGTAAAATACTGGGCAAGCGCCCACCTAAGATTTAGAGATAATAGCGAAAAAATAGGGGATCGGTGCTTGTTCGGTCATCAATTTTATATATTAATGTACTGTGCATATTTTTTAGATCTTACAACTTTGGGAATGGGCGCTTAGTGTGGAATGGGCGGATGCGTAATATTCTATGGTAATGTTTATAAAAAAAAAGATAAAAAAAAAAAAAAAAATTTCTGAAGCATTTGTGAACAACCAATGTGGCTGTGCCAAATGTCGACTACCGTAGAATACCGCGCATCCACCCATACCACAATAAGCGCCCATTCCCAAATTTGTAAGACGTGAGGAAATACGCGCAGTACATTTACATTTATATGCAAAATTGATGACCGGACAAGCACCCATCCCCCATTCTCTCGCAATTATTTCTAAATTTTGAGTGGGCGCTTGCCCGGTATTTTACGGTGTAGTGCTAGAAAGCGCACTATTTTTCTCAATATTATTAGCGCTCCTCTTTGGACGGATGTCATAGTGGTCAGTGTCACCACCGGCTTCAGTCTGCACTTGTTGCTCTTGAAGCTGTTCCAACTATCCAGTGACTTTAGTTCCAGCTGCAGAAGGCTGCTCAACTCGCAGCACGCGGCTAAAAAGTCTTCCGAGCATAAGGGAGAATGTTTTATGCGACACAAGCTCTCGGCAAACACCTCGTGCAAAAGCACCTTGACGTGGCTGGCATCCAGATTGGGGAGTGTGTATGTTTATACAGCCTAGAACCTAGTCGGCCTCAACAGGTGACCTGTCTCCCAGCTGTAGATGAGAAATTTAGCCAGTGCAGTACAAGCGCTAGCCTAAGGTCTTTAACGTTCATCACACAGTAGTGATAGACGACTGCACGCCGGTACGATGCTCATCCATATCGAAACGGGCAGGGGTGGGGATTGAACTCAGGATCCCTGGGTTCTGCAGCGGGAGCTTTCGCTCCATGTGCTTTGAGCTGGTGTGCGCTAGCCCACTCGGCCACAGATCCCCCGATGGCTGGCATCCACTGCCGCCGGGGAGCGCATTTTTTTCTCCCACGAAAACAAGCGTAAAAAAGAAGCCTTTCCTGGCACTGTTTCCCGTCACTCTAACGCGGAGCACAGATTGCTACCCACTGCAAAGGAACTTTCAACCTTGAAGCTGTGAAAAAATAATCTTGATAGCTGGCGCCCAGAAAGCAGCTTTGCGGCTGCCTGAGTCACTCGTCTGCCTGCCTGCCTGTGACGCATACGGGCAGGGAAAAGTAGGGATTTTTCACTTTTGCCAGTAGAGAGTTGCCTCCTGGAAACCTCGCTGCTGGAGTAACTTAAAAATTCAGTAACTTAACGGAAAATTTTGTTTTTTATAAAAAATGTTGGCTATTAGTTGAGAAAGGGTAATTGATGCGATCTTCCAATTTCCAGCAAAATCAAAGAATATAAAGAAATCGGCGGAGTTCCCATTTAAAAGAAAGATACTGCACTGCTAGTCTAGGACTCTAGTCTCACTGAGTAGCATTGTCTGTGATGTTTCATTTCTGGGCCTTGAGATATTACAAGAGACTTTGCTGGAACCCACAAGTCTCTTAAAACAAAGATACTGAACTGCTAGTCTACGACTCTAGTCGCACTAAATAGCATTGTCTGCAAGTTTCAGTTTTGGGCCTTGAGACCTTCACTGGAACTCACAAGTCCCTTAAAACAAAGATACTGAACTGCTTGTCTATCACTCTAGTCTTGCTAATAGAGTCGGCTGCAAGTTTCAGTTCCGGATTCTGAAGCACTAGGACACAAGGACCATCTGGGGAAGATGCAAAGATAGTGGAAGTGAGCTAGTTTTATGCTTCTTGAGATTCCTTTTTCACAATCATAAGAGTAATGACCACAGTTACATCTTGACAGCTATACAAAATGCCTTTCATGGGTGTTGTTTTTGTGAGAAATGGTAAAAGTGCTTTTGTTTTAAACTCTTAGTACTTTAGAAATCTGTAAAACCACATGCGATAAAAAAAGAAAGAAAAAGGAGTCTGTCAGCAAGGCTGAATTTGAGAAGCAGTTTTAATAGAACTTTTTTTTTTTTGGATATATGATTACAGACCACACAGTCTGTAAGCGAGTGCTGCCTATGCAGGCGCAAGTTTGTCTGCTTCTTGCACAGGAGTTGCAATGATGTCAGAACGTCACTCTTACTGGCTAATCGAAAAAAAAAAAAAAAATAGTGGGTCTAGCATTGAGGTCTACCCACTATCCTTCCAATCAAAGCCTATCAGAGCTCGGCGTTGTTTCTGACGTCACCGCAACGCCTGCGCAAGAAGCAGTCGACTGTCTTTCCGCAGACAGTTACAAACATTTCGCCGCAACTGGTGTCTAATCTGTGCAAGCACATGCACGAGCTGGCGCACTTTGGCCTATGTTGCTGCTGTGCCAGAAAACTCCAAATTCATTCATTTGCGTGCACGAGCAGTGTGCAATGCAAGCTTTGGCAAGCTTGCATTTGCATAAACTTGACCACACGAGCAGAGACATGACGGTGGCCAGTCGCCCCACTTTCAATCATCTATAGGTCATGCACATTTGCACACTTCCAGTGCGATTACTTTGCATCACCAAATCTGTAGCTCTAGCAACGACAACAGAAATATGTTGCATCAACCATTATTAGTTCTTACCAATATTCCAAATACTGCAATGCGCTGTTTTTGGACGGAATCCTAACCACTCTGTGCAACTAACACAGCTGGCTGCCTCGACCAATGAACCGGACCAGCCTAGGCTCCAAGCCAGCTGCAGCGCCAATCGCACGTGTGGACATATTACGTCACTGCAGTTTGAACAAACCAGCCAACGAAACGGGCAGGAAATGTACGCCACGTCAGCACAAATTGCAGCTGGCTAGACGGCAAACCAATCAGCCACGAAGGATCTATGATGCCCAACAAACCGTGACACAGAAACTTACGGGCTTCTACACGTGCAACGTCTTGTATATTTCTACACCGCGATCTCCCTCACCTGAACGATACCGCATATTTCCCCAAACACGAGTGATCTTGAGCTTACATCAATCACTCCACGGGTTGTCAGTACTGAGAATCTAGAAGTCAAAAAACGCTGACGCTCACACAGGCATGCTTGATTGAAGGCCGTCCCTAGACCAAGTGCCGGACACGGCCGACGCTACTGACTTTACGGCGAATTATAAAGGAGGGCAGTTTACTAATTCAAGGCCACAAATGAACCCAGGCTTTTTGATCGCGGAACGCTGATCGCCGTTTACTATAGCACGTTGGGGTGGAAGTAGCCGTCATTGCCGAAGGCGGGATGGAGGTACTCCCGAGCATGTAAGTACGGCGAAGCAAGGCTTACGAGCACGCTTGCGTGAAGTCCTCGGTGCTGAGTTCCCGGCTCTTCTTGTCGCCCCACCAGAATCCCACGCGGGGCCGGGACGATGCTTCCATGTTGCACATGTGTTCCGCCGACTCAAGCGAGACTCAAAACTGCGGCTGTGGTCGGTGCTGCTCGACGACGCTGCGGCCGTACCACATGCTCGTCGCTGTCTAGCCGCTGCTGTTTGTCAACGGATAGGATTGCACGACAACGTTGCAAACGCTGCCACCACTACCGCACGCTGTCTCCTCCAACTCGTGACACAATATACTGGGATCCTTTTTCGATTACAGTTTTGTTTCGGTTCTTTTTTTTTTTTTTTTTTTCTTTCCAACCCCGCTCGTCTTGCCCACGACCACTCGCGCTCGATAGCTGCCGAGATTGCCGATGCCACCGATGCCCCGATGCCGCAGCCGCTCACCACGTGACCCAGTCAGACGGACACGTGATCGAACGTTACGTCACGCTTTGGGGAAGGAGGAGGGAGCCGCCAGAACCGCACCCCTCCCTTGGCCTCGGCTGAAGGTTCCTTTATCATGTTCGTGCGAATGGGGTATTAAACACTGTAGCTTATTTAATGTTTTTCTTATCCTTCCCAACGAGGTAGTGTTGATCCTTCCATACAAAAATGTATGCTACACGAAACGGAGCTGATACGCACGTCGCGGTCCGAGTAATGCCACGTGACTTCTACCTGGCTCCCGACCAGACAAATTAGACCCGGCGGCCCGGATTAAAAGTGATAAAAAGAGATTATTTAAAGCTGCACTTTAAATAAAGCTGCACCCAGTATAAAAGGCTCTGGGTACACCCGGAGCGCTGATTGTACCTAGAAGACAAGGCCTCCCTGTGACATCATCGTAGGTGCATTCCCGACCCGCCCCAAGCGGTAGCTGGACGAGAGCAGACGACGAAAGCACCCCGCAAGCGGCAGACGTACGTACGCGTGGCTCTGGTTCTGACATCATCGGGCTTGTTGCGAGACCCTGCAAGACGCTGTCGTCGACGCTGACGCAGCCACGGCGGCGCTGCGCGGAACCAACCACGCGCAAATCTACTTCGTAGCATTGGCTCCGTGACTCCAAGATATATCGGAGAAAGGGGCGTGGCAAATACAGTGCTTACAACTTAACACGTGCAATGGACTAATCGGGAGTCAGGTATAAGCCACGTGGCATTGCTCAGACCACGACGTGCGTATCAGCGCCGTTTCGTGTGGCATACGTTTTTGCATGAAACGATAAAAAAAAATATATCAAGCTGCACGTTATTTTGTACCCCAGGCGAAAATTTCTAACTGGGACCAGTTGGCACCTCAACTGGTTTCAACTGGGACTAACTGGTCCCAACTGGGATTCAACTGGGACTAACTGGTCCCAACTGAGAATCAGCTGGGACCAATAGGAGTCCAACTGGGACCAGCTGAGGGGTCAACTGGTTTGAACCATTCCCAGTTGGGAGTCAACTGGTTTGAACCATTCCCAGTTGGGAGTCAACTGGTTTGACTCCCAGTTGGGAATGGAGTGAACTGGGACCAGTTAGGAAAGTAACTGGTTGGAGATTCCCAGTCGGACTTCAAATGCCTTTCCCGTTCCCCAAGTTGGGAGAGTATTGACCTTTGCTAATGAAGAAAACTAAAAACACTAAAATTTTTAGATTTATACAAATAGGGAAATTTTTAATTACTGGGGTACATTTATATATGTATAAAATTATATAAAAATTTTAATTAACTAAATAATTTTTTTAATTGGAAAATATAATTAGTGACAAAATGTGTTCACCTAAATGAACATTTAGTGCATTATTAAAATATATTAAAGCATTTATTTAAATACCTACAGTATTTTTTTTTCTTTTTTTCTTGTAATAAATAAATTTATCTTTCGGCCAATAGAGCTAGCCGGCCGCCGTGGCACGCGGGTGCGGATTAGTGGTACGCGCTGTCGAGAGATGGCGCTGCCTATGCTGACGCCGGAGTGCCGGAGTCGGACGGACGCGGTCGACGCGGTAGAGAAGGGTCGCCATCGCCCAAGTTGGCGTCGTTATGAAAATGTCAAAACTACAGCAGCGCTTCTTTGGACCTAACTGTACACACATCATGGTGGTGGCGGTGAATTTCGAGGATGGAAAGATGCAGTTCAGCGATCGGAGGGCACCCAGAAAAGACCGGACGCACATAGACCAGACGGAAGAGAAAACGCCGTTGAGAGCACAATGGCGAAAATGGCGGGAGGTCTACCTCGAAAATGTTCGACTGCTGTGACAGAGATTGCAAGGTGGGAGCGCTACCGCATCTGCGCAACGCGGGATCACGGGTGAGCACCTTTTTTCACGCGTTGGGAAGAGAAGCGGAGGGCGTCTTCACTAACAGACGCCAGCGGCCGATCTTCCTTCATCTCATGAATACCACCCCTGAAAAAGCGATTCAACCGTCACAAGCAAGTGGCTAAACCCGGAGCGTGTACGTCACCGCACCTATTTAGTTTCATTCTCCAAGTTTTTCACAATAAAGTCTCGTCAACCTTCCATTTTGTGCCGTGTTTCATTGTTGCTGGAGTTGGTACCAGCGGTAACTGGGACCAGTTGTAACTGGGACCAGCTGTAACTGGGACCAATTCCAGCTGGGACCAGTTGGACGACTCCAACTGGGACCAGTTGCAACTGGGAATTGTTCCATAAACCAGTTGCAACTGGGACTAATTGGTCCCAGTTGAAAATTTTCGCCTGGGACACGTGGAGCGCTGATCGGTCTTTTCACTCCTGAAATGTCACACAAAGTGTTCCATTCTTTTTACTAACGATCTAACCCACGAAACCACAAGAAATAATTTACTCACAGGAAGGTGCACAGACGTCAAGCATTGAGGTCTACCCACTATCCCTCAATCAGAGCCAATCAGAGCTCGGCATTCTGACATCACCACAACCTCTGCAAAAGAAGCAGACCAAACTTGTGCCCGGCATACTCTGCGTAAACTACTTATCACGCCCGCATCTCAACTACACATATTTTTTTCATACAATCTCTTGGCCTTCACTTGTTTCACTCATAGTTGTAAATTAAACAAAAATACAAGCAATAAATAAAAAAACAAGACCTTACCCAGTCAGAAAAAAGAAAAAAGAGCAGCAACCTAGTATTTTGCGTTGAAAGGTAGGGTTGCGAGTAGTCGACCTTATGTGCTTGGCAACCAGCTAGTGTAGTTTCCTTAGCAATCCATGTCGAAATAGGCAAGGGTGTGAATCGAGCCCAAGATTTAAAGGTTCTACAGTACACGCTTTTGCTTCACACTACCCCAAAGAATCATTTGACTTTAGTGCGGGAGAGGTGCTTTTTCCACTTTTCCAGATAAAAAAAAAAGATGGTGCAAAATCTTTTTTCTTGTGCTTTCGGCCTTTGTGAACATTTTTTTCAGACAAAAATAACTTGCCTAAAAGTTTCCTCAAAATGCCAGCTTCCAATCTTACGATTGCAACAAACATTCCGCACATTCTAACGTTAGAATGTGCTCTTTGCTACACAGTTCGTTCTAAATTGAGCAGACGACAAAGTAAGTTGTCTGCTCACTGCGCCTGTCGGGAGATGACGCCATGCGTTGGAAGCATCGCCGACTCGGTCGTCTGCAAGCCTATCCGTCGTTCTTTGAAAATCTAAAAAAGGAAACACTCGAACTGACTGCAAAGACCAAAATTACATTTCCACGAGTTGTTCCGAACCAGGCAAATCTCCAAGGTCGCCACGCTAAGAGATTGTCCGAGATCGTCCTCCCACGATTGGACTGGGGTGCCCTAGCGACGCCATTGGGTCCATCTCGGCACAGCGTCTGGAATGCGTCCCCAACTGGTGTGTCTGGTGTCCTGTTCCACCCACGCGTCCAAAGTGGTCCCAAGGTGGAAACAAACGGCGTCGTAAAAGCTGGAGTGTCACACCGTCGTATGTCGCAATCCCGGCGGTTGGACGTAGCAGTTCCGGAAGAAAGCACGAGAGAATGCAAGCGTCGCCGTCGTTGCAGCGTCCAGACTGCCGAAACTTCCATAGAGTGTCAAGCTGGAGAGCGACCTGCGGCGGGACGGGTGTCTGCCACATTCGGCACCGCCGCTATGACACCCCCAGGACCGCAACTGGCGACGGCGTGACACTTCTATGATGTCATTGGGCTAAAATCGAGGGGGCCACATTTGAGGACGCAGTAGGCACGGCAGACGGAGACGCGTTGCGGGTGCCGTAGTTCTTACGAAGAGCCCGAGGCGTCATCGTCTTCGTCGGCGAAGGAAAGCAGACGCGCGTTTTTGACTGCGCTTGACCCGCTGTCTGCTCCCTTGCTCCTCTTGGCTTCGGGCTTGGGCTTGGCCTCTTCCTTCCGCTTGCTTGGCTTCTGGAACCGGATCCGGCCGCCAGCCGGCACTTTTTCTGCAGAAATAAGAGGTGCGCATGTAGTGGCATGACCAACGCTGACCATAGAGCAGGGATGGGCAAAATACATGCAAATATGTATCGAAATACAAATACAAAATACTTCGTCAAAACTGTATTTAATTACAAATCTAATTACATTTCCAAAAAAGCATTTAAGTACAAGATACAAATACAACCAAATGTATTTGGTCTCCTCCAAATACTTTTCCAAATACATTCATCAAAATTTGCGTCAGCGACTTCAGGGCACCTGCAACGAGTTTCTGGGTATCTCATTTTAATTTTGCATCGCACACTCGGGAGTTAGTGTGCGAGGCTCTAGTAACGTAATAGAAATATAATTACAAAAAAAAATGTAATCAGCTTGGACGGAATAGGTGAAAAAAGTACAGAGCTTCAAGCAGCTTTTTTTGTCGATTACATTTTGGTATAGACCAACAAAGAACCGAGACAACTAAGATGCGCAGCACTAGCTAGAGAATTTTTTATTGTTACAACTCGCACCAGTTACGAAAATCTGGACGACCCGCGAATTTAGAATGTTCCAGGCAAAAATATGGATGGAAATCAGGCTGGAAAGCATCACAAGATGTTTTAGGCGCTTTTTAGCCAGTCTGCCTATGAACGTCGATTTCGTCACTGTTCTTGCCCTGGACTAGCACCGTAATCACGAAGTCACTAAACGCTTGTGCTTGATTGAGAGACACTGATTCGGTGCATAACATAGTTTTCTCCCTGCTCTGGACAGTCACAATAAATTGGAGGGATGTATAATTTTCGCCCACAAAATTGTATTTAATTACAATTGTATTTGAAATACCCACGTTTTAGTATTTCAATAAACACGTGAAATACATTACCCAATTTGTAATTAAATACAAATGCAAAATACACAAAGTATTTGAAATACGTATTTCAAATACGTGTATTTGAAATACTGCCCATCACTGCCATAGAGTTATAACTAAGGTTCCGTGTTTTTGGATAAATCTAAAAACACTCGCCGGTAACTTTTTCATCAATTCAAATTTATCTGAAAAACTGAAAAATTGAAAGTCACAAAAAAAAAAAAAAAAAAAAGAACGCAAAAGAGATGATTTTATTCCAGAAAAAAATCAGGGTCAGTGGCCCTGAGGTGATGCCACTTCAGTTTCCTTTGAAATCTCGGCAAGGTTCCTTCACAACAAATAATTATGGTACCTGAACTTTTTTTTTTTAACTTTATGAAATTGGGAACACAGTAAAATAAACTCAGAATTTCAGAGAACTGGGATTCTAACAAAAAGTAAACTCCAATAAATCCCGAATTTTCAGCGAAAAATAAACTGGAAATAAACTCAGAAAACATGAAAACCTATAGTTATAATGTACACTGGAGGTTCAATGGCACTAGTGTCTATGAGACTTCCAGTTTCAAATTGAAGCAGACAGTAACCAGTCCTTTTTTGAGGTGCTCCTGTGCACTCCTATGGGAAAATGTGCATGCAGTTTGTCCCTTCGCCGGAGAATAATGGGAATAACCTTCGTTATGGGGGTCGTGGTGAAAAGTGGGCAACTTTATTAGCCTTATAAAAGTACAACTGCTTAAGTTAGTATTTTTCTGATCAGCGAGCGACATTCAGCCTCCCAGTATTCCGGGCTTAATTCTAAGTTCCATAGCAAGTCTGTAAAGACAAGTGACAATCCAGGCGAGAGTAAAAGGTGAAAAGAATGTAGGGCTTGTTCGAGGAGTGCCAACATCCCGATGACGCTAACATTGATAACCTGCGAGATTTGTTTGCCAGTAAAATGACCCCCATTTACGAGCCATTAAAATGCATCAAACAGTAAAAGTATGCCGACTATAAAAGGTGTTTCTTATTGTGCTTATTTCATCAAGCAATGAGAGTTTTCCGGCTCCCCCCATTTTCAGAAGTTTTCGAGCATGCAGATATGATGTCTTGAGTGCCAGAACAAAATCAATGTTATTTATTGCAAATCACACTCACTACCTAGCTTTCACTTCATTTACATCATCTACAGGCACACAGGTAGCTACTGATTCGGCATTAGTGCGTAGTTCTAAGTATCTCTCTCGATTTTCATGATGCCCTTCATGAAAAGCGCCGATGCTGTGTGTGTGCTAACAGTGCCGGACAGTGTACATAAACACACGTACGAAGGCATTTTCGCGCGGGGTATAAAACCATGAATTTAAAAGAAAGAAAACTGTAACTGACCAAACTTTTCATCTCCAACTCAAAACTCGAGAGCTACGGGTCCATGGGAGGGGACCCCTTTCAAACCGGTGCCTCGGGCGGCTCTGCAGTCCCTCCTGCCATTTCCCGGTGCTCCTCCATGACGAGTTTTCGAGCCAGCAAAGTCTTTGGTGTCTTTGGCATGGCCAACGATACCGAGAGCTTACCCGCTTCCAGCGCTTCTGCCTGCTCGGCCGTCAGGTCGCCTTCACCGAGCACGACCACGGTTGGCTTCTCGTCTTCCAAGTCGAGCGGCTCCCTCCGGTCGGGTTCTTCTCTCTGTGAATCACAAGGCGCTTGGAGACCTCTTCATGGCTGATGGTACCTGGGACATGCCTCTGACTGGTGTGTTTAGCGCGTCCCCATTTGTGGTCCCCCGATTTCCGTTTGATGACATCACGCTTGGGTCATGCTGTTGCCCGCCATAACACACAGGGTGCCACAGCAGCAGTGGTGGATGTGGCAGAAGCATGTTCTGCTGCAGTTCACTCTCCAGCTGGACAGAGCCACAGAAGCTTCGGCTGCCAGGAGTCGGGACGCCGAGACGACGGCGACAACACTTTCGTCTGCTCAGACTCTCTGCCGGAGCATTTATGATCAACTGCAAGGATTGCGACACACTACAGCCTAGCATGCCAGCTCCTGGGATGCAATTTGTTGCCACTTTGGGTTTCGATGCACGGAAAGTACATACAACGTGCAAGTTCATCCGCTCTTTGCGCATCTCGTGCATTTGCTTACCCTCCAGACGTGCCTTTGTTTCCCCCTCCTGATGGCAGCCAATGGCGGCACGCGCTTGGCTGCCTCGTCATCGCGTATTCTCTTTGTTGCCTGTTGATTGCCATGCCACCCTGCCCTGCCCCCCCCCCCCCCCCCCTCCTAAGTTTTCATGTGCAAAATACGCTTTATGAAATACTTGCTCTCCACATAGAACATTAAACACACCTGTCAAAGACATCTTCCAGGTATCTTGCCCCCCTGGCTGATAGTGCCCGTGTGTTCTTACCTCGCTGTGCCCATCTTCCTTGAAGCCAACGCGCTCTTTCAGCCTCTTTATGAACGGCGCATCCTCTGGCTTGATGCAGGTCACGCTCTGTCGAGGCATTGGGCTCTGCTCCAACCACTCCTGCGCACTACACATGTTGCGGTCACGACATCTGCCTCATCTGCCGGATCCGGGCCAATGCCTGACCGCGGTGTTTTCACCTAGTTTCACGTATCGGCCACAGTTAACTTCTTGCTCAGGCTCCGAAGAACACTGCCACTATGCGGAGCGCAAGTTTGTCCTTTTGCAGTGGTTCTGGCATGGAGGAACGAAAAAAAGGAGGCAACATACCGGCTCAAGCCAGCCAAACGATAAAATCTCAGGTGAAGCCGGAAGTAGAGGACACAGCGGGTGAGAATGCCTCTAAGGGTGACCAAAAGAAGCTGTGGGTGCCAAATCAGCTATGCTTTCTGTCCAGTAGCGTTATTTGGTTTTAAACACGTTGGAGGCGTGTCTCTCCAAACCAAAAGTCTCCCCCAGCTTCACCCCTGGTGGCGTCATGTCGACTCTAGAAGCTTCCAACCTCCATGAGTTGCTGTAACGCCAGAACACTAAGCTCGATTGAAGAATAGGGGGTAGACCACAAGGCAGGTTGCTTTGAGTTCTATCCACTTTCCTTCCATCAGAGCCAATCAGAGGTCGGCGTTCTGATGTCACCACAACCCCTGCAAAAGAAGCAGACAAACTTTCACTCCGCATTTAAAGGGAGCATGAAATTAATTTTTAGCTGGGGTAAATTGGGATTTTACTAATCGCATATCGTTTAGGGCACCAAAATAAAACGATACTCCGTTTCACCTTACATACGAGTGCAGCAGATTCTACGAAGCATCGGGGCCAATCCAAGGCCGTGCGACTGTCTTGTGACCTTGGAGGGGGGGCACAGCGACATGCGGAAAGCGTATCACGGGCTACATCCTCAGAGCGGGATTTGCTAGGTTAGTTTGTAGCGTCTGCTGCGTCTGGACATAAGGTGAAACGGAGTATAATGCGCGAGCGTCAAAAGCCTGCTTTTTGGCACGAAAATTGGACAATATAGTGGACTATTTCGTTCCTCCTTTCTTTCGAAAGTTCTCTGCCTTTTCACTGTGATGCTTCCGCGGTGCCCAACCACGTCAGCTAAACACAGCTCATGCATTAGATACGAACACTGCGTCACTCGAACGTATGCGCTCGTTAACGATCGTTCAATCCCCACCCCTGCCTGTTTTGATCTGAATGAACATTGTACCGGCGTGCGGTCGTGTATCACTCTGCGTGGTGCACGTTAAAGACCCCAAACTAGCGGTTTGTACTGCAATGGCTAAATTTTTCATCTACAGCCGGGAGACAAGTCACCCATTGAGGCAGACCAAGTTCTGGGCTGTATAAACATACACACACCCCAAATATTTTTTTTCAACAATCAATCTGTTGACGAGTATTTGAATTCGCATTTGTGGCCAATGAGTGCCGTGACGGCACTTATCATAATTTCAGAACGACAAGTTCCATGGTGTGCTTAGAAAGCACGGTGGAAAAATGGATTCACCGCCTCTGGTGCCCATAGCACGTCACGACCACGCGATTTCTCATTTGTCTTTTGAGTTCAGGATTAAAGATACAGACTCAAGTTGAGCTAGTAGGTACACGTTAGGTAGAACTGTCAGCTAGAACATAAACACAAGCACAACAGATAGAAAGGGACAAACACACTGCTGACCAACTAGGTTCCTCTTCCTCGTTTTTATCCACAAGTACTTTGTCTTCAAAGAGTTTTCCCACATACCACATTATTATAAATATGTTAAAAGGGTGGGATTAATTTTGACTTTTAACTTATTTACAACATGGTGTATGGGAAAGCTCTTTGAAGACAAAGTACTTGTGGTTAAAGACTAGGAAGTGGAAGTACTTAGGGTTAAAGACTAAGAGGAATTATAACCCAATTGTTAGTCAGCAGTGTGTATGTCCCTTTCTATTCTTTGTGTTTAAAAAGTTTAAAGATCAGTTCATGGTCCCTTTGAATCTACCGCCACTACACTGTGTAAAAAAGAGCAAATGATCAGCTAATATAGACCAAAAGTACCCAGTCGGCCAGTGTCCTTAGTCACTGGTCAGGTAGGCTGGATTTTGTTTTTCTTTTCAAAACTTTTTTTTTTTTTTTTTTTTTGTGGGTTGACAAGGCGCGGGTGCAGAGATGGACGGAGAGTTTGTGAGGAGTGCAAGCGGTAAATTGCGGCCGATAGGTGAAACCAGAGTAGGTGACAGGTAGTGTTCAGAGCAAACTCCTTTCACCTACAGTGTTAGGGGAGAATATAGAGGACGAAAACTGGAGAAACGTGTAGCCGGGTTTTCGTCCTCTATGTTATTTTTCTCTAACACCGTAACTTAAGCAGCACGCTCCATTTTTACGAGTGAGAACCTTTCATCTCTTCCCACCTTTAACTCAACATTCGCGCTGCTATTTTTACGGGCTCCGCGTGCACACGGTTTCGAAGATCAGAGACGAGAGTTGCGATGTTTTCTGTGGGACGAACAAAGCAAGCGCTGAACAAATGCCGAATACTGAACAGGTATACCTGCAGGACTATGGTTTACAGTATCCAAGGGTCTCCGTCATCGGAATCTTGCGTAAATCTAATCACAACAGGCGAAGGCGGCGAAGACCTACAAGCTCACTTCGCATTGGACGTTAGAATAACAAAAAACCCCGGGTAATTTCACCAATTTCACGTCTTGCGGAAGTGACCAATGACCAGTAGGAGGCTATAGAGAGTTTGGCCAATGGGCGGAGCTTGTTGCCGGCTAGAGGGGATTTTGCAATAACACAAAATGGCGTTACCTCTTTGTCGTGTTTGTTGTCTTCATTTATCTCTATGGCTATTGGCCGTCTTTATTAAAGTCATTAAAGTTAACTACTTTATCTTTATTCCCAAAAAATCGCAGAAGATGGCCGATGGATGGATGGTAATGGCTATACTCTTTGTAACGGGCGGCAGCTTGCGCCACCTAGCGCCACGACGGGAGTAGCTATCCTTGGTTGCCAGACTGTCAAATCTCCGTAAACCATTCCCCTCTGGTACTCTTCTCTCCCCCCTCTCCCCACATGAGCCTGTCTCTGAGCTAGTCCCCATAGAAAGGAGGGTCTCCCTTTACCGAATTTAAAGAAGAAATTGAGGGATAGTTTCCTCCTTTCTGGCTGCTCGACGAAGCATGGGTCGATTAAGCAAAGACTCGACGGGGGGAGGGGATGAAGACGAAAATTTAATTTAATTCATTTAATTGCATTATAATTATAGGGAAGAAGAGCTCTTTATTCGCTTTATTGGAGGATCCTAGGAATGCCTAAAGGGGCTCAGAGGTCCGGCCGCAGCTTGAATCCCGGTCCCTTGGGGGGGCTTGTGAGGGAGGTGAGGCCCCCCTTGGGCTCGCACGACAGGCGGCCGTTGCGGGGACCCGGCTTGGGGCGCTTCCCCTGCTTCAGCGAATCCAGGATCTCTTCCACGTCCTTTGCCTCCAGGTCTTCGTAGTAGTCGTCATTCACCTGCGCGCAACCAAAGCCACATCAAGCTCACGCATGCAAGAGCATGAATGTTCCCACCGATGGGGTTTTCATGTGAATCTTGTAACTGGTGCGAGATAAAGTCACTAGAACCTGGGTAAGTAGCGCCAAGCTCCCTGTATGGTTGCCAGTTTGGTCCATGGAATGAGCAGTTTCTCCTTGAACACTCCATTCTTGGTGAGTCCATCCAAATTCGCAGTGACAGGTTGCTTTATAAAGCCATTCTGTTATCCACAAACCGGCAAAACAAAAGCACATCTTTGTGCCCCCACCACATGCGGCGTCTGTGCTTGGCGGCATTGAAAAATAATTTTCCTGTCTTGGAATACGCAAGAACAAACCCACTGTAAGAGATAAGCATGTCTGGTCAGTCAATTGCATATTATACAGCACCAAGGACGTTCATATTGGTGAGGAAAGCCTTCAGCATGATGAGGCTCCATAGAGATCTTGGTGCGGCTGGTTCAGAGCCACCTTTCCAAAGCTTCGAAGATTTGAGGACCAAAATGGAGATTGCCACGGCAACAGAGACCAATCGCCTTGCGAGGCTTTGATCGTCCATGTTAGTATCGGTTTGAGTCCTTTTAGCAGGCAAGGAAGGCAATGGCACTACTTTCCCAGGATCCAGCAACTTAAAGAGGCACTGACACCCCGAATGTGCACACACGGTGCAAGTTGTAGTCATAAACACACAAAAAATATAACGAAAAAAAACAAAAAAAAACTTTTTTTGAATGCATGCGCGTTTCTTTATGTTTGGCGCTTTTTTTCCATCTTGTCGATTCCTCGCTTCTTTCTATTTGCGACGTCAGAAATAATGAAATTTGTAAGCTTTGTAAGCGACATTTCTATATATTTAATAATGGCATTTGTAAAACTTGTTTTTTAACGCAACTGCAAACGCACTACGGCCCTTCTTTTTGAAATACCGAAAATTGAGTCCGGAGTGATGCCGCCTCCCTGGCTTTTCTTCCTCTTTCGGAAAACATGGCGGCACTGGCGGTGCTCGGCACACATAGTACTGAGGGTGATTGGTGCCTCGGGAAGTCAGATGAAGTTTTCTTCTTTAGGTGCTTGACAAGCTCTCCGACTTTGAAAGGAAATCGTCAAATGGTCAACACAACTGGGTTTGGTGCCTGTGTAGTGTAGTTTCGGTAGTGACTCCGCCGGGGCAGCCTTTCACTTAGAACCGATGCGACAGGGTCCTCATGTTGCTCACAAAAGTCAGCTGTGCGCTCTCTCGGACCTCACAACGTTTCAAAGAGTTTTAGATCACTGAAAGGGCCCCAAAAGAACATCAAACTTGAAAGTGAAGCGTTGAGTGCCCACAGCGATAGGCGGCAGGCACGGAGAAGAGTTGTTGATTACGGGACGCGGGCGAACACATTTCGGGTTGGGACGGTCCGGAGGCGTAAGACAGAGTTGCAGGACGATTCAATCTTTGACGTCAGTGTACTGGCACGGACTGTGCGGTGACTTCTACTTCGGCTTTGGGAAATTGTTTTTTTACTTCCCAAATACCGAGTTCCCAAGTTTCGAATTTTGAGTGTAATGCGAAGGCATCGTTTACAATCATTTCGGATAATAAAAGAAATATGATTTTTGACCTGTCGGTGCCCCTTTAAATGTGAGGAGCTTGTTGCGAGCGAGATACCGTAAAATGGTAATTATATGAGCGTCATGTGATGAATACCAACATTCTTAGACCTAGGTCAGTTAAAAAGCTTCGGAAAACGTCGGACGCCTTTTTACGGCGTGTCCCCTCGGTGGCACTTACTACACTATCAGCCCATCGTATGAACAAGCGTGGCGGAACCGGTGGACCGTTGGATGCATATCACTTGCGGTGGAAAGTGATTTTATGCAAAAATACTCCAGAAGCCGGGAGACGTCATAATTAAAATAAGAAAGCCGACTTGACATAACAGAAAAAACAACTTCATTAGACGTTTCGCCTCCCATGCGGGAGGCATCATCAGTAGTTACACAGCAAATGCAGGGTTCAACCTAAACTCAACGCTATTTATCACGAATGTCCGTGTAAGCTTCATGGAGAGGGCCGCGGTTTTTGTTGCACACGGATGTGTCCCTGAGAAGAAACCACGATTCTAGAAGCTTTCGGGGCCCCCATCTGTCCTCTCTCGCCAAGGTCGCGACGACCTTGGCGAGAGAGGACAGATGGGGGCCCCGAAAGCTTCTAGAATCGTGGTTTCTTCTCAGGGACACATCCGTGTGCAACAAAAACCGCGGCCCTCTCCATGAAGCTTACACGGACATTCGTGATAAATAGCGTTGAGTTTAGGTTGAACCCTGCATTTGCTGTGTAACTACTGATGATGCCTCCCGCATGGGAGGCGAAACGTCTAATGAAGTTGTTTTTTCTGTTATGTCAAGTCGGCGTTCTTATTTTAATTATAGTGATTTTATGGTAAGCATAAAGATTATGCAATACTTGACGCAAAAACAGCGTCATTCAAAAAAGACTTTTCTCTATTGCCCGTGGAAGCGTTGACGCTAAGAACGCCATCCGCCCTTATCTGCTCACATGCCGGCAGAGAAGAATAATTTTTGAACGCTGCTCTTCCGTGGAGCTTGTCAACTGATAGATCTAAGAATGTTGATGAAAACACCACTCTTTTCTGATGGGGAGCAGTGACGTCAGCTCTACGGCAGAGAGGACACTAAATCAATCCCTGGTTTGGAGATGAAACAGTTTGCATGTAAATACATTTTGTCAATAAAAGTGGTGGTGTCAAGAGTAGTAATTGTTAAATTCATACGCGATGGTGCCTGGTGGCTAGAACGTGAACGCAGCTACATTCCTTTTATCCGCGTCTCGTTCATGTAAACGGTGGAGCTGAGGAGGGAATTGAACTGGCTGGTGACATTGCGCATATCCATCTGCAAATTTCTTCTTTGTGTAAACATTGCTTAAATGATGCTAGATCTGTGGAGCGCAATACTTTGCAAATTTGTTGATGTACTGCCTCCTCTAAAGTTTTGGAGGAGCAGAACTTTGCAATCGGTGTAAACAGATCATAGGACCGACATAGTTTTGACTTTGCAGGCTGCCAAAGTGCTTCGCCGAGAACGATTGGGAAATTCACTTCAAAATGTCGAGATTCCAAGGCGTAGCTCGATTCAATGCGTAGCGATCGTGACACCCCATGTCTCACCCCACGCTTTTGTGGCACAACGCTGACCGTCCACTCAGACATCGCCAACAGGCCAGAAAAGGAAACGTTTGGGATCACGAGGCGCTCCGGAAGTTTGCTTGAGTAACCAGAAGGCTCGTTTTGTTTGGACAAACGAAAGGTCAGTGTTTGTTGCACTGGCATGGTCAGACCATTAAAGTTTTATCTCGTGTTTCACTGCATGAAGTAAAAAATAAATAAACAATTAAAGTCACTGCCTCCCTCCCCCCCCCCCCCCCCCCCCCCCCAAACACAAAAAAAAAAGGTTTTTTTTTTCTTTTTGCGGCATATTAATAAATCATAAAAATAGATGGAGATGTCAAACATAACACAGCCTCAAACACAGCTAACCACTGACCACTTTCTCCCGTTTTTTCAGTGTGATCATGTATCTGGCCTGCAAGTGACGCTTATTTGAGCAACTACAATATTACCTGAACCATGGGCGCGTTCACGCAGGCGCCTAGGCACTCGACGACGCTGAGCGTAAAGAGACCATCCTTCGACGTCTCGCCCGGTCCAATGCCCAACTTCTTCTCGATCACGGCCTGGATGTCCTCGGCTCCGCGCAGCATGCACGGGGTCGTGGTGCACACCTGGACGTGGTACTTCCCCACGGGGTTCCGCTGGAACATGGTGTAGAACGTGGCCACTTCGTAAACCCTCATGCGCGGCATGCCCAGGTAGTCAGCAACGTAGTGCATCGCGGTCAGTGGCAGCCAGCCGTGCTGCCGTTGCGCCAGGTCAAGCAAAGGAATCACGGCCGCGGCGCGGTGCCCGTCCGGGTAGATGCTCGTCAGGGACTCGGCGCGTTTCAGGTTCTCCGGCGTGAACTCGAACTTGACGTTCGCGTTGTTTTGGTCGGTGTCTCGATGCACAAAGAGGGCATCACTGCGCAGCGAAGTCGAGGTACCGAGGGCACGGCTGCGCGGCGTCGGGCACCGCAATGCCGCGCTGAGTAGACGCCCGCACGGCTGCATTTTGGGAGTCCGTGTTCGCCGGTCGTACTCCGAACGATTTGATGAGGTTCAAGCGAAAATGAAGATGCTTTCCAACTGACCTCGTCGGTAGCTCCAACAAAAAACTGAACACGATTCGACTTTCTGATGTCCCCACAGTGTTGTCGGTGCTGTTGGGTGAAAGCACGTTTCCCCGCCGTAAGTGGGGGAACCGGTTGTTTTCTAGAGGCACCACCATATTCGACATGTCTAATATTTACAAAAATCTAGCGGATTTATCCAATTGCTATCTCCGTTAAGATGGTATATATGCTAATAAACGTATCGGATATGGTTTGAAAAAAGTTTAATGTTGTCATACCGCGAACGCTACGCAGATGCGGATGATCAGCACTCCGAAAACGGATAAACTTGATCGGCTTGTCATGCACAAAGTATGCGAACTTGTCAAGTTTGGGAGGTCCCACGTTCCAGTGTCGGGCCGATTCCGCCGCGTTCGCGTCTAACCGGCCAAGTCGAAGCTCGCTAACCCCGAAGGCACGCTCGTCGCACCTCAGTTCCCCGTAAACCCGTTCAGCTCCGTACAAACCGGAGCGAGCGTCTCGTTTTTCGCACCGTCCCGCCAAGCGCGCCGGTTGTTGTCCTACGAGCACGGACCGCGCCCGATCGGCCGCGACTAGAGACCATGAGTGCCCAATACCGGCCGTACCGCGACGACGACAACGGCACGGACAGCGAGCCGATGACCTGGGCTGACCAGGAGCCCGGATCGGTGCAGATCTACGAGAAAACGACCGAGGACATCCGCGTGGTGTCCCACCGAAACCTGGTCATCGGAGGCGTCGGCATCGCGTTGCTCGGTCTGTTGGCCGGACTGCTGGCGGGCTACTTCGCCCACACGCAGCACTCCGGCTGCGTTCGTGGTAAATCCGTGGCCATCCACGCAGTCTTCGACGCGGACCCGACGATCCGCGATCGCCTGCTTCAGATGGTCAGCGCTCAAAGGATCAATGACACCGTGCGGTGAGTGGTTTCTCTTTCCCCCCGGTGGGGTGGGGTTTTTTCCCATCACTGGGCGCTAATTGGTGGGGGGAGAAAAAGCGGAGTGAACAAAGAGGAAAATGATGTTTCCGCTCAGGCGGCTTCTTTTTTTTCATGCTCGAAAGCGCCGAAATTCGAGATACGCGACGATTGAAAGAACGGAGTAGCTGGTCGTTCCGCACGGCAGAACATCTTCTCTCAAGCTGCGAGGGTGGCGAAAGAGGGGGGAGGAGAATGCGACACGTGACTCACACCGCGCGGTATGGGAGAAGGATGCAAAAAGGGAGAGTAGTGGTCGAGAGTGTCTGACTGTCCCAACACTTGTTGCTGTTGTAATGTGGTTTGGCTACGACTTCCTGTCGCGCGATATCGTTATTTCGAGAATATTTACCTCTATGCAACATCCTTCCACTTTTGTGGTGCATAACTGTGCCATCCTGTATTTGTCCCAGTATGAATTATGAGTGAACTGTTCAACTCATACCTGAAAATGTTTTTCTTTGGCCTCCAAGAATACCTAGTGGCACTGTAAAGTGTCACGAGGCACCTTGCACTGACCCTTCGCCAACACTCTTTTAATTTATAGAGGCGGAGCAGGAAGGTAATCACAAAAGGTATGGTATGCATGACATAATTCCTGTTGTCATGGCAACTGAATGATGCTGAAGAATCAGTTTCCAGCTGCTAAGAATGCCGAGATTGACAAGACAGATTTTAATACAAGAGTAAGGTTTTATACCCAAGCATTTTATCATTTTCATGAGAAGTTTAGTTTCTTACTTGACCTTCTTGATTGGGGTGAAACCAGGAACTCCTTTTTTCCTTTGGCTTGAACAGTTCACTAGTACCCCATTCACACGATCATAAACATACTTTAGCTAAGGGACCTTTATTCACTGCGACAAATCAATTCACGATCCTCCGCGCGTTGCGTGTGCTTGTGACCCAAGAGCGCGGGCTGATTTGCCGATTGCAGAGGGACCTTTATGCTAGCCGTGTGAATGAGGCATAAATCTCCCAAGTTCACCTTTTACCAAATAAGCACTGCCACCTATTGGGAAAACATATAAAATAGCGCAACAGAAAACAAGGACAAGAAGTAAACAGGACAGGTGCTATACACCTATTGGGACATGTGCAAAACTGAGGTGTAATCAGTTTCGATGTTGAGTGGTTAGACAAATACCTTTGTTGAACCCATTCAACCACACTGTTGGCATACATGTGTCAAATTTCCTCGCTTTCGGTTTGTGATGCTTCGGGACAAAAAAAGTTCTTGCATTTGTGACGTTTCACCGGGCTTGTCATTTCCCAGACTGTGCGAACCTTTTTCAAGACCGCTAGAAAAGTGGGTTTTTATAACTTCTTTCTATTCCTGGCACACTCCGATTAATCACGTGACATCAAGGTGTCCGAATCATAATGTCACGTAATGTCACGGCGTTAAGTCATGACGTCACGTGGGCTCTTTTACAAAAAGAAAAATATTTACTTGGTTTTACTCCAGGGTAAGGGTTTTGTACCTTGGCGTTCGAAAACCTGCCCGTGTCCAGTGTTTTTCTATCGATGTTGTCACGTGACACAACCCTCCATAGTAACTCGGATCCATTTGGGATAAGATTTGGAACGCAGCCATGATATCACGGGACTTGGCTTGGTCGTGACACCGCTCGACGTGGTGGCACGACGTCACATTGCGACTTGACACCCAACATTGCTACAGACAATTCTACTAGGGTGAGAGAACACAGAGGAAAATGAGTCTTCATGTTTAAGCAGTTCCGGCGGTAGAGCCCACCGAGACCACCCAAACAACGAGAGCAACGCATGCCCCTTCCCTCTTCTACCTTGCCAAATCTTTTGAAATGCCCGTTGAGCGGGGGTCTCAAACTCATTTGGGTGTGCGGGCCATATAGCACACCCCCCCAAAAGTCGAAGGCCGACGGGTGATACTTGTTAAAAAGAAGCAGCAATGGTGTTTCAATTTGCAAAGCAGCCGACTCTCCCAGCGACATCCCAGATTCTCTGGGGAGGGGCCTCGTGCTCTCTGCTTTTTGTAAGCTCGCCATCTTGCCAGTGACATCTTTGATTTACATATACGTCTACTTTGGGCCCACACCTGGGACTCAAGTCTGGACACTTGGCGAAAAAGTGGGCAAGAAATACGGCAGCCATGGTTGGCCGGTGCCAAAAGTCAAGTGCGGTGCTAACCAATCACGGCAGCCCAATTCCTCGCCGACTTTTTCACCAAGTGTCCAGATTAAGCCCCTAATGCGATAAAAATAATTAAAACGCTAACATTTTGGCAGTTTTAAATAGAACGAAAGAAACCACGCTATCGTTGCCCTTTCCCACAGTTTACTAGGCTTGCAAGTTGCGGAAACCAATATCTTTTCATACAGCAGTCTGCTTTCCTGACAATGTTTACAGCAGGATTATAAGAAAATACATATATTTAAAATATATTTCCTGATGGCCAGAAACCAGAGCTCATAGCTTTATCTTTGGCAGTTGCTCCTGCTGAGTGAGGGTTCATGCAGCCGAGGTGCTTTTTTGAGCAAAGCTCGCGCTTGTAGCCCTGTGGTGGTATTGTTGTTCCGGTTGATTTACATGAGAAAGGGCCAAGAGTCAAATATCTAATTGAAACAATGCTCAGTCAAACAATATATTGCAAAATGTGCAAACACATTATATGAGCAGAGCTTTTTTTTCGAGCGGAAATGAATCATCGACAATTTGCAACAATTATTAATAGCACATGTAGTACCCGAGGCATGGGGACGGGGGCTCGCAGCTTCAAGATGCTTGCGGGCCGCAGCCCAGAGAGTCGGGGGCCGCATGCGGCCCGCAAGCCACGTGTTTGAGGCCACGTGTTTGAAGGGCAACTCTGATTCATTTTTTTTTTTTTTAAAAAACAGTGCAGTCCTCTTCAGTATCACCTAGGAAGACCACACATAAAATATTACGACATAGTTCTGTCTAATTGTTTTCTAAAGTTTTTGTTCAGTATTTTAGATCAGAAAAGAAACAAATGCAGTGTATAAAGTACGGAAACAAGAAATGACCCGTCGACATACCCACCACCAAGCGGTGGAAAAGGCAGCGCATACTAGAAAGGTGTAGTGGGATAAGGCACCGACGAGCGGCGAGCGTAGAAAGGTCCCGGATGTACGCAGCAACGCTGCGGTCGTATACGGGCTCGAGGATTTGACGGGTTTTGAGCTTTCTGAAGGCCTTCGGCAAGTAGGTTTGGCTTGCGGTTTGGCCGTTTGGCGGTATGGCAGTGTTAAGTGGTTCCCTTTCTGAATTGATCTTTACCCCGTGTTTGCTGTCGTTTGTGGGCAATGCAGTGTCATGCCGAATTAGTGTTTAATCGTGCAGCAAATGCAATGCGAGCCGTCCTAGCTGCCTGCTTCATACAGCCTATCCAAAACGTGCTTTAGTGGCGCCCTCTCGAGCCGTTGACACGGAGTGCGGCAGCCGTGAGCGCTCGCTGAGCTCACTACCTCTCCTCTAGTTCACGGTCTCTTAAGCGACCAAGGACGTCTCGATGGAGGTTCTTTTTTGCTTCTTTTTGTAATTTTAATTTGCCTATAACTTTTAAAACAAAGCGAAATTTGAGAAAAGAAAAGTTTTATTAAGTTACTACGTTCAGTGCGCTCAGGTTCGGTGTAAACTCAAAACCAGTAAAAACGTCCTTGCAGGGCCCCTTTAAACGGTCAGACAGACTTTGCAACTCGCCAAGTTACCGCAATCAGCTGACTTGAGAGGGTGAATTGAGGTGCAACTAACAGTGCAACCAAGGCTACGCCGTGGACGTAGCCAACATTGAGCTAAGCGTCATCATCACTGCCCCCTTTTACTTCTCCGGGCAAGCGTAACGGGTGACGTCAGCAACGTTTCCTTTCGGCGCTCCTGGGCAGCGCACTTTTTGGGAGCCGTCTGGTTGCCCCGCCGTTACCGCCGTCTCCTGTGTCACAACTGCCGTGTCGTCACTACGAACTCTATGTGCGCAGACTTATGCCGCAGTTGTTCAGATGCCGTTGAATGTCGTTGACACCAAAACACGGTGAAGTGTGCAGTGCAGACGACACTTGCGCTTGGGACACACCCGCCCCAGTCCCGCTCGTCGTGTAGGGGATCACGTGACATCTCGTGCCACGTTAAAGCCATGTTCTTGGCGGCCCGAGGCCAGTGTTGCCAGACGGAGCCGAAGTTTTGGTTTCGATTTTTGCTCTTGTTTAAAATTAGATGTAAAAACATATATACCATCTTTTGCAAAGCAAATGAAGTAGTATCTTTTACTAGGGCTTTTTAATGCGAAATCGCTCATTATCCCGAAATCTTCGGAATTGAGCGAAGGTGCCCTTTAACCACCATATATATATATTTTTTTTAACTGAATGTTTTAAATTAATTTTATTACTAATTTCTAGATCTTATTGTTTTTCATAAAGTACAAGGTCGAACAACATAAATTCACCTTTCTGGGGCAAAGAAAAAGCAAACCGACTCAGAAATCCCCCAAACGAAACTTTCCCACATGCCGTCAACGAGTGTCAGTGTGAGGCAAAACGTTGCTCTACACATAAGAATGAAATCGACAACCCAGTGGGGAGAGGTAGGGGGCAAATCGAAACTGAAACAACGCAGGAGCGTGCCCTCTGGCATGGCACTCAAAGGTTTAAAAAGATGAATCACGGTTTGACCGGAGTCCGTCTCCACAGGACCCTGCTGTCCCCGGATGCCCAGACGGACGACCAGCTAGTCGAGTTGCTGCGTACCACCTGGAGCCGACACGGCCTGGAGTCTGTCGAGCGCGACTCGTACGACGTGCTGCTCTCCTTCCCCGACGCTGTGCGCCCAAACAGGCTCGAGATCCGCGACGGCGCCACCCGGGAGATGGTGTCCAGCTTTGACCTGTTCAGCGCTGAGCACAAACCCTACGTGGCCTACGCTCCGGCCGGCTCGATCGAGGTGGGTGTCTCCGACTCGCGTTTGGCCAATGCTGCCTGGAATAGCAATGTTTCGTTAAGACCGATCCTGTCAATACGGATTCCCCGCTACGTGGTCAATTTTTTTGGGAACGAACTGGGTAAATATGCGCATTTTTGTCTCGTCATTACAGACAATGCGCATGACGAACACCTTTTGAGGTTATGGAGGTGTCCATATTAACGAGACGTCGCTGCATCATATTTTCCAGTCTATAAAAGGCCGGTTTCACAAAAAAGATGGTGCATAAGTTGCTACTTTGTAGAAGTCGCCCATTTTTGGGGAGTGCTGCGGAGGATGATGCGCACAGTCGTTTTGTACCACCTAGCCTAACAAATAGAAAGAACAAAAGGCCCCCCCCCCCCCCCTCCCTCCCTGCCCTTCTAAGCCTATTTCTTTCCCCTCTGCGTTTTCGTAACTATCACCAGGCCGGCGGGGTATCCCCTGGGGGATCGGGCGAATGAAAAAATAAAAGCACGCACACTCCTTCCCCTACCCCTGGCTAGCGAGTTGCCAATTTTTCTACGGTGAAACATCGTCGGCGTTACCCCAACATTGGATCCTTTGGGAGACGGGGAAATAGAACCATTAATGTTGTCATTGTCGACACGATTAGACACACCGTTGGCGGGAAGCTGGCACAACGGTCGCGCATGCAGCCACGAACGCGCATGTCCAAGTGCAAACGCCGCCGCCTTTTTCCGGCAGGGCCCAGTGGTGTACGCCAGCCACCTGGGCCACCGGGAGGTGGACGCGCTGCACGAACTCAACGTCACCCTGGAAGGCAGCGTGCTGCTGGCACGGCTGGGGCTCTATCCTCCCGCCTACCAGGTGAGTTGTTTTATCCACCCGCCTTTATCCATCCGCCTATCCACTGGTGCGCTGCCTGCAATGCATCTTCGACTGCTGTGTTTACCGCGTCCTCAAAAGTAGTCCTTTGATTTCCGCCCGACAACGCTACAGCATTGTTGCGTTGTTGCCGGTCGTGATCCTGACGACTTCGCGGCGTTGGTGGTGGATGTTGCGGACGCCTGTTCTGCCGCACGTCACACTCCACCTTGACAGGCCACGGAAGCTTCGGCAGTCGGAAGTTGGGACGCTGCGACGATGACGACACTTGTATTTTCGCCCGTGCCTTTTGTTTGGACTTGCTTGGCTAACTGCCTGCCAGGATCACGACATCCGACAGCCAGACACTGCGGCTTTTAGACATCACTCGTTGCCCCTTCAAGACCACTTTTGATGCGCGGGGGGAGTGGGACACTAAACAGACCGGTCTGAGACTCATTCCAATCACCGTAGAAGCCGGGTGGACGGGCCACCAAGGTGGCAAAGATCTGCCGGGCTCTTTAGTGTTCAGATTTCAGTCGGTTTAAAGAACAAGGAGATTAAAATTATCACTTCGATGGCATGTTGCAAGCTGAGCTTGAAGGTATGGTCCCTGCATCTATAATATTCTTGGGTTTAGTTTACAGGATAACTATGCTAAATGTTTGACTTTTCATCATGCGCATAGTTAATGCAAGATTTTGTTTCTTTAACCATTCACTAACTAAAAGTAACAATGCATGCAAAACAAAGAGAAGGAGCAGAAGAACGCCGCAGATGTGCGTAACATTCTTATATGTGGCATTTTTAAAAGTTTTATTTAAAGGTCGGAGCCAGTCATCGCGCAGTTTGTTTCATGACGATGGGGGTGAAATGAAAATCTGTCTGGCACAATTCTCAGCTTCGGAGCCTGATTCGAAGCGGAAGTTCGGCTGTCTCCTGCTCAAAATATTTGGCGTCAAGAGTGTAATTACGCAAATTCGCCTGCCACGTCAAAATTACAACCGACATTCATTTGGCTTGCGCAGCCCTTTGCGTGGTTGAGCAGCCCGCTAAACTTTATAAACTCTAACGTCGGGATGCGACCACCCGCGCTGAGCAAATTGCCTGCTCGCTGTCAGAAACAGGCAAGCCACTAGAAGCATGCTTTTATTCACCCTCCCAGTGGTGCCCCCTTGTTGTTGCTACAATTTACCACACAGGATTTTCCTCTCTGCTCCAGATTGGCTTGGCGCAGCTGGTGGGTGCCAAGGCACTGCTGCTATACCCTGATCCAGCAGAGTTCCACCCGACGTTGGCGCAGAACACCGTGGCGTCGTCACCCTGGTGGCTTCCCAACGACGGCACTCCGTCCCTCTCGGCCCTGGCCAACATTTTGGGAGACCCCCAGACGCCGGGGTACCCCGCCACGAGTGCGTGATGCAGCCGGAGGGCCTCTTTTATCTGTCGACCCTGCTCGCACAAAAATCCCCTTAATCTTGGGTTTTCAAACCGGGTTCCTACAAACTGAGGTACGCTCGTGGGTTCTCAGAGCCTCGAAATTTCCTCCATTGCCCCTGCCCCCAAGTTAAGTGTCTTTCCAGTTCAAGTATCATTGAGGCAGATTTTAGCCATTCATCATGCAAACAATGTGAACCCAACGCTTCCTAGCATGCGCTTTATTGTTTTCACGCTCTGTAGGCCTCAGCACTGCCCTGCTACATCAATGCTGACACTAAAGAAGGTTCCTCAGTTATCAGTCAGTAGAGATAGGAGTTCCTCAAGATTGCAATTTCAGAACCGCTGCCCTAGGTCATTCCTGACAGCCAGTCGAAACCAGTGAAAATTTGTGACTACATTGTCAATCTCTAGGGAAAATATAGGGAATGTCCAAAATCGCTGGAGGATCTAAAATTTAGGTAATGGCTAGGCAAAATCTAGGGAGCAGTTTATAGAGGTTGTACTGTCAGTGAGCAAGCTCTTTTTTGTGCTTCCACCTTGATACTTCTTTTTTCAACAGGCAGTGCTCATCGACTGCCAGAAGACCAGCTGGCATTGCCGCAGATCCCGGTGCAAACGATCAGCGCCAGCGTGGCTCGTCTGATACTCGAGTGAGCTCACCACCTTGCTACTGTTTCGTGCCTCAGTAGCTCTCTTTCTTGCTGAAGGGACGCAGCAGCAAATATCTATGTTCGAGTATATGGGTCGAGAATGTACTGGTCCCTCGTTATAACAAACTCGCTTTTTTCAAATTATTGCTTTTATCGAAGTTTAACGTGGTCCTGACCAAAATGCACACATTTTTAACCGGATTATTTGAAGTGTGTTGGCGGTCGACCACGCTTATTATGAAGGCCGCGGTGCCGAAAGCATGCAATCCTACACAGAGGAACATGAAGACCCTTGCTTTCCTTCCTTCTTTTTCACCAAGGCAAACGGCAAACTGGGAAAACGGAGTAAGTGGTGACGGAGGGCAGAGCGCGCAGAGCTTGCTGAGCGCCGCTTCCAATGCCAATGCACCGATGTAGGCAGGGAGCAGCGTGAACTTCCTGACGCTGCTCAGTGCACCCGCGGCTGACGCTGCCTGACCCCTGTCGGAATTGGGTCAAGGGAGCGGTGGAGCCCAGAGGAGACAACCTTTTTGGGAGCCCCCAAAGTGCACGCCTGCGTGGGTGTGCCTGCAACATACTACATGCACACTTGCGTTGTATGGGAGATTGAGAGCGTTTACCGAAAGTCGCTTAGATCTGCAAGGTTGAGAAAAGTGGCCAGCCCAAGTCCGAAATCGCCAAAGAATTTAACATTCCGGCATCGGCTGTTCGACACTGTCCGCCACCAGTTTACAGGACGAGCAAGGCATATTGGACGGGTTCAAGAAGTTTCTCATGCACAAGAAAGCTTGCCCGCGACCCAAGGATGCAAGATAGCCAACTCCTCCACACACGTCGGATTTTTTCTTGCGAGCATGCTTGCCGAGCCGGCACACGATTTCCATAGCGGCAACAATCTGTACAGGATGGCGTGAAAACATGTTGTTAAAGCCACTGAGGATAACTTTGATTCGTTCGCGCTTGTCGATGGGGACGTTTCCGTTGGTGCTACTGCCATGGATGCTGTGATCATGGACCTTGCGTGCGGCCAGGGTAAACGCGAAGTGGCGTCAGAGAGCCACCTTGGGAAACGCCGACAACTGCGGAGACACGAATCATCCTATGCCTGCCTCGAAACAAAGTGGAGTGCAGTGGCGGGGACAGTGTTCTTACGATGCCCGCAGCAGTTCGAAGAGAACTCATTCCTAAATGAAATTATCGGCAAATTCCACTTCATTATTTTTTTACTCGGTAAATGCTGCCGCAAGATGTACATAATCAAGGTTTGTTTGATTAAATATAAGTTCAGAGTGTTCCGCTGTGTTCCTGTGTTCCGCTGTGTTCCCATCCACCTTCAAGGCTGTCGGCTTTGTTTTATTGGCTTTATCGCTTTCACCGAATTATTTATATAAAATTTTTTTGCCGTCCTGTTGACTTTCTTTATAACGAGGGATAACTGTACTAGTACTCAAGTATTTTGGAATTTTAGGAAGTACTCGAGCAAAGTTAACTTGATACCATTTAGGCCGAGTTCAACTGGGGCAAACTTTTACTCTGGCTGGGGTCAATTTGGGCTGTGTCTGGCTCAAGTTGAGTTGGGCTGGTTCAGGTCCGGGTTTCACTTGGGCCAAGCCTGATTTGGGCCAAGTCAGGACCGAGTTCCACTTTGGCAGAGTTTCACCTGGGCCGGGTCCAGTCTCGGCAGTGTCAAGCCGTTTGGGGCGTTCAAAACGCATCCTGTGCAGCGCTTCTTTTTCTGCAAGTGCGGCGTCCTAAGCACGGCGTGTTCCGCCTGATCCTCGCAGGAAGCTGGGCGGGGTCCCCGTGGAGAAGAGCATGCCCGGCAGCTTCCCTGGCCTGGACTACCGGGTGGGTGGGGGCTCCCACGTGGCAGACCTCCAGGTGCACAACCGGCTGCAGAACCACACCGTCCACAACCTGGTCGGGTACATCCGGGGAAAGGTGGAGCCAGGTGAGGAAGGCACCGTGACGTCTTTTGACGAATCGGTAGAGCATCCGGCTCTTCAGGCCCGCTTTAGACGCGGCGTTCTTTCCCGTTGTCTTGTCGACGCAGCACCATCAGTCGCACCTTCAACCAAATTGCTACAATTTGCCATTATTATTATTGTTTACTTGCATCATCTAGACATGCAGTTACGCTGAAAAAATCACGTTTTGATATGTTTAAATGGTGTTGAGAATACTGACTCATCTCCCTGAAACAATTCAGTCATGAAAACTATCCATTTCAAACCAAAGCCAAGTTAAAAACCTTGGCTTTAGTTGTCATCATCACCACCACAAGAGGGTCGCATGAAAATATTGCGTCTCTGATTGGCCGCTGCCACATCAAACGTCTCCTAGTTGCCCGAGTTGCTCTCCCATTTCGAGCCAGACCTGATCCGAGCAATTTGTGTTGCAGTGCGAGGATCTAGGGAAAGCTAGGGAACAACTCGCCAGAAACCCCGAAATTGCTGGGGAAATTGCTCCGTCTGAAGGGGGCCTTAGTCCTACAACAACTACCTAAGCTGAAATCCACTTTTCCAAGTGTGGCACCGTATGTGCTATTTTTCGATTGCAGATCGCTACGTGCTGGTCGGCAGTGCCCGTGACTCCTGGGGCCAGTCGGAGCTGGGCGGGACGGCCGTGCTCCTCGAGCTCACCGCTGTCTTCGGGCAGCTCCTCAAAGAAGGTGAGGGGAGGGGCCGTTTTGAGATCTCTCTTACTTCTTGTCCCTCCTACGGCTACCAAATAACAATGGGGCTTCACACTTTCCAGAGTCTTGCTCTCACTATAACATACAACACATATTGTGTCTATCTCTTAAAATTGAGCCCTGTATGCCTTTGTTGTTAACACTCCTGTTCTCGCCTCAAACAGTTAAGATCTTCCCCGGGAACTGCCAGACACCTTTTCCTTATGCCACGTTTTTGTGACCTGTTCATTGCTAAAACTGATTTCTCTCGCATTCTTCTCCCCCACTCTTTACTTTCTGCTTCTTTTACTATCTTTTCCACTTGAACTAGTCTTTTCTTCACCAGCCTGGCCAACGTGATCTTTCAAAGACCGAGCGCAAGGTTCAGAAAGGCACTTCCGTTTCACGGCTGCACGTGCGGGCTGAGCACGCCACTTGCTCCGGTTTGCAGGGTGGCGCCCTCGACGTTCCATCCTGTTCTGCAGCTGGGGAGCGGGGGAGTTCAATTCCGTGGGATCCACAGAGTGGCTCGAGGTCGGTACCGCCCCATCCCCCGTCTGTTTTGCGGCAACGTTGAACTGTAAACACGCGCCTTCGACTGGTGTGTTAACCGCGTTTGAAAAAGTGGTCCCTCAAGGTTCTGCCCGATGACGTTGCCGAAGTGTCATGCTGTCGCTGGTCACGATCCTGGCAGTGTCGTAGCGGCGGTAGTAGATGTGGCAGACGCCTATGTCGCTCTCGAGCTCGATGGTCCACAGAATTTTTGGCAGCCAGGAGTTGGGATGCCGCGACGACGGCAGCGCCTTGTTCTCTCATACTTTTTTTTCAAAACTTGTACGCCCAACTGCCAGGATCACGACATCCGACAGCTTAACACGCCGGCTGTTTCGACATCGGTTCTTGCCACGTCGGGAGCACTTTCGACATGTGGACAGAATAGGACGCTAAGCGCACTCGTTGGAGACGCGTTCCTTGCACCGTAGTGTCACCGCTCAAGAGCTGAACGTGCGTCCCGCTTTTCCAGGAGCACATGAAGCTTCTGCACGGCCGTGCCGTGGCTTACATCGATCTGGAGACTCCCGTCATGGGTGAGCACTTCTTGCACGTTTCGTCGTCTGCGTAGGCTTCACGCAATGTTTGTAAGACGGCCAAATGAGGTTGGTGTTTGGGCGTGTGTTTGGTGTTAGAAAGCGTCCCTCAAAGGCTTTCTGGGAATACAGAACTGAGGTCGGCTTTGTTGCCTCCATCAAAGGGTCTAAGGCAAGGGTTGGCAACGGCGGCCCTTGCACGCCAGCAAAAATTACCTCCCCCCCCGCTATGCCCCCACTCACCACCTCCAAACACAGACTCCAGGACATGAGGATCTTTTGTTGCAAGCTTGGTATAGTTGGACATAGGTAGGTACATTAACTCTGAACAAGTTCGAAAGATTTGCAAGATAGGTTTTGCTGATTGGCTGATCCCCAAACAGGCAATAAGCTGAAAAATGCATTTGCAACAAACGAATTTGACAAGTTTTGCGGTGGCCTCCCTTGGTTAGTTTTTAAATACAGAATTTCGCAGTGGCCTTGATCGCTATGTTCGCTATGGCATGCATATACCTATTATCTGCGAACATACTTTTTGAAGATAAAGACCATGAAATGAAACGTGGGTCTTGAAAAAGATGGATAAGGGTACCTCCCAAATGTTTTAAGACTCTCAGTTAAGAGTTCTAATGTGGATGTTTTAGTCATGTGCGAATAGTGGATTTTGAGTTTGAAGTGAATAGTGGTTTTGGCTGCATATTTTCTCTAAGCCTTTCACCGCTGCACGACGCTTAACGGGACAATGAAGACGATTTTATTTAATTTTTTAAATGGTGTTTTAATGCTTCTTGGGAACATAGCATGCCGCCCAATTTTTTGTAGACATTTATGACGCATATTTATGTGCCGACGAAAGAAGTAAAGAAACCGAAACCGAACCATCTCCAGTCTCGTTTCTGGGCCTCCGAAAACGGAGGTGACGTAGGGAGTGACGTCAAGTGTGAATAGTCGGTATCGGTAGTATTTAGGAGATTGAGACTCTGGTTACCGCGGTGGGTTATAACAGCGCGGTGGCGCGGTCGTTGCGCCGACTCTGTCAACATGGACGAATGCCGCTCTCGCGAGCGAGTTCGGGCTTCCGTTCAGTGACCGAACACCAATGCAACGGGACTACGTGTGTGGCGGCCACTGCCATCACCCGACGGAGATTGCCCAGCCGGCGACGAGCGGCCCGCATGCCGAAGGATGGACGCGGGGGAGATGCCGAAGGGAAAGCGGCAGCAATCCCGCCGTTCCGGGATCTGGTTCCTCCGCGGACGTCCTCTTTTTGTCGTCAAAGAACACGAACAGCTACCCACACGTGAAAACTAGCGTCGCCCAAACGAATACTGGTCTTCAGTCGACCGTTAGAACAGCCATCTACAGCTACCATTTTGCAAAATCTTTCGAGTACCGTGTTCTTTTTTAATTTTAATTTGTTGGCCCATAGTTGCTCGTTGCCGGTTTCGCGTCCAGCGTAGCAGAGAAAAAACAATGATGCTGCTTTATTTACGGTTTAGTAATCATTTCCGATCCGATTGATGGTTATTCAAGCGGAAATTAGAACTGTATTTCTAAAAATCGCGAACTAAAATGTGACCGAGGGCACGTTTCTCGTTTCGACCAATCGCTGACGCGTCTCTTGTGACGTCGCGTTCCTTGGCCCCGCATCGGTCACGTGAGCTCCGCTTCTCCTGGCTTCTCCCGCAACTCTTGGGGCGTCGCCCCAGTCGATCCCGGTACGATTATTACCGCGACTGTTTAATTGATTTGCGCAGCACACAAGCGCCGGTTTCGGCTGAAATTTGGGCAACGTGGCCTGAGACGTGCCTGGGACCCAGTTCAATCGCCAAAAAGATATCCGAAATTGCCTTCATTGTCCCTTTAAACGATAACCAAGCTGAACTCGTAAAACTTGTTTCCAAGATTTCACTTGTCCATTTCTAAACTAAATTATTTTTATCCATCTATTGACTGTGGCCTCAGGAAGTTCAATGCTTACATTTGGTTGGCAAGTAAACAACGCATTTGACATAAAATAAAAGCCTATGAAATGCCCAGCCATATCTAATCGAGGGGACTTATAAATTTTGTTATATACAAAATACCTTTTCTCCAGTTACGAACGATTGATGCAGGTTGTCGGGATAGCTCTGCCTAACGTATACTCACGCGTAATAGCCAGTCTTATTTTGAAAATTTTACTGAAATCTAGATATCGACATTCACAAAATCTTCATTAAAGGGGCCCTCCAACAGTATTTGCACGTTGACTTTTTTTTGCGGTTTCTACGCGCTAGTGGCCCCGGAAACCCAGTGGACAACGAAAGAGTTTAAAAATATTAGCGCATCATATTTTAATTTGACAGCTCGGAAACACCTCCTCCGACGGTGGCGCCGCGAGGTGCCGAATGCGCGCGCATAACGGCGCTCCCTTTCACAATACGTCACATTCTCTTGGTTTTGTGATTGGCGAGAGCCGTCCCAGGAATTTTGAAGCGAAATAAAGTATATTGCACGTTAACCGTCATTATTTCTCTAACAAGCCCTTTTTATAGAGCTACTAAAGTTGCGAAGTAAAGTTCAAAAAGGGCGAAAACAACGCTTCGTCGCTCATGCGCGCCTCCAGCGGAGCCCGCGACATACCATCGCGAGCAGACGACAAGTGATCCGGGCAGGCAACGCGCATCGTATTTTCACTTGTGCGCCCCCGGTCCCGGTCAACTAAAAGCAGTAAGAGGAGCCAGGGTCTTTTAGTGCTGTGACAGACTTTTCACTGTTCGGGTGAAGTGCAGCGACGGGACCCAGCTTATATGGTGCCCGACCGCTCACCAGTTTGTACCTCCTACTCGCCGAGGTGGCCCCGGTGGCGGAGTTGCGGGAGACGAGTCTTCCGCGGCTGTCGACGCGGACTAAGGCAGAGACGCGTCGCGGCGCTTGCGCGGAGTGTCCTCGTACGGCGCGACGCCCAGATCCGCACTCAAAATCCGATAAGCCCGGTAAATTCATCGATGATGGCAACCCGATCCCAAAGCTACGATGGTTGCAGCTAGGCCTAATGGCCGACGAGCCGACCGGGCCGACGGGCTATCAGCCAAACTCGCGTCCAATTGGCCAACCGCTTTGCTCCAATCGCTAAACTGTTTCATTTTACGTCATGAAGCGGAATGTTTTGCTTATTTAAAGTTGTTTTCTGGAATATTTATTTTGCTAATAACTCACAAAATATTGCGAATTTCTGTGATATGTTTTTTCTCCTCGGTGTTCCTGCTTTCATAGAGCTCCGTTTCAGCGCGAACTTCAAACCGGTCAAAAGATTGTTGGTGGGCCCCTTTAATTTTTAAATACGCCAGACGTGCACGGGCACCATCCCACTTTGGAAGTGTGCTTTCCTCCTAAGCATGCTGCTGTAATATTTGTACTTTTCCAAGTGTTGAACGCAGCGTTTTAGCCCCATTGAACACGCTTCTTACCAAGCAGCGATGCACTGGAGTGAAGCGACACTCGCGGAAGCGAGCTCCGCAAGTGTTGCTCCTCCACGGTGCACCGTTACTCGGTAAGAAGCGGGCTTAATGGGGCTAAAACGCTGCGTTCAACACTTTGAAAAATGCATAGCAAATTGCTGGGCAATTGTGTTTCACCTGAAACGCGTGGAGTCTACGCTCTCGGCGATCTTGATCGTTTCGTTTAGCGACTGACTTAAGGCGTGGCAAGTGCGCTCGATAGCGATTCCTGGAGTGGAGATACCGGCGCTAACCAGTGTTTTAAAAGCGCGAAACAGGGTGTCAAGTTGCTATCTGCTCGACGCAGAGCGGGTGCCCTGCAGGGCTTTCCCGCCAAATGGCACTTCAATTTGCAGCGATGTGTCGTGACATGCTGAAAGGCACTCGCTTAACAATCTAAGGGGTGCCGGTTTGATTCCCGCCTGGCGCAAACGCTTTTTTATTGCGTGCCTCTGCGCCCCCACTCAAAATCGATAGGTGGCAAGCCTCGTAACCACGGTATTATCCAGGCTCCACTTTTGGGCTTCACGAAAAGCTGAACCCCTAGCCAAAGAATGTTTCATGCTAAAAATACAAATATCGCAGTTCACCTCGAAGCAAATATTGAATGACATAATATTCGAAACTACTACTATTCGAAAATTTAAATATTTGGCATCTTTTCAAGCAATATTGAATAATAAAAGTCTTACTCAGATGGGGCCCGATCAACCTTACGTTATGTGTGCCTAAATCAAGAAAGCGTCTTTTGCACATCGCTTTGAAGGGGCAGTGCAACCATTTTAATGTTGAAAGAATTGCCCGTTTGCATTTTTTATATTGTTTATGCAAGCCCAAGTGACCAAAAAAGCGTCACCTTTTCCCGAAAAACTGCTATTCTGCTACGTAATCGCAAAGCAAAAAACGAATTATTTGCCGATCTGCAGCCGCCTGTGGCAGTTACGGGAAAGAAAATGACAGCGTCTCTGGGGGATACGTGGAAGTAAAAAAAACCTGTCCCCCTCCGCTGCTACACTAGCCGTCAGCCCCGTGGCGAACCGTCCTTTGTGTCGATCGATCGCCGCGACCTTCGATGAGGCTAATCCTTTAAAAGTCAATAATCGCGGAGGAAGCGGCTGGGGTCTGAAGAGAGGACCCAAGGGGAAACCACGTGAACCCCCAGAGTATGTCACTCGGAAGTCGGCATGGAGAGTTGAGAAGCACTTCGACCTTCGATTTGTTTCATTTTTTTTTAAATAAGAACTAGCGCTCGCAAGAAAATGCAATTTTCTGTTTTTCATTTTATAGGTGACGCAGATTAATTTCCGTAGGAATTGGCCAAAGTCTGAAAATCGTTGCACCGCCCCTTTAACTGTTATGTGACAGTTTTCTCTTTTTATTGTTATATGCTTACTCCCCCCCACCCTCCCTCCAAATCTCCGTTTCTCCTTCCGGCCTGCTCCATCTCCGCTTTGCGGTGATTTGGCCCGCTGCAGAAAAAGGGATAATGGTGTGAAACAAACAGTGAGAAGAGATGCATACAGATCTGATGATGATAAAAAAAAAAAGGCACAACAGTGCCTAAATAGGCAAAGGACACAAGGAAGAGTGCACATACAACAGCACCTTTTGTATGTACTTTATTCATTGTGTCCTTCATCTATTTTAGCACTGCTTTGCCTTTTTTAAAACATGTACCAACTACAGCCCAACCCAATGCCTTGCCAATAAGGGTAGTTGGTACATCTGCAGGAGGGGAGGATGTTTACAAGGTAGAGTAGCCAGTGTTTTTCGGGAGAAAGAGCAGCGAAATCAATTGGGTAGTTATCGTGCTGTGGTGAATCCCTTTCTGCTTGTTTTTCACTCAATGCTTCTATTTGTTTATAATTTTATTTTTCCTCGCATGTTTTCCGATATGCCGGTCGGGTGGCAGTCTCTTATGTGTGCCACGGTAATGTTGCCACCTGGTTGGTCAGTCGTAGTCGGGCGAGGTTTCAGGCATGCACATGCGACGCTCTTCTGCCTTATGTTTTCCCGTTAGTGGAGAGCATGGCTGTACCAACGTTTTTGTATAACCTTCTAAAAATGTGAAGCCATCAGCCAATGAAAGACTGCGTCTGTTTGCAGGAGCCAGTGCCCTGAGTGTTTCGGCGTCGCCCCTGCTATACCACGCCGTCTTCAACGCTACCAAGCAGGTGAGCTCTCGTGACAGTCACATCTAGTGTCACAGGCTGGGTACTTGCAGAGTACTGGAACACCAAAGTTTTCGTTGGTTAAGGTGCAATAGTGGTCCCATAGAAGAGGCATTGAAATGGCCTCCCTGCTACAAATTCTCTTGACACCACATGGCACAAATCGCCGCAAGTTTGACATTTTCACATCAATCTTTTGTGAAAAGTTCATCCAGAGGCTTCTATACGCACACTTTAGCTAAAAAAGTCACTGAAAAAAAAGTGTGCATTCCTCGTTCGAGAAGAAGGTGTCAATCGGGCTCATTGGGTGTTCTCTCGAAGCTTTTTGGCAGTTCCGGGGCTCTAAGCCAGATGCTCAGCGAGAAAATCGGCATAATTGCCAACTTTCTCGCTGAGCGTCCAACTCGGAGTCTCTGGTGGCACCTTCTTTTTGTGCGGATACTCTGGAACTGAATGTGCCCTCTCTGTCGCGGGCATAGAGTTAATATAACAATCAAGAAGAAAAGGTCTCGCGCATTCCGGACACTTCCAAATGGCGGGGCGTAGACACGGACATCGATGCGGTAGTCCCAGCAGGTGGTCCCGACGGGCCCACGTCGCTGGCAACACTTTCGCATACACAAAAGCAGCCAAATACCACCCGTAAGTGGTGTTTTTCTTTTCAGGAAAATGCTGGCATTGCGCATCGTACGAAAGTAAATGAAGTCGACGAGCACTCGAACAAGTTTAACTCTTTGCAGTGAAACAGACGTGCCTAATCTATCGTCTGCTTTGTTACTCCGCTATTTTGTTGTTCTTTCTCTCGAGACCACCAACGTCAGCGCTTATGACATGCCATCTTCCACTCCCCTCTTCACCTCCCCTCCGGTGGCAGGTCCCTGAGGGAGCCCGCACGGTGTACGACCAGTGGGCCCGGGTGTTCCCCATGCGGCGCAACGTGTCGCACCTGCTGTTCCCTCCCAGCGTGGAGCCGGGGGAGGAAGACGTCTTCGAGGAGGAGGACGAGCTGCCCCCGTTCCTCCTTGACCCTGTGCCCAGGGAGCTGCTCGCCTCCTACGTGCACGCCGCCATGCTGCCCACCCGCCCCGCGTGAGTACGCTGCCGCCGCCGCCACGTGCGCCTTCTTTGTGTGCGTAAACCCCGCCGACAGTTTAGCGGGGAGGTTGAGAGAGGTCTTTCTCGAGGAGATTCCAGAAAATACTGCCGCATGTGCGCGGGCTTTGCGCGCAAGACCCTGGTGCGAATGCTGCCGATTTAGTATTTATTTTTATTCCTCTTCTGAAAAGCTTCAGTTCATTCTTGCTATAGGTATTGTGTGTTCTGGGTCGTTTTGCCAGAAATAGCATTTAAGCTGAGACTAAGGGGAAGAAAGGACTGCCAAAGCCAGCGCACGAGCCGAGTGGGACTCAACCCGCGTCTTGAGACGGTCGCGCGCCTCAGCCTTTGCAATGCTTTCTTTCACCCAGTTTCAGCTTAGACACCGTTCTAGCAGGCCGGCCCTGGTTTGGAACATTTCTTAACATGAAGTGGGTATAAAAGCACTGCGTTGCTTTGCGTTGGTCTTACGCTAGTGCTCAATCCTACTGTTACGCCGATATTGACGGCCGAGACGCCTTCTTATTCTATTTTTGTTCTGGCACAACTTCGTCACATTAAACTTACAGTTTTTTCATTATTCCTGCCTTGTCGCCCATCATTAGAGACAATACGACAATTTAGTACATGCATTGCGTGCGGTCTAGCCGGGTTTCTGGTTTGTGACATTTATTTTCAATAGAATATCGCACAATAAATCATCTACGGTTAAGTAGCCATCTGTCGGTGCCTGTTTTGCCTGGGGACTAGCCCGGCATTATGAAGCAACGAGAAACTTGCATAGTGAAGCAAACAGCAGTCCACAAAGTTAGTGAAAGCGCATCGGCATGTGCAAATTATATTTCCGCTTCACTCAATGCTTGTACCTAAATGATCTCGTAGACTCGCAGAGGCCACGTCGGCACGACTACCGGCTACATTTATATCGCGGATGGCACCTCGTAGAGCTCGCAAACACTTGGCAAAACTGCTTCAAAGAACAAAATCGTCCAACCTATCGGGAGGCCAAAACATGGCAATAAACTTCGATTTTCATTCGACGGTATAGATTCAGATTTTGTTACTTTGAAACTTCGACAAGGAATAAGAGGCCCAAACCTGAAGAGACCCAGCCACGGCACGTACGGTCCGGGAGCCTTTGCCGTAGTGAAACTGGCCGTTTCGTTTGACCGGTGCTTGTAACTGGAGCCACTACATAAGCTAGAGCATCGGCATTCCATTCCCCGGCTTTTTCGCGGACGCCGCCATTTTAGTGCTTGGTGCAGAGCGGGCGCAATCGGCGACCCCACGCCTAAGAAATGCGACTTGCCACGTTTTAGATATGCTGTCAGGGTCATCGGAGGATATCATTCTGCTCCGTTGTGGGCTGTTTTAACTATTCTGGAAGACGAGAAAGTGTCTCCCGCGACTTCGGACAAAGCTCTAGACAAGCGGCAACAACGATTTTCGTTAACAAGACGACGTTTTCACAAGACAACTACATCGCGAAAGCGACGTTGTCTGTTCCCACTTCGGGGACTGCTTTGAATGCACGAGTGGAATGGGACGCTAAATTCACCGGTTGGAGGCGCATTCTTGTCGCTGTCGAGAAGCTTATTTGTCTGCTCTAGTTCTCGTAACGAAGCGTCGCTCGTCTAATCTGATTTACAAACTCGGCGTCTGTGGTCGTCCGCTTAGGGTGCTGCCCATGGAAATGAATGGCGGCTATGCGGCCTTCTTCACGCGCGCCGGCATCCCGGTGGTGCATATGAGCTACCTCGACGACGTGATGCGTAAGGTGAGTCCGCCTCCTTACGACCGTACCAGGTGTTTTCGAGCGCTATTCAAGCGTAACAAAATTTTCATAAATAAACCAATGAGCACAGTGTAATTAATCTTTTCACGGGTGGTTCTTTAGCTGGTGCATTTATTATACACACAGATTTCGTGAGTGTGGGTCTTGGGAAAAAAATTTAAGCCTAAAGGGTCCACTTTTTTTCATATACAGAAATAGGAAAACGGTAAAAACCATCTGGATGCTGCTGCTACACACAGATGGTACAACATAAGGCAAAAACGTGAAAGCATCCTTGAGATGAACATCCAAAAGCAGAACCAGCAGGTTCGAGCATGCTTATTAGCATCTGTGAGTAGCGGCGTCTGCCAGACGGTTTTTTACAGCGGAGCTGTTAAGGGCTAGTTTCCCGAGGTTTCCCGCAAAGAAATGTCGACACAAAACTCTGGACAGCTACCGCCATCTATGAATGACGGCGGAAGCCAGGCAACTGGCTTGCCGGCCTCGCATATAGATGGCGGCAGTCTTTTCGGCCTTTCCACTCTGGTGAAAACCAGAGTGGAAAGGCTGAATTTCTCTAGGCGTCGTCCTAGATGTCGTCCTTGAAGTCGTCCTTGAGGCCGTCCTAGATGTCATCCTTGAGGTCGTCCTTGAGGTTGTCCTTGAGGTCATCCTAGAAGTCATCCTTGGGGTCGTCCTTGAGGTCGTCATAAACATTGTCCTCGAGGTCATCTTAGAAGTCGTCCTTGAGGTCGTCCCTGAGGTCGTCCTTAAGGTCGTCCTAGATATCGTCCTTGAGGTCGTCGTAGATGTCGTCTTCTAGGCGTCGTCCTTGAGGTCGTCCAAGAAGTCGTGCTTGAGGTTGTCCCATCATAGTTCAGTTTCGCTGGTCTTCCTTCTTCACTAGAGTGGAAAGGCTGAAAGTTTTTTACAGTTTTTTTTCCCTGTGCACAGGAAAAGCAGGTTTTTGTAAGCTTCTGTTTTTTTTTCCCGTAACCCACGCTTGTGAGATTTGAGTATGACAAATGCGCTACTTAGAGGCACCTTTAAGAAAGGTTCCAATGCGCTTCAAACATGGATTCATTCATACAAACTTTTTGATGCCCCAACTTCCCTCTGAAACACCATGTGGCGTAAAGTCACATTGTTCTTTCGTTGCTCACGTGTTGTGAGGTTGCCCAGCATAATTTGCATTTACGTCGATGCAAAAATAAGATAAAAAATAAGGTCAAAATGTGTTGTGTGGATGTCTCGACCAGAGTTGCACAAACTTTTCAGACCTGTGACCCCTAAAAAAAGTCGGAAGACACCTAAGCACTTCTTATGGGTTGTGAATGCGAAAGCATGAATGTCCAATGGAACGCTGCGGAGTGATCCGCATAGTTTTGTGGTGCAAGTAATGTTTTCGAGTTGTGGCAGAAGCACCGCCGACGATGTGGATGATGAAGCACCGCCGCGACCTTCGACGGTGCTAATCCTTTAAAAGTCAACAGTCGCGGAGGAAGCGGCTGGAGTCTCTGAAGAAAGAACCCAAGAGGAAACCACTTGATCCCCCAGAGTATGTCACTCGAAAGGCGACGTGGAGATTTGAGAGGTGCTTCGACCATCGATTTGTTTATTTTTTTAAAAATAAGAGCTAGCGCTCACAAGAAAATACAGTTTTCTATTCTTCGTTTCCGCAGTTAATTGGCCAAAGTCCGAAAATTGTTGCACCGGTTAAGGGTATGTGAGGGGGAGGGGGAAAGTAAACAAATTAAGCAAATCACTGACAAAACATCAGATGTCTGAATACGTTTAAAGCATCTGAGGGGTCACAGACTAGAATAGCAGGAAAATTAAAATAGAGAAATATAGTTCTACCACTCAATAGGTACCCATACATTTAAGGTGTTCCCAGTCCGAAGTGCTTACCACTCTTTTAGGTAGGCCATTCCGTTCACGGATGGACAGTTTCAGAGGAGATTCTGGAAGACGTTTTAAGTGGATATCAGTATTGTCTATACTGAAAGACGCAACAAGTACTGAAGGGAGGTCTTTCAGCTGTCTGCTTTGATTTATTGAGGGGTTACGTCTTCGTATTTGCCCTCAATTGATTGTTAAAGACAATGGACAGCACAAAGAAATCCGGGGCTTGCGAACCAGCTATTCTTTTATGTCCGGGTGCTCTAGTGTCTCTACTACTCCAGCACGACGAAATTGTTAGAGCTGTCTAGTGTGCCTTTCGTGGCACCGAAACTTTTGCGTAGAATAAATGACCCAAACCCAAAGATCTGTTGCAGTGCATTTGGTTCAGGAGCTTTCGCTTTAGTGAAACTTGCCATTCTTTTTGACCAGAGCTCGTAACTAGAGCCACTACATAAGCGACGCTTACTTTGTGCACCGGTTTTCGGGGGGGGGCATTTTGGTGCTTATTGCAAAGTGGACTCAATTGGTCTTCTTCTGCTGTGGATATGCCGTCAGCACTGTCGTGCCCGAAAACCTTAGACGAAGTTTCAAGGCACCCTTTCTGTTTCAGTTGTCGAGCGTGGCTTTTCCCGTGAAGCACACCCAGTACGACACCTTCCAGCGTCTTCAGGACCACTTCGATCCGGAGCTCAAGGTGAGGGGCTTTGAAGGGGTAGGGTTCAATACTTTCGTGGTCGTAGCAGGAAGTGAAAATTTTCTAGGTCTATTTTTGGAGGGGAGTTGAGAGACTGTGCTCTGCCGTCTTTTCTTTCGTGAATAATGAACCCCTTAGCTGAGGGCTTTCATGACCAAAAAATATAGGCAAAAGGGGGACTTTTTTTGCCCCCCTTTTGCCACTGCTTTTTGGTACCACACATGTCTCGTCAAGCTTTTTTGTGCTGCCATCTATGCATTGGGTTTTAAAGCAAAAATATTTTTAATATTTGAGGATAGATGGCGCTTTTTGAGGATAGATGGCGCTTTTTGAGGATAGATGGCGCTTTCTCCCGTGTGATAAAAAGAGCAAGAGTTTTAGACGCACTTCTCAAGACCAACTGAAGAGCAGCGTGTCTCTCGACCTGCCCCCCAGCTGCAGTCAAACTTTCCGCGCATCTAAAGATGTGTTCCCCTGTAAAGGTTCGTGCGAGTTTTTGCTTGAGTTGACAGCAATTTGTGGTTCCAAGCGCTTAGTTTGTGAAGTAGTTTGTCTCACTTTTGTGTTTTTTTTTTTTATTTCAATGAGCTGTCGATGTGCGTGATACGTCGGCTGAGAAAACAAGCTGTGAAGATTGTTTTCAGGTGTCTTACTTAAGTTTGCTGGACCTTTGTAAATAGTGATCTTTAGGAATTGAATTGAACAGGAATCAAATGGTTCTTACAATAGATAAACACCGCGTTAAAACCGTCCCAGCTCTAACGGTGCTCGAAACCCTAGTGCCGCTCACCCTAGGGCTTTCCCTCGGCGCACAGGTGCACGCCAGGGTGGCCCAAGTGGCGGGGGAGCTTGTGCGGGACCTGTCGGACTCGTTGTTCCTGCCCTTCAACCTGCTGGACTATGCGCAGCTGCTGAGGGACCTCTACTTCAGTCTCCACATCCACATGGGCAGCCTGGGGCACGGCCTAGATCTCAGTGAGTGCAAGCCCGAATTTGCAGCGTTATTTATTTCATACCTGTGTCGCCCAGTGGGCATTACAGAGGCGGGTGCGTAAAAGAATACATAAGACAGTCGCTGACCGATTTTTCGGACTCGGAGGGGGACCCTGAAATTGTCCAAATAATCAAGCGTTCCAAAAATTTGATTTCAGCCAAAATATTTAATTTCCGCGCATATTCCGCTGCTTATTGGCCACTTTCCACTTGCTTCATGTCAATTTTAAGTTCTCGTGCAACGTCCTCTTTATATTGTTCACTTTTCACTTGTTTGTTGATCTGTTTGATCACGGTGCTGCGCTTTGTCAGCGCCTTCGTTGGCACAAACAGCGAAGTTGAAGTTGGCACCATCTAGCACTATTTGGAGACAATGTTTAGTCCACCAAGCTCGCTTCAATACTAAGCCTATCAGCAAAAAACCTTGCGATCAGAGAACACAAGAATGGCAGATGGCCACCCTTTCCGCGGTCGCAATCGAAAAACACGGATCACGAGAAGATGTGGAAGAGCCATGAGAATGGGGAGATGGTGGCCATATTGGCTATAGCGGAACCGGAAAACCTGACTATAGCCTTAACCCAACATGTTTATTGTGTAGGACGTGGTATTGAGGCTACAGGGCAAAATCAAATCAACCGAAATGGCGGCGACTAAACCTGCGGTGCTGTCGCAGCGGGTGTTTTGTGGCTGTAAACTGAGGAAATCACTCAAATTATGTCCGAAATATCGAGCAAAAAGCTTTATGGCGTCTGAAATTTCGGTCAGTAAGGGCAATAAGTTTTATGGCATCCGAAACTTCAAAAATTTCGGGCGAAAATGTCAGCCCATTGTTGTTGTATTTGTGGACATATGCCTAGGAGATGGTGCCGCCGGTGCCTTCGGGTTATATAAGCAATTTACGGAAAGTAAAGGTTGTAGGTTTTTTGGTAATCGCCTTGGTCTCATGGTCCGTCCCTGCCAGGCGCTACGGCACTGTGCACGCAGGTTTGAGTAATGACAATTTATGACTGACGACATGCCAATGGCATCACTGCGTAAGGGAAAGGAGGAGCACCAGATTTTGCACCATCAGCCTTCGTTTCATGGTTTTTTTAATGTGAAACAAAATGTCAGAAGCTATACTCCATTTCACCGCAAATCCTATCGTATTCGATGCTACGAGCCCATGGGTCCAGTCAAGTGGCACCGAGAGCATGACGTTTGCTGTCTCATCCGCGTTACCGCCGGCCAGGGAAGTCAAGCACAGAGTCTCGGCTGGGGGGTTGAACTTTTAGGCTGTTCCTGTGTTTGTGTGTTCTAGGCTTTGACTACACTCTCGCTTATGGTCAAAAGAAATATAGACCCCTTCACGTGATTTCTAACCAGGTATATGTGTCGCCAGATGAGCCGCACTTGGCTCTAGCGTCTTAAAGACCGCATAGAATATTTGAAGCCAGTATTGGCTGTTATTTTTTTTTTATCCTAGGCATCTTGGATAGCGCAGTGCAGAACTTCTCAGCAGCCGCATTTGCCTTCCACCTGCGGCAGAGCAACCTGGACACTTCGGAGTGAGTGCGGGCTCCCTGAGGAGGGTGTCTCCTTCTGCCAGCGAGCTTTTTCTGGGTGTGGTCTGACTTCCTCCTTTCTCTCTTTTTTCCAGTCCCATGGCAATACGTAGGGTGAACGACCAACTGCTGCTGCTGGAACGGGCCTTCCTCGACCCCGTGGGGCTGCCCCAAAACCCCTATAAGAAGTGAGTATCATGGAAATGAAATCCTCTCTCCACACTAAGTTCTTTTTCCGATAAGCTCGCTTTTGTGCCGCAAGAAGGTTCAAGAATGTGAGGCCTTTTTTTAGCCTCTCTCGGCAAGTAAAGAGCTAAGGAAATTCCCGGGTTTAGAAACATTACAGCCTTTGGCATTTGGCAAGCTATACAGGGTGTGAAGACATAGACGTTTATCCAGGTATTATATTTCTCGTGCATCAATTTGATGTTGTAGACTTTCCACGCTTGACTTGCACTGATGTCAGATCAGCGGCCTTGTGGCTGAGCACATACCTTCTGCAGCGTCTATTTCGCGCTGCTGAGTTTGTTTTTCTCCTCAAGAACAACTGGGAATGATCGGCAGCATGTTGCGACGATGTCGCGTGCAAGCTATGTATATAAGTTCTCAGAGTTTCAATACGGTTCTTTGATATGGCTTTTCATATGAGGTTCATACTGTTCTTTTGTACAATATTTTGTATGGGGTTTGCATGGTCAGTAAAAGACTTGACACTGATCTGACTGATGGGTTCTTATAGTGTATTCCCTAGAACCCACAAACCATTTCGGGTTCCATGAGCTCTAAAATTTCCCAGAGTTTAAGCACTAATTTAGCGGACGCGAGTCATCCAGCGATGCATAAATTTGGGCCCAACGCTCCCTAGCACGCATCTCATTGTTTATGTGGTTTGTAGGCTTCTGCACCACTTTATTATATCAATGCCGAGACTAGCAGGGGTTTCTTGGCCTTCAATCGAGCCGAACAAGGGTTCCCAATCTTATTTGGCAATCATTTGAGTCTGACAAAGAGTGTGCCGCCGGTTTGAAGCCCCTTCATTGTCACTACGGCACCCGGAACGCATCTCTGACCGGTGTGTAGCGTCCCCTTCCACCCGTGCATCGAAAGCAGTCCCCAAGTGGCAACAAACGACGTTGCAAAGGCTAGAGTGTCATGCCGTCGGATGTCGTGATTCCAGCGATCGGGCGCAGAAGTTCCAACAAAATGCACGAGCAAACGTGAGTTTCGCCGTCGTCGCGGCGTCCCGACTGCCAACTGCCGAAACTTCCGTGGACTGTCGGACTGCCGCATCCGCCACTGTTGCCGCGACACCGCCAGGGCCAGTGACAGCACGACGATTATACGACGTCATCAGGTGGACGTTGAGGGGTTACTCTTTAGGATGTGGTAGACACTCCAGTCAGAGACGCGTTCCTGGCACCACGGTTTTCGTTCGCTGCGAGACTCGCGTCACGCTTTTGCGGCCGTCGTGCACAGGCACATCGTCCTGTCCCCGGCCGAGTCCCCGGCCTACGTGGACGAGATGTTCCCGGGCATCACGGACGAGTTCATGCGCTTCCTCGACCAGCTGGGGGCGCCGGAAGACCTGCGCCCGCACGCCGCCACCCTGCACAAGCACTACCACCTGCTCGTGCAGACCCTCGTGCAGGCCGCCGACTCCCTGGCAGAGGTGGTGCCTCCGCAGGCCACGCCCTCCCATGCCACACCCACTTCGGCCACGCCCACTTCCTGAGGGCGGCGCCCCTTCCCGTAGCTCGCTCCCCGTGAGCCTCGCCGGCCGAGGTTCTCTTGCTAGGAGACGGGAGGACGGTGTCTCGGTCGCGTCCCTCCGGGTCACTGCTAACTGCCACGCGGAACCCAGTTTGTTGTGCGAAAGGGCCTTCTCGACCTCGGTGCCGGCCCGGTGGCTGGGGATCCCGAAAACACCCGCCGTCGTCCACCTTTCCCGGTGTCTCTTCTGGGCGTCGAGGATGGGCTGGGATCAAACTTCGGGTGGCCAGATGCTCAAGCCCACCGACGAAACTTTGCTGCAAGTGCACGTAGCTGGAACATTCTCCGTTTGCTTCGTCTGTGCCCATCCCCCCGGTTTCTCACTCTTGCGTCCCCTCGGTGTCAGGACGATGGTACAAGTCGACGGCGGACGTGTCTTCGAGCTCCCGCAACAGTGACGTGCATTCCTGTCCTTTCCGGTGGCCAGACATCCACGTCCAAATAAGCCGTGGTCCCTAACCGTAGGCGCCGACGACAGTGGGGAGGTCTTTCTGTCGTCCCACCTCCTACGGGAAGCCGCCACCTTTTTTTAGTGCCTTGACCGCGCATGCATGCTTGGCGACGGAACAATGTTGTAGGTGGAAAGCTCACGCCAGGGGTGGGGACATTGAAAGACCCCCCACATCCTTTCCTTCTGAAATTGTTGACGACTATCGTAGACATGCTCGATGTAAACATTGTCAATACGTTCTGCAGGCATCACGCAGTAAGGTGGGCTCTGTAAGCCTAGAATTCTTCAGGGTGCCCGATGGTACCTTTGGGAGTTATCGGTGTCCTGTACAACAGACGTAATATGTCTGAGGGTTAGTCCCAAAGCCACCCAATCGTCGTCTGTTCTTAGCACGTGGATTACCTTGAAAGTTGCTGGTGTTGTAGAAACATCCTTACTAAATTGAGGCCTTCAATATGATGCATAGTGCCCGTATTTTCCTTGTAGTTCCCTAGTAAGAACTTCCTCGAAGCATGTGTCTGTACACTCCCTGGAAATCTCTAATTAAAGCTTTCCAGGAGCATATATGGACATATCTTCCCTAGAACTTCCTTCTAGGGACATCGAAGGCTAATTTGAAGTCCTCATTATATCACCTCGAAGGTTGCTTGACTCTTAGAAAGGTCCATACAAAATTGAGGCCTTCATTACAGAACATGCTTTTGCATTCCCTAGGAGGAACTCTCTAGGAGCATATGTTCCCATACATGCCCTAGAAATCCCTAGTTAAAACTCCCTGGGAGCAGATATGTGCATATCTTCCCTAGAACTCCCCTCCTGGGTCGTTAAACACCGAAGTGCATGGTAGTCCCCATTTTGTGCATGTGGATCACTTGAAAGTTGCCCGAGTCGGGAAAACGTCCTCACAAAATTGAGGCGTTAAACATGAAACATGTGCTCATTACTCTCGTTGGAAGAACTCCCTAGCAGCATGTCTGCCCACATCTTCCGTAGATCTCCCTAATTAAGACTCCCTAGAAGCATATATGTGCACATCTTCCCTAGAGCTCCTTCAGAATGTTAAAGGCCAATGTACACAGTCCCCTTTCCGTGTTGCATAATTAGTTTCTTGAGTTCTTTTCAAGTGACGTTGTTGCCTCAATAACTTGCCAATGTTGATGAGGTGACTGGGGTCAGCCATGGCCTGCATTTATTTATCGTCTTTGCAAAGGCTTGGGCAGAGTCTTGCTGCAGCTAGCGCTAACACGCATGCTTTTTGTACCACATTGCTTTATAACCACTGTTACCAGGGCTGGGCAGGAATACTTGGGGACGTATCTCAAACAATAGGTGCTCTAAGGCAGCTTTTAAGGGTCTCAAATGTGAGCACTGCAGCTATTTAAGACAATATGGATCACACTTTTTTTTGCATGTCAAATCTCATCAGTTTATGGATGAGGAAAGGGTTGCAGGCTGGACAAAGCATCCAACATATTTATTTAGGATGACCAATGCTGCACATTAGCCTTGTATCTATTTAACCGTGAAGTGTTTTACATCATGGAGATTGTTGCAGGATGTTGATCCAGAATAGAAGACAAACCATTGAAGACACGTTTACCTTTTTCGTTTTTGACGGTACAGCAGGTGATATTTGCCGCGAGAAAAAGAGTATTTGTCGCCTATAGTTAAAATTGAATGGGCGAGGCCTCTTTGAATTCTTTACAGCAAACACTTATCTTTATTTCAAGTGAAGCTGAAGGAGAGCAGTCAGTGTCAGGGTGGATTGACTCTGTTTTATTGGATCAAATATTTGTGATCCTGGCTTTGACTTGCAGGTGTAGCCTACTTTAAAACGCACACAGAAAGTGTACTCATTTTTCTCTCATGTACACTGGTGCTTGTAAATAAATGCATCCGATAGCATTATGAATGTAAAGTGAAACTTGTTCATGAAAACCTCATTGTGTGGGGGGCCTTCAGCACTGAGTTTTTGTACAATGTGTACAATGAAACCAGAAGCCCACAAAGTGATATTTAAAGCTGACATGTAGCTTCGGAAGTTTCAAGTCTGTCAAATTTATAGACTCAACAAGTTGGATATTTTATTAGTATCAAACCTTTTGAAACATCTTTGTTTCATGTTTGATACTTGTTTTTTATTAGTTTTTCTTTAAAGGAAACGTGACATTTTTAGATGCTCAGCAGTGTTGCCTGAGAGAGAGAGAGAGGTTATTTCCTGAATGCACTTGGCTTGAATGAAATGTTACGAAATACTTCTAGAAAAGATTGTCATACAATGTAAGGAGCTTATATGAAAGAGCCTTCTTGTAGGGCTACTGGTAATTTCTCGAACGGATGCCTGTATCCCTGTAGACATCTGTACCAGAGACACAGGTACCTTTATTACTTTGTGCAAATTCACACCATTTTTGCACCATTTACAGATTTTTAAATGGCAACAGAGATGAAGGATTTAGTCCCACACTCTCCTCGTGAATATGAGAAGGATGCTTAAAGCAGGGTACCCAAACACACACAGATGCATGCACTTAGAAGAAACATGATCAGCCTTTTTAGTGGGTGTAGTTGGCCTGCAGTCAGGCTTGAATAAGGACCTTAGGTAGTAGTACCATTGCATTATTTTTGTGTCGCATTACTGCCCAGCCCTGCCCTCTCGCATAAGTGTTGCACACTTCTCAGTGGTGGGTACCAACACCCTTTCGGTAGCTCTGTCGCTTGGCTTCAGAGATGTGTCTCCTGGCGCCACCTGTCACCCCCGGTGTTCTCTTCCCGCGTTCCGTCCGGAGTCTCCCACAGGGTGGGGCTCCAGCATTCCAAGCACACATTCCAGGGCCATCGCCGTAGCCATATTGACCCAAGCTCTGTGTGATGGCCTCCCAGAGTGCAGCTATTTTTAGGGTACAAGTGGGCATCTAGTGTGTCCTTTGCACGGTTACAAAAAAGAAAGAAAGTGCCTGAGTGTATTTTGCTGAGAACAGCTTAACCTTCCCGGTTTTTGTTGAATGTTGGCCATCGTCGCATAGTTGCTGGTCCGGTACGCCAGCAGGATTCCCACCCTGTTGTATGCCTCATTTGTCCACTCATTAAACTATTGTAATGAAACTTGAATGTCTTGTGGCCGTGTGCAGTGATGTGATTGCTGCGCCAATTGCGCCAAACTGCGCCAAAAGGCTAACCCTGATACATCCTGCTGCATTTTGCTGAAATATGGGTAATCTGCGCCAAGCCCGCGCCAAGGGACCAATTTTGGTCAACTTTCAAAACCGAAGCTAAGCTGAGTACCGTGAGCTAAATGGGGCAAGCAACTGCCTGGCACTAAACCCGACACAAACTACCTTGCGTTAGTCGTCCATCTGGTCTTACGAATCCCGGAGAAAAGCTCACCGGAGAAAAGCTCACCGGAGAAAAGCTCACCGGAGATAAGCTCACCGGAGAAAAGCTCACCGCAAAACCGGCAGATGCGGAGAAAAGCTCACCGACCATTGAGCGCATGTGGAGACGAGCTCACCAATTTTTTTCTTCTTTTCATATGGAGGCTGTTGGATAATGCGTAACATATGTCAATTTATTATCAATAAAATTCGTCAGCTTTGTAAAAACGAAAATGTCCTTTTTTGTAATATTTGTTAAGCTTATTGGGTATATTGCTCCCAAATCAATAATTGGTGGTGGGTGTTTTCTGTTGCTTACTTTCTAAGCAACGAAAGCCTAACCGAAAACTTTATGAACTTGAAGAACAGGAAAAATTTCGAAAACTTAATAATGTCCGCCTAAAACCTAAAAATACAAACTGTAAATGCCGAAAATCCGAAAGTGCATGCGCAACAACGTGGTGCCAGAAATTCTCTTTGGAGCTTTTGTTAACCTTTGCAAACAGGATAAAACGGTCAGTAGGATGATCGAGGCATCTTTCTTCCACGAACATGCACGTTTTCTAGATGTTCGTACTGGTGTTTCCACACGTTGCCTTTGTGCGATAGTGCCCCTCTACGGTGAGCCGCCCATGTCCTTCAGAGCTGCATACTGTCATCATTGTTACTCGTCACTGTATGAGAATTAATCTTTTGTGAGGTAGCGAATAGGGCGAGTTGATTAAGGTTATGCATGACAAAAACCGCTCAAACGAAGACGACGGAGTGAAGAGAACAAACACGACAGGACGAAGTTGTTGTCGCAACTAAAGTTTTGTTAGTGAAATTAACAGAAAGAAAACAGCGTAGCCGACATTGATTACATCAACAAGCACCTACTTATCTATTAGGCACTACACAACATTTGGAGCTGAAACGGTTCACACACCGCTTTTCATGTTAGCTCGCAAAGAACAAACTTTATCTGACAGAGCTACAGACGGCGCACTGTCAGCTGTGAATAAATTGTTGTCTTTTTTACCGGTGTACGATGTTCTGATTTTATACTTGCGGCTTCATTAATATAGAAAATGGGTGATTACTAATCTCCAAGGAATTAGTAAATATGCCCAGTGAACTTCAAGAATATTTAAAAAAAGAGAACATATTTTTAATGAAGTGAAGAATGCGAATTGTGATAAATTGCCACGTCTGACGCAGAATCCGCTAAGTTAAAAAAAAACAAAAAAACGGTGAGCTTCTCTGCATCTGTTTAAAGGCCGGTGAGCTTTTCTCCGCATCTGCCGGTTTCGTGGTGAGCTTTTCTCCGGTGAGCTTATCTCCGGTGAGCTTTTCTCCGGTGAGCTTTTCTCCGGTGAGCTTTTCTCCGCCGCCCGGTCTTACATGGCAGTGGTTTTTCCCGCCGTCTCTCGTTTCGCACTCTCGTCATCTCGTGGGTGTCGTCTAGTATCTTTTTTTTTTTTTTAATTTTTGCAACGATAGATGCAAGCGTGTGCGGACGCTCCGGCGCTAGCGTGCCGAGTACCAGCCATGCCGTCGTGTTGTGAAATGAAACCACGTTTTTGCGCGGCGGGAGTTATTTTGTGAGCTGAAACACTCTCCTGAAAGCAACGGCCGCGAGAAAACCATATTTGGTCCCTGCGTATACCCGTCACCGTGTTTGCATGGCGTCGGGTGTTGGCATCCCCACGTCGCTGCAGATATTGCGCTTTCTAATTTGAAACGTAAGAACTGCCGGAAGGTCATCAACATTCCTCTTCTTGTTTAAATCAAACGCTACTACAAAAATTCCTCTTTAACTCAGAGTGCTGTGTCGAAGTAGTGATTATATAGGTTTCTCTCGGTGGGCTTTCTTTTGAGAGGGACCCTTGTACATGAAACGTTTGCCGCGAAATAAAGTGGGTGAACAGAAGTTATCTAAAGCGAAAAAGGCAATGTCGATCCACGCTGAACCCGGACAACGCTCCTGTTTGTCTCGAGCTCAGTCGTTGCACAAAGCGCTCCAAGAACTTCTTGACTCTGGCTCAGTGTCTTGCATCGATGCGCTCAAGTTCTTTTTTTCTGCGTGTTTAGCTTTTACCTCGGCTGCCGGCCCGGCAAGCACGCACCGCTGGACTGTTTTCTGTCGTATGCTGGACTGTTACATTTGGCATACAATTTTGGAAACCAGTTGGCGATGGAGCGGAATGGCATGGTTTTCGTTTTGATCGAACAGCAGTCTCCGCTCGCACGACGATAGGTCCGTAGCTCTCAAATTTTGAGAGCAAAATAGAATATTTGGCTCGCGTTTCGAACGTGCGTCATTACACTTCCTTACTAGACTTTTTTTATACTCCGTTCGATTCTAACCGCCAGCGTAGCAGAGGCTACAAGAGCGAGCTCCGATCTTGCAGCGTCCCTTCCAAGCACGCGCGCTCGTGCAGTGCGAGCATCGTTCAGGGGGACATGTTTTTTACAAGTAGCTTCAACTTCGCTATCACGTAAAGTGAAACATACGGGCTCACGGAAGCGATGAAAGAACGCAATAAAATAATAAAGCTGAATGGGACGCTGAGTCTGCAAGCTGCATAATTTTTTTTTTTTTTTTTAGTTTTTTTTTTTTTAGACGTTTTGTTATCGCGCGTCTAGAGATGCCGACAGATGCTTGCATTCGAACGTTGCACGTGCAACATCGAACGTTACAGCGCCGCCAGGATTGTGCTGCCAGCATAACATGGTCGCGTCTTGCGGACGCGCTCGCGCCCCCTGCCCCAGAGCAACGGGTCTATGCGCGTGCAAGTGCAAGCTGCTGAAGTTGTCCTCACGTGCATGCGAACATGATTGCATGAGAGAGGTAGCAGCCGGGACGCTTGCAATCCATTGCTTTACAATTGCTTACTTTTGACGAAAATCTGGCACGTCGGGAACCAGTAAAACGGTGGCAAGCGGTTTTTTGGAATTGCTTGGCAACGCCTACAGCACTGAACACTTGTGGGATATCTCAATGTCTCTTTGGAGACATTGAAAATGGACATTCATTACTTGCCGAAGGCAAAGCGAGGCTTGCAGCAGCTTTGCAGAAAGTTTCGAAGAGCAAAAGGAGAAGCACCCGCTAGTCGTACAGCACCTTTTTCTTGTGTACAGTTTCGCAATGCACTGGAGTAGTTACATGTTTCATCAGTCGGAGGCTGCCTCAATTTATTATATAACTAGTCAACTTTATGCTTTCATATTTACTAATAAGCTGGTCATTTTCAAATAAATTTAATATGCGCAGTTTGGTTCTTATTTATCTATAGTGGGTAGATATATATGTATCATTTAACTGAAGCGTCGCAACATGTGTCATATCATTGGCATTTCAGCTAGCATGTTGAAAGGGTCCTAGGTAGTCTAACTTGATCATAATTTGTTTATTGTGGCGACCAAAGTGTCCCTCATTTGTCCAGCACTTAAAACAAATGTCTTTATTTTTCTAAGAATATCTGCTCCAAAATCCACCTTATGCGTTTCCGAAACACTGTTTTGGTTGCTCCAAACGCCACGTTTACGGCTCCAAAACACTGTTTTGGCTGCTCCAAAAGGTGCTCCAAGACGGCTTAGGCCAATCACATCACTGCGTGTATGATACTTTGTCAGGAGTGTGTCTGTGTTTTGGAAGTTTTGATGCAATAGCATTATTAAGCTACTCATCACATATTTCTGCCAACATGTGTCGCCTCTAATGTAGTCCATTTTCCGCTAAATTTAGCAGAAAATTGACTTTACGTGACCCATAGACCAATTCAGGTTCGCTGCTAAATTTAGCGGAATCAGGTTTGCCGCTAAATTTAGCAGAAAATTGACCTCACATGACCCATGCACCAATTAGGGTTCCCTGCTAGATTTAGCGGAATCAGGTTCGCTGCTAAATTTAGCAGAACATTGACCTCATGTGTTTGATGCACCGATTCAGGCTCCCTACTAAATTTAGCGGAAAATTGACCAATTCAGTTTCCCCGATAAATTTAGTGGAAAATTTGTCTCGTGACCTATGCACCAATTGAGGTTCTCTGCTAAATTTAGCGGAGAACCGAACACCTGCCTGCGTGTGCAACGATAAATTCTGTCACATTCATAGATAATCACCCCTGTGGTTTCTGCAATTTTCCCTCCACCATCAATTTTACTTTCAGTATTGGCACAGGTAGTGCTCAAGAAAACGAAAGGGACCCCTTTGGTTATGGCTTTTGTTAAAGGGGGATCTGCAGAAATTTTCTTCCGCCTGGCAAAAGGTCCTCTCCCTCTCTTTTGACCTTTCCCTCTTGTCTAGCTGCGTGGCGAGGAGGGTTGAAGGTCCCCTTTTGTAGTGGTTTCTTCTGGGAGGATGTCTAGAAAATCCCATTAATAACAGCAGGCTTTTTGGCCCCTCGCAAAGCCTAGCCCTCAGGATGGATGTTTCACCAAGTTGGAAGGCTGCGCCTTGGCAGTCATCCCTTTGAGTTGTCGAAGTTTTTTGGCTAAAGCCTGTGGCAAAGTAAACGCTTACCGGAGAGCTGCGATGCATCCCCGCACTCATTGAACCTACTCTTCATACTTATTCTCGGTTTCTCAAATCGGGAGTGCAGAACGCATGCGCGAAATCTGGTGGTTTTAATATGTTAGCATTATTTACATGTTCCCAAAACGTTCAGCATTTAAAAAAAAAAAAAAAAAAAAAGCCAGCCTATCGCGCTTAAACCTGCCTCAAATGGGGAATGGCGGAAAAGATAAATGTGT